ATGTTCCGGCCGGTTGTTTCCGTTTCCTTCTCTCCCAATGGTGCACGCATTGCCTCTGCGGGCCACGCACTCGACGGAATCCGTATATGGAACGCGGAGACCGGAAAGGAAATCCTAATGCCATTACTGGGGCACGCGGACTACGTCAACTCTGTCGCATTTTCCCCAGACGGAAAGCGTCTTGCCTCGGGCTCGTATGACAGAACCGTCCGACTGTGGGACGTGGAGACGGGGCAGCAGATCGGGGAGCCGCTCCGAGGGCATACAGGCAGTGTGAACAGTGTCGCCTTCTCACCCGACGGCAGACGCATCGTCTCGGGCTCAGGCGACGGTACACTCCGACTTTGGGATGCGCAGACGGGACAGGCTATCGGCGACCCTTTGCGAGGTCATGACGTCACGAGCGTCGCATTTTCACCCGCTGGGGATCGCATCGCCTCTGGATCCGACAACCACACGATCCGACTCTGGGACGCCGGGACAGGGAAACCAGTCGGGGATCCGTTTCGAGGCCACGATGACTGGGTCCGATCAGTCGCATATTCTCCTGATGGCGCGCGCATCGTCTCAGGGTCCGACGACCGCACAATCCGGATCTGGGACGTGCAGACGAGAAAGACGGTGTTGGAGCCATTGCAAGGGCACACAGGCTGGGTCCGCTCCGTGGCATTCTCGCCGGATGGCAAGTACATCGTCTCCGGCTCCGACGATGGCACCATCCGGATATGGGACGCGCAGACGGGACAGACGGTGGTGGGGCCGTTGGAAGCGCATGATGGTAGGGTCTGGTCCGTTGCATACTCCCCGGACGGCAAGAACGTTCTCTCGAGCGGCGACGACGGTCTGGTGAAGGTGTGGGACGCGGAAGTTCTTTAGGGCAACACATCGTGCATGGAGAGGGTTTTGAGGTGTGTGTATGCGCTCACTGCCGCCGGACCATCCTGAGTAGTCCACAGGTATGAAATATGTACACTCGAGGATGACGCCAATGAGACGCGTTTGGAGTTACGATTACCATACACATTCATCAAAGACAGAGGTTGGCTTCCGGCGACCCGGAGCAATGCGATGCGTCGTAGGACAGTACGCGTCGCAGGCATCAACAGGTTCCACGTCCGGGATCCGGCAATTTATGCTAGATAATGGGCGACGATGTCAAGTCGTCCAGTCGGTGTGTCAGAGCCAGGAACCGCGAGCGCACGTCGGATGAGATTCATGATATCCTCCGACAAATGTTTGCCGGTATTCTGAAGACATCTTCTCCACGCGCTGTTGCTAGCCCGCTCGCCTCTGTGCATCAACGCGAGCGTAGACGTGACGTCTCTCCCAGACACGCGTCCGAGTCGATGCACTTCTCATGGTGGCAATCTGTTTAACAACATGACCATGCATATGTTTATATGCAGGACTAACATATTCCTCTCCAACCTGATGTCATATCACAGTTTACAACCCTACAAAGCGCCTGCAAGAAACTCTACCGCCCTCGCGTACGCCTCCTCCGTCCCAGACGCCAACGCGCTGAAGTCATCCTTGTTAAACAGCACGTGTTCCGCATCCGGCACCGTGATCAGTTCATTCCTAACCCCAGCCTCGCCCAGTATCTTCTTGAGGTTCTCGCTGTCGCCGAGCGGGACCGCCGTGTCCGCCGTGCCGTGCACCGTGATCACGGGCGGAAGCCCGCGCGCGTGCAGCAGCGGGAACAACGGCCGGTCCTTTCCTCCAGCGTGTCGGCTCGTGCTTCGGGGGTAGGGAGCGCGGCGAGCTTCGCACTGAACCCCGGGCGGCCCACGAGGTGGTCCGGGATGGTGCCCTCCTGGATGCCGTGCAACATCAAGACCTCACGCCCGTCGGCGCACACGAAGGTAGGCGCGCGCACGGGCGAACCCGACGACGGCGGCGCGCGGAGGAGTTGCTCCAGCCCGGGGAAGGAAGCGTAGAAGCCGCCGAAGAAGCGGAGGCCCTCCGGGTGCGGGTGCAGGTAATGGTCGTTCAGGAGGTCGATCATGCCGAAGAGGTTGAACACCGCTTCCGGCTTGGGCGAGGCGTGCAGGGCATATTGGATCGCCACGTAGCCGCCTGCGGAGCCGCCGGAGATGAGGGTTGCGCCGGAGGGTGCGAGACCCGCGGGGAGGGCGGCACGGAAGGCGTCCGAGGCGAGGAAGGACGAGAGAGCGCGGACGTCGGCGATCTCGTCGTGTCCGGTGCAGGGTACCAGAAGGCGGTAATCGGCGGAGACGAAGATCCAGCCGCGCTTATGGGCGGCATCTGCGCGAAACGCATCAACTTGACGTGTTTTGAGGGCGTGAAAAGAGCGCATGAGGGCTCACCGAGGAGCCATGCGGGGAACATGTCGTCGTCGCGAGAGCCGCAGAACAGGGCGCCGCCGTGGAACCAGATCAGGATGGGGGCAGAGCCCGTCGCATCTGGGGCATAGAGGTCGAGCTTGACGTCGAGGCCGTCGACGTGCAAGTATGTGAGCGTTTTCGGAGAGGACGACATAGCTGTTGGCGGATCGACGAGGGTCGACGGAGTGATATATACCCTGTGCAGTGTACGGTGTCGTTCGTTGCTTCGGAATTATCTCAGGGCACGCCATATGCGTTTGTAAGTCCATGGAGATGCTGAGAAAGCAACAGCGGGGTGGCAGCCCGGAACCTGTGGACGAAGGTGATTGGTAACGTTATCAGATACTACTCGCGACTACTGCATACCTCTCGTCGGGATGAGCTCGCCGTGTAAGTACGTGTCTTTGTGTGTGTTGACCGGACGCGGGTTCTGGCAGTCTGCGAGCTCTGCGCGCCTCCGAAGTGTGACACTGACAGGTCAGATAGGGCCAGATAGCCAGCTGACCGTCATGGTCTACTCATACCTTGAGCATCTTCAGCGTCTTCCTGTATCCGTGTCAGTCGACGCTTATTTGGCCAATCGTGCAATTGCACTTGCCCCTCAAGAGTATACATACTGAGAGGGTCCAGCTCTAGAGGTGAGTTGAATCTTGCACATATATTCACCGTGTCCCGCGGAGCAGGCCTGCAGGGGAGCAGCGTACTGATTGTATCGCATAATCAGTCCATCATGCATCATGTCTGCAATGACCAGACTTCCTACCGAACTCGTCATTAGAGTCGTCCGCGAACTACACGATGGATTGTCCTTCCCGGATCCACGAACGCGCAGCGCTCTCTGCTCTCTGTGCTCCACGTCCCGTCTCTTCCACGAGCTGACCATCCCGTTGCTCTACTCTCATATCCGTCTCGCCTTCCCCGAAGAATCCGCCTCACTCGCCGCGTCCCCGCACGTCTCGACGCATCTCAAACACCTGTCCATTCACACCTCTGGCCCAATCATCGACCCTCCGATGGTTCGAGTTCGCATGTCCGACCTATGCTCGCTGCTGGCGCAAGTACGGGATACGCTACACACCCTCATCCTGAACATTCCATTCCAAGACCTGTTCATGTATGACGACCGATATGAAGTCAGGCAGATTTTCCGCAGCAGACTGGAGGGCCTGACATGTATAGAAACGGCGGCCAGCGGCCAAGGCCAGTTCGTCGGGTCTCAAGAGATGGACAGGAACTATAGTTCCCCGTCCTGGTCCGTGCGGTTGGCCTGCCCGAAGTGGATGTTGATTCGCCGTCTCTACCTTCACGATATCATGGTCGACAAGCATTTCGCAGACGAGTGCGCGTCGTTGCCATATTTGGAGAATTTGGTCCTCTATCGGTCCAGCTACGACAGACACTACGTCGGGATGGCCAAGCTGGTCGAAAGGAAGACTCACGACGATCTACCGCTGGTCATCATCGATTATCACCGTGGTTGGACTAAATACAGTCGACGGTACATGGGCCAACTCGATGCGCTCGCTGAGACGCATACGAACCTGCGTATTCTCGATCCGCCCGAGGCGCCTTTCAAGTGGCCGCGCTGGATCCAGGAGGGGGCAGAGACAGGGGATCTTTGGAACCTCTGAGCGTTGAGGACAACGGCCACTGGTAGGCGGTGGTCATGGCACGGTGTTTTAGACGTGCCTATATTATGTTGTACTAGATTTGTCCCTCGATCGACACGGTAAACTGCGCACGGAGGATATGAAGATCTCCTATCCTTACGTATCCTGTCGAATTCACCGATCAGATGCAGCACTGGGAAAGTAGGGCCTTGACGAGTGACGGAAGCTGATTGCCGTGCTTGGGCTTGCTCTTGACCATCGGTCGCGTCACCATGGCCGTCGTCTTCGAGATCTCACTCGAAGGTACGGCGAGTTCGAACTCGAAGGCACGCACGAGGACGAACAACAGTGCTCTCATCCTGTAAGGAACCAAGAAATTAGTCTCTGACTCTGGCCGAAAAAAGATAGTGGGAACACACTCGACGAGGGAGAAACGGTAGCCGATGCAAGCGCGTGCGCCTCCAAGGAAGCTGAGCATGAGCCCCTCAGACAAAACAAAGATCGTCGGCGTTGAGGCGCGTACCGCAGAACTCGCACTGCCAGGTACCACTGTGTTTGATGCTGAGCATTGTCCTGCACAAGAGCGCTTGGACATACTCCTCGCGTTCTTGCGCAAGGGGGCGCATATGATGAAGTCATCGCGTCGTCCGCGAGGCCCTCGGAGAGAGAGCGTCCCCGACAATAAACATGTGGCGGTCAGGCCAGATAACGGCGGTGGCGGTGCTCTCAGTCTTTCTTTTCCGCATTCGCAGTTTGCCCTTGGACCCGATTAAATGGCGAATAAAACGGACGCTGCGGCCGACGTCGGGTTCATACATGCCCGGACCAAGAAGAAACGCAAGAACAGGCGCGCGTTGCTCGTCTCAGCGGCAGATGCGTATGCGCGTACTAGAGACGAGCTCGCTGCCGATGATTGGTTAGCAAAATCCCAATGTTCGACCTTTCCCCCCCTCTTTTGCTGTGCATCTCGCGACGCCACGGATTCCAGAACACATGTTCTTCTCTCGAACGTTATGCTCATGCTGGTATAGCCTGCTTGGATGTCTGTTTGAACAAACATACATTCAAGCCGACCCGTGTTTTATGCCTGGGCCTGGGTTCACCGAGCTCGTCGCGCGACGCCCGAGCACAGCTTGCGTACTTGATGCATACTGTTAAATGGCTAGAGATAGTACGTCTCGCGCCAGTCGGACACCGAATTCGCTGTGGTTTACTATTCTCGCCCATTCAAGGAGCACAGTCGGGTAACGGTGTGCGATCCCGTGTTCACCGACGACGATCGGGCCCTGTTCGATGAAACCGGGATTATCCATATTCAGCCTACGGAATTGGTGGGTACTCCGCGCTTGATATCGGCGTGCGAGAGAAAGACGTTGAACGAAAGTCGCGGTTGTCATCTAGGAGCACGAGCTCGCCTTGAACCAACCGACTCTATTGTACATGCCCCATTGCGACCGGGATCTATACGAGCGAGTCTATGCATCCAATCGAAGCAAACGAGAACTCGGGAACCTATTGCTGATAGGTAATGAACTGGAAGCTTACGCTACAGCGTACGTGTGTACATGTTGCCTCACGACGGAATGTGATGTTTTCTCGCAGAGGAAGCAAGAAAGAGCTGGAGCAGAAAGCCCAGCAGATCTTGAAGATATGTGAGTGACATTTGTCAGCACACTTTGGCATCCTGAATGATAACCGATTGAACTGCACTCAGTGCCATACCTATCGTCATACCTTCTTCCACGCAGCGATGCGTTTTATACAGCCTTCCAGGGTACGTCGGTACAAATAGTGTCCGTAGACGCTGCTCCTCCCGAGTTTTGGGAGCACGAAGAACCCGAGAAGATCGACTCCGTGGAGGCACAGGTCGATGCGCACACCGTGTAGAACGTTTTTGTGTATGCACGTAACGGAACTCCGTTTGCAAAACCCGTTCGCGCGGCTCGTTTTCTGCCTGCCATCACCAGGAATTGAGCAATGGGAGCTAACGCCTAGTTTGCGCCAGCCGTGCGTGCCGGGTTCGACGAGGCCAGTCGAGTCATAGTGGTGATATGTAAGTCCTTCGTCGCAGCTCCAGCCCCGGCCTCTGCCATGCCCAACCAGAGCGTGTCCCACTCGCTATGCACAAGCGCTCCATAATACCGGTCAAGAAGAGCAAGTAAAAACAACCGACATGCGTTGATATCGTCCGAGACGGTGCGTTCGCCGTGAGATTTATGCCTAAGCGACGGGGAGGGGAGTAAACTCCGTACGGCATGCTCTAGCTGGGTATGGGGCGTGATGCTAGATTTCAAGTCCGTCCGACGCGATAATGGGGGTGCCGCAGGGTACACACAGGGTTCTGTCACTGTGCAGTCACCGGCAGGACACGCTCGCGGACGCGTCCTAAACGCGACCCACGTGATCATCCATCTCTTCCCCCTTCGACCTTAACGCTCTCGTTCTGAGCTTTGCACACCTGTGAGACAACATCTCCAGTACGACCTCTTGACTGACGGGGCGCTGTACTACGCGCATGATTTACCTCGAATCGGGAGTGAAATATTTACGCTGGCATAGGAGATAGGAGGCGAAAATGAATCCACGACGATCTATACTGCGTCCGGACAACAGCGGCGACAGCCGTACAGGACTGCCAATGCCGTCCACGTTGAAGAAACCCGCGCAGAACTTCCGCATGTCACTGGCAGGCGGTCAGCCGCAATCCAACCTACGCATGTCGCTGCTGGGTCCAGGGAACAACAACTCGACCTCACGACAGTCCATATTCCGTGCCCCGCATGGAAATCCGTTGTTAGCAAGCACTAGCAAGTCGGCGTACGGGAGAACGCCGATGGCAAAGTGAGTCATAAACACGATGTATCTCGAGGGGTGTACTAATAGACGTTACACTAGCTCGACCCTCAGACGAGGCTCGACATGGGGCGCGCACGGCTCCCAACCATCCTCGCAACCCATCCTCCAGAAGGACAGACGCGAGCTACGCGACAAGACGGTGCAGATGCGCATGCGGCAGGATATCGTCGCGTGGTGCCAGGAGACCGGGTTCGACATCACGCCCAAGGCGCTCGCGGACGTGACCGGCAAATCCTTCCGCGCCATCTTCGAGCACCTCTTGCTCTGCCTCGACCCTGCGTGGCCGTTCGACGACGGCGACCGGAGGTGGGAGGACCACTTCGTGCAGAGCTTGAAAGCGGTGCAGTACCCGTTCGTGACCGCGCTGGACCCGAAGTGGCTCGCGGCCCCTGCGAGCATGCATTCGTGGCCGCAGTTGCTGGGGGTCTTACATTGGTTAGCAGAGATGGGCAGGGTTAGTTGTACTTCTCTGCCGCGAAGGTCGAGCAGTATGCTCATGCGTGTTGCAGACCCGATCGGTCGCGCTCAATTCCCGCGATAGCACCTTACAGGACGAGTCGCTCGTACCAGAATCATGGGACGAAAACGACAGAAACATGCACGAGGTGCGCTCTGCGTAGCCTTTCTCTCTTTTGGCTCTTTGATTTGACCTTCTTGATGGTGCATTCTTGTAGGCAGTTCTGATGGAGTATTACTCCCGTGCATATCAAACCTTCCTTGAAGGCATAGATGCATACCCCGAAGAAGACGCCTGGTTGCAAGCACGATACGGTACGATGCATTGCTGCCATAATCGTATCTCGTGTATTCACAAGCACGCCACAGCAAAGAAGGACGAAGACGTCGCCGCTGACCTGGAGAAACAGCGTCAGGAGCTCGAACAGGTCAAATCCGAGTACCAGAAGATTGTGTCATCTCCTGTGCGCTGACCTCGTCATGATGCTCCCGACCGACGTGATCTGATTCTTCTCTTCCCCCAGCATCCCAAAGAAGAGCTCATCGACACGAACAAAGCCCTCAAACGAGACTCGATCAAATACGAGGAAGTCATCAAACGCTGGGAAGCACGTCTGCGCAAATCCGAGGTGGACCTGGAGAAGGAGAAGGCGGATCTGCGTGAAATGGGTGTGCTCCCTCTTGCATTCGTTCTTATCGAGCTGGGGATTGACGTGCGACCTCAGAGGCCCGCCGCGCTGAATTGGAAGCCGAGAAACTGCGGCTTGAGGACATCGTGCGCGAGCAGAACATGTCCGAGGAGGAAGTCATGCGAATGAAGAGCGAGCACGACATGCTCACTCGGAATCTCCTCGACCTGAAGCAGAAATTCCAAGAAGCCCACAAGAGTGTCATGTCGCTTGAGGTCAAGCTCACAAATCGGTAAATCTCCTCCGGTCTACTTTCCCAGATGACCTCTCATTTGCTTTCAGAGCGGCGGCGGCAGAAGAAGCCCTCATGAAGTACACGAAGCTGCTCGAAAGCCTCGGGTTATTTCCGCCTCTTCCCCCGCCGATGGAGCATGTCGATCTGACGCTCGAGCTCAACACCGCCTCTGCGCATCCATCCGGGCTGCTCGTCGGCGCCGACATTCGGCGGACGATCAAGCCCGCGCTCGCGCAGATCGCGGAGGCGAAGCGAACCGAGCTCGCGCAGCTCGAGTCAGCCAAGGACAAGGTGGAGCACATTCTCGACGAACTACTGCAGGAGTGTGAGAACGTGGAGAGTGAGGTGCACGAAATCGAGGTACGATCGGGGAACGTGAACAGGGAGGCGGACGACGTGCGCGCGGCGTCGCTCGAGGAGGCTGCGGTGGCGAACGAGCGCGCGGCGGCGCTCGAACGCGACGTGAGCGAAGCCAAGGTTGCCGCGAAGGCGAACGGTGTCAATGTCAAGAGCCGACTGCAGGCGGCCCAGATCGCGTGTGTTCTTCTGTCTCGCTGGAAGCGTGTGGACGAACAGCCAGTACTGATGGAGCACTTTTCTCGGGTATAGATACAACGAACAGGTCGAGAAGGTTGCGAAGCTGAAAGATGAGACGCTGCGCGCTATTGTGAAGAGCATCACCGAAATCGCGCTCTTCCGCACCCAGGTATCGGAGCGACTAAAGGAGGTTAAGGAACTCGCTGAATCGAACTGATTGACTTATCTTATTTTTGGTTTCGTTGTTGCTGATGTAACGTCTTTGAGTGTATCGTATCTTAGCTGTAGCATAGCACAGTTTGCATGTCGTAGAAAGTTGACGATTCTTTTCCAGGATATTGGCCTACATGGCGCGAAACCCTCCTTCAAACAATACATTCATTGATAGCGGCCAAGGTGTACTGGTTGATCAATTCGTGAGTCTGGTATGAAGGATGCGACGCTGAAACGTGTTTCGGTGACGTTGAGCTCGACGAAAGGACAGCACGAACGAAACCGCTCACGGATCCAGTATACGTAGTGCGCCGGGTCGTCGCACCCACCCACGGTCGTGTTCTGGGACAACAAACACGTCATTCCCTTGTACCCAAACTCGGTCATCGAGCTGTTGGAAGCGGTAATGGAGGCGAAGAGCCGGCCAAGATCCGCCCACGCAAAGTTAACGCCGTTCTGGGAGTGCTGATCCACAAGCGCGGCGAAGACGGCGTGTTGAACGGCGTTGAAAGCGGTCGTCGGGGATATGACGCTCTGGACGAGAATGTTCTTCGCTTTGTGGACGGTTACGATGTCGTCGATGGCTTTGATCTGCGGCAGGGTTATTATATGCAGAATGTGTTCCGGATATACGCACATATGATGCTGTCGTTATGCTATAATCGCCACCTGCGACGCCGAACTGGGTCATGTCATTGATGCCGAAGCTCTGGAAGGTATGTTGGTTATGTTGTGGTGGAGTGATATATATAACTCACGAAGGTATACAAGGTCGTCTCCGGAGTAGTATCGGCAACCCACTGCCCCTGCACGTTAAAGAAGGCAACTTCGTCAACCAACGAGGTTCGTCGGAGATTGTCGCTGGTGAATACCTGAGGCGGATGAGCGCGAATGAGGCAACGATTATGACGGAGCTAACTCACGGTCCCGTTGTTGGTCGAATTATACGCCTTCAAATCAATCACCGCTCCTCCTACGGCATACTGATCAAGCTCTATCAAAACTATACGAACAAATCACAGTATCATCCCAACACTCACGTTGACTAGTTTTGCGCCGATGGTGTTCGCTAGGTCCTCCACCCAGACATAACCATTGGATGCTCGTGCGCGCTCGTTGTTCCCTTGCCGCGCTCCAGCACTGGTTTATAGAAGCTAGTAAGGTCATGTAGTAGAGTGAATGCGTATATAATACGCGCCTTGGATTGGGAGGATATACCACGGGGGCGAAGGGAACCGTCCCGTTGGAGCCATTCGACGTCCAGGAATCGCCGAATGCGATGATTGTTCTTGAGCGTAGATACAAGTTATATTGAGATTATCTGAAGATACGAATGACAGGACACGCACTTGATGGCGGATGTGTTCACGCCAGTATTGACCTCGGCGAATGTCTTGGAATCTAGCGCCCCGCAAGATGGCTTCACGGCCAGTGCTATGTCGTCCGTGGTATTGGCACAGCTGATGAAGTTCGTAGGAGTCGTCGCTGTTGGGTTCAGGCTGATATCTTCGTGAAAGCCAGCAGCCTGCGAGGGCTTCAATGCACCCAGTAAGAGTAAGACGACCGTAGCAGCCTTGCTTGCCATCGTCGTCGTCCGCTTCAACATGACAGAAGCTCGGATTTTTAGCGTCTATTTGTATCTCCCGAGCAATGTCCCGGACGCTGTAAGTATCCATGGCGGCTGGTCGTGTCACAGGACTCGGGAAGCCGTCGGGGAAGACGATGGACATACCGACGGCGCGGATGTCCCGCTAAAGTATGGTCTAAAGTCATATGATCGGGCTCATGTCGACGGCGCCGAACATCGTTCCTTCGACGCTCTGGCTGCTGAACAGAAAGTCGAGTCTCCCAGTGGACGTGGGAATCGAAATACTCGCGGGCGATTTGTTGGCCGCTACTCGTCGAAGTCTCTGTCGGACATCACTCGCACAGCTTGCTACATTTCAACGCCACAAAGTCGTCGGAAGGTCGACTACCTTAACTCAATGTGGTGAAGCACATCAAGCCGACCGTGCTGATCGCGACATCGGCGCACGGAGGCGCATTCACAGAACAGGTCATCAAGGAGATGGTCAAAGGGTGTGGCAGTCCCCACCATCTTCCCGTTGAGCGATCCCTGCAGATTGGTTGAAGTGGATCCGAAGGACGCGAACGATCCGACGGCCAGAAAGGCATAATGACGACCCGGAGGCCAACGGCTAAGATTATATGTGAGCTTCCATGCGTCTCTCCCCGTCAGCAAGCCAATGCTCTGATGCGCAACGAATGCATCATAGAGTGTAACAGTAAGCATTCCATTAAGCAACTCGTACCAAGCGATGATGTATGTTTTCATACTTTACAGATGCGCTCATATAACCCGCCCTCGGCTTCATGCCACAATATCCAAATCACGCATCGTGTTCGATCCCATGACTATCGCCCGCGCTCGCCATCTCGCCCTCGCTCCCTGCTCTCAACGGCCCAGACGACGCGCTCCTCCCCGAGTTCCGTGATTTGCCTCAGATGAACTTCGAGGTCACCTGCCTCGTCGTGCACCAAGCCCTAATCGAAGGCAATGCCGAGGGCGAATGGGCAAAGGCGACGAAGACTCCGAGGATGTAGTGAATGCAGTGCGGCAGAAGATGAAGCAACCATTTGCGAGCTGATATACGGGAAGTACGGGAAGTACGAATATGATTCGCAAGGACAATCGTGAGTGTTGTTTCTACTATGTATCAAGTACAATGCTTGTATCCTCGTGCACGTTGGATATAACCATAACATCGACACGTTACTGAGGTATGCATATAGCACGGGACGAGGCGGCACTGAGCACTATGATCTTTGGTGGGTTCAGACGGCCTTTCTAGAGGCCATAATCAGGATATGTAGTAGAGCTTAGAGAGACGGCCTCACAATCCCGCGGTCACGGGCTCGGGCGCTTGACGTGAACAGCATGCATACTCGCTTTGTTAATCCATGTTGACCTATGCGATCGCCCACCATGTCCGGTTCTGTAGGGATTGAAGCGGACTCATGGTCATCGGACGACGATCTATATTCGCTGACGGATTTCAACCAGGGCGAGTGTTTCCTGAATCGATAGTTAACGAGGAGCAACACTGATCAGGGTGCAACAGTTACCGATCCGGGATGGCAGAAGCTACATCCAACGCCGTCACGGATTTTGGCCTCGACGCTCACGAGGCCACAACCACGGGGCGATCCTGACCTCATCCCCGAGACCCCGCCATCGCCCGAATCACCGTTCTTGTTATCGAAGTCCGCACTGTCGGAAGGTCGCCAGCAGACGGGAGAGGCTCTGACAGGATTGCTGCCCCCACCTTCACACCTCTTGCGGGCAAAGCTCCTGGCCGCGACGTTCATGGTCAAGTCTCGGACTCGCCTGGTTCCAGTGGTCGTCAGAGGACCGCATCGTCCTCCGCTGTCTTTGGCTCAGGATCTGGTACGAGTGAACCCCATTCGGGTTCTTCTGGGCCACGCGAACGGAATGGAAATGGAACTGCCTCCAGAAACGGGGCAGCAGCGACCTTCGAGTCGTCCGCCAGCATAATCAATATTGTTGCCCATGATAAAAGGGTACAGCCCATGTTCGACAGCAAGTGTATTACCTGGGGTGTTCAGTTAGAAACCTGTCGCGGAATCCAGAAAGGTTTATGGGAATGGAAGGACATCAAGGAGTCGGATCTGGACGAGCTAACAGGAACCAACGCCGAGAGTGGACCCGACATCAGGAAAAACCGGATTTGCTAAAAACCTTCTAAAACGTGCTAAAACGTGCTAATTTAGTAGCTTTAGAGGGTTTCGGTACCCAATAAGCGACTCTTTCGATAGTCCGATTTTTCCTGATGGAGTCCACGAGGTACTGATGCCGGGTAAACGACCGCGTTTTGCTCCTATGCGTCCCCTTTTTGAGCGTTCTGACTTTCACCCCCGAAGTAGCCGCGCGACGAGCACGCAAGGGTATATCACTGCTCCCCAGATTCGGCGCAAAGGCGTTCGTACGTACACCACGTCGACGGCCAGCGGTTGTAACATTCAGGCGTGCAGAACACCCTCTGTAACGTGGGAGACGGCTCGAGATCCCGACGCTCCTGATAACGTTCCCTATGCAGGTATGATGTGATCCAACACCGTGACGGCGGCATCGGTGTCGATTGTCGTTCCCGACCCGATTTGCAAGGACCGAACCAACCCCCCCCCCCACTAACCCATTCGGCATGCGGGGCGTGCGACAACCTCTCGCCCCGGTCATGGACGTCCGAGTCCGCGAGCGCGTGAACACTCGGAGGGGCGCGACGGGTGGGTCGGTGGGTGTGGTGTGGCACGTCGGTTTGAGAACGTGATGTCTTGTCGATGGGTTGCTTAATCCCAACCTACCGGCGCCGATCAGCGAGCGTCATGGGCGCCCATCCGCGAAGGTAATACACCACACACCACCGCCGCGTGCCAAGCGAGCGTCGTGGTCAACAAGATCGGATTACTGTAGACGTTCGGCGCGGTGAGCCGTGTTTACTCGCCTGGATGCGTATGGCTTACCGGTCGCTCTCCTGTACGCTACTAGGCGGACGTGAAAGGTCGGGTCGTACCGCGACTACGTATATGCCAATCTTGTAGATACCGCCAACTCGGAGGACGGTCGGAAGGGGGCGGGAGTTTGATCGCGTTGGCTATATGCATGCGCTTGCTTGATCGTAGTGCCAGTACCCGTTTATACGGTCGTTTTCTATATCGAGCTCAGACTGATAGGCTGTGGTCGACAGAAGAGGATCGGGGTAGACAAGACAGTTGGACCCGGTAAGGCAGCGCGCCCAGGATCGTGGTGACAGCAATATCGAACCCGGGGGTTTCCCATCCCTTGCGGGTCGAGAAGGAATCCGCGCACAGCGCAGAATCCGCACGTCCTGAAGCTCGCTATCATGCCCTTGTCCCGGGGAATTAAGATCAATGACTTCATCGGAGCAGAGGAGGAGCTTTGTTTTAATTGATACCGATGAGAAGCGTTGTCGTCCCGGCTCCGTTCCCCCCGTTATATCGGAAGCAGGGATTCCATTATGCGTGAATGGTATAGCCGCCGAGGGAGGGTCGTCGACGATCTTTTTTCCCATCCGCGATCTTCGCCCTGCTTATGATGTTATATTTAATCGTCCCCCCTCCCTCGAAATGACAGACTTACGGGTTCCTTCTGTCAACGTTCAACGTCCGAGCGATATCGTTCATCCAGAATGGAGTGGGGTTCCCTGCGCATCGAGTCTCAAGAAGGAAGACGGGAAGGATGGCCGGTGCCCGGTGGAGAGAGGCGATCTGGTGAGAGCGCGCCATGAGGCTGCCCCTGATTGGATGGACTGAGGAGGCCAATGGGGTGTGAGACCCGGCCCCGTCCATGGTCCCGTGCGGCGAGCGCAGTCCGAGACCGGAGACAGCGAATAGGGGAGAGGACAGGACACGGGCACCGGTACCGAAGACGACGGTACGGTCTCAGCTGTACCGTATACGAGCGCTGACCAAAAGCTGACATGCGCGTGCATAGGCAAGGCACAGCCCAAGCTCTGGCCCGTTTGCTCCAGCTCCAGCCTCCAGATCGGCTGAACGATCGGACAGGACATGTACAGGACGGGACGGGTCCCAAAACCGGCCCAAAAGCGCAGCCAACTGAGACCAATCAACGAACCAGAGCCGGATTGAGTTTTGATCCCTCTCGATGAATCGAAACAAAGAGGCGATGGAGCCACGGATTTTTTTGAGTCCGTCTCGGATGCTGTTGTGGGTTCTGTCAAGATGAGGGTGTCTTCACGGCCTTACCGTTCGTATTTCGCCTCTTTTCCAACCATCCTCTCCCACCCACGCAAGGTAAACTTCGAGGGGACTGACTGATTGGGCTGAGCGTCCAACCCCCCGGTGCGGGGAAGCGCGGGCTGTTCCTGTGCTCGTTGCGCCAGAAAACGCCGCCGTTCTACAGTATCACGAGCCCCGGAGGATCGCACAGGATCGCGCCCTCGCATCGAGTCACTTGCTCGTCCTTACGTTCCGGCCTTGCTGGCGAGCGTCACGTTCCGCCGGGCGGATGAGATCCGTTCGCGTTGTACGTATACGCAGCGGCGGAGAGGAACACGCCAGCGGCCAAACGCGAGCTCGCCCGCCCGCCGCCCCGCTGACCGCGGCGTGCCACGTGAGCAGGCCGGAAACGGGGGCTCGCGGAGGTCGGCGGTCGCTCGATTGGCTGGCGACGGGGTCTGGACCGCGGGCCTGCGGGGCTCAGGTCATGAGACCTCTTTTTCCGTTTCTGCTCTTCCGGGCTGGCCTGCGACCGCCGACGCGGGAGGTCGAAGGCGAGAGAAATAAAATCGACCGCACACCAAACATGGTCCGCTCTCCCCGTCTTCCCCATCCTTCTCCTCCTCCTCCTGTTCGTCCCCCTCGCTCTCTCCACCGCCACCGCCTCCTCGTCCCCGCCGCCGCAGCGTTTACTGCGCAGGATAGTACAGGACAGGTACAAAGACCAAGGCATCTGGCATGATACGCATCGGCCGCCTGTTCGACAGGCGCGACAGGTCGCCCTCGCCCAGCGCGCTCCAGGTGTGTAACACCCCGACCCTGATGCAGCATCATACAGTTCCATCGCCTTCTCCTTCCCCACGTCCCTCGAGCTTTCGGCTTCTAACGCCACCTTCCATCTCGCATCTGTCGTCGTCTGTTTTTACTTCTAGTCGAGCCACCCCAGAGTCTATCCCGCAGACACGTACTCATTCCTCCCTTCTTCTTATTTCTTCCGCAGCGAACCCCCCGAACACGCCCCGACGAAGCGAACCCTCCCGATTCGACCGAGTCCTCTACTAACATAGCGTCCGGCGTGAGTCATCATCCCGTCCGGTTTATAGTTCTCGGCAAGCTGATTAACGGCGGCGGGGTGGTGTTCCTTCCTTCTTCGAATCTTTCCCGCTTTCCGACGTGTGCAGTCAAGATCCGCCGGCTTCCACATCGTCAGCGTCGTAGGACTCGGCAGGACCGCGAGCACCAAGACGATCTCTGCCCCGACGTCCACCAGCCTCAAGCGCGCGTCGCGACTCGTCCGTCGCCCGCGCTCCACGTCCGCGCATCGATCGACCCGGCGACGCTCGCCGTCGCCTCTACCGCCGTCCCCCGCCGCCGTAGATCTACCATCGGACCCAGCCTCGGCGCTCCCTTTACCCCCGCCCATCCGCCCTCGACCGATCACGCAGCGATCCATGTCGTGGTCCGGCTCGCCCACCCCGCCCCGGTCACCGACGCCGTCGACGTCGACCACCTCCCTCCGATCACCGCCGCTGTCGCGACCGTCCCCGCTATCGTCTCCCCCCGCGGTTTTGGCGTCGTCACCGTCACCATCATCATCACCATCTTCACCAGCACCTCCTGCTCCACTCACTCCCCGTCTTCAAGCGCTCGACCTGCGCACCCCGATCGACCCCGCGGCGATCCACACCGAGTTCGTCCGCGCCGGCCTGCCCGTCGAGCGCGTCCGCTCGATCCCCGCCCGCCGGCCGCGCGTCACGCACCTGATGGAACAGCACGCCGAGTTCGTCGCCGAGGTCGGCGAGTGGCGCGCGGAGGCCGCGATCCCGGAGACGGACGAAGAGAAGGAGGAGGGGGAGGAAGAGAAGGAGCGCGGGCTGCGCAAGCCCGGCTCGAGCTCGAGCCTGCGCTCGATGGCGACGCGCAAGCGGCCGTCGCAGGATACGCTGTGCGACTCGCCGATCGAGTCGGCGTCGGGCGAGACGTTGTGTGCGTATACGGACGAGCCCGAGCCCGAATCCGAGGCGGAGAAGAAGAAGAAGAAGAAGGAGAGCAAGGCCGCGCCCGCGCCGTCGCTCGAGAAGCTTATCGCGCTGGAGAAGGCGATGTCGACGCCGACGCTCGCGTTGCCCGGCGCGGCGCCGAGGCTGGATCCCGCGGTCGAGCCGCAAAAGCCGAAGGCGAGGCGCGCGTTCTCGCTCTGGCCGTCGTCGTACGTCTCTTCTCTCTCTTTTTTTATTTTGATTCATTATTACTTGAGCGCGGGCTTACGAAATTTGGGGTATATATAGGTTCAGACGGTCGTTGCTGCACACGAAGCTGCCGGTGTCGGCCAGTGCGCCGGCGTCACCGTCGTGCGACGCGCCCTCGTCGCCCATGCTGCTGCCGATGAGCGCGTCCGTCGCGTCGGGCTTGCATTTCTCAACGAGGCGGAGGACGAACAGCATCGTGTTCTGAAGCTTCCATCGTCAACAACCGACCTCGCCTTATCCCCCCTCCTCCTTATCAATCTCGGGCTGACTTTACTCAAAGAATGGACAAGGGGGTGGAATGTTTTTGAACCTGTTCTTCTTCTGTTACTACAAAGTATTCGAAAAACCTTCTAATTCTTCGCTCTTTGTTCTTTCTTATGTGTCGACTGGGTTGCTCTCACTGTGTGGGCCTCACGGATCTTTCGTTGCTGTGGATTTTTTTCCCTTCTGCTTCTACCTCTGTATGCATGTATGGGACAATGGGATCGGGAGGCACGGGATGGCATGAAATGTAATATCACGACTGGCTGCTCAAACGACATACCTGGGTATACCCTCACGGAGGAGCCCTCCGCATTCGCGTCGGAATCCCGTCGAGCAAGCGAGCGAGGAACGCCCCCACATGGCGCGCTTGGACGCCGAACGCGGCGGGGCGCGGCGGCCCGACGCGCCATACACTTCGCCACATTCCACTTTTCTCGGGTCGAAACTTATCTTTGAAGCTTTATCTCACCCGGTTGGACTGCGGATCGAAGCGGTCTCCTATTTATTTATCATGGGACTGTGAACGCGAAATCGTACGAACCGCGACCGAAACCTTGCGGCCAGCAGAGCTCGAGCTGACACCCATGTCTTTCGACGACTGCGCCTCGTCTGTACCCTTCGAGAAGGTCCTCGTCACGTCCGACTTTTGGCTGAACAGGGTCGACGCCGTGCGGATGGGCTCGATCCCGGCGATGTACGCCCAGATGAAGGAGACCGGCCGGTGGGACTCGCTCAAGCTGGGGTGGAAGCCGGGGAAACCCAACAAACCGTACGTTCGCGGTTGCCACCCTTCGAGTAGCGGCGTGGAGTTGACGCATACGTGTAGGCACCGGTTTTGGTTCGTTGAGGGTCTTTGTTTGGGATGAAGAACGGGAGGGAGAATTGCTGACCGCCGCGCGCGCAGGGACTCGGACGTGGCCAAGTGGCTCGAGGCCGCGTGCTACTCGCTCGTGCTGCACCCCGACGCCGAGCTCGCCAAGCTCGTCGAGGAGGCCGTCGACCTCTTCCGCGGCGCCCAGCAGGACGACGGCTACCTCAACACGTACTATACGGTGTGCATATACATCCTCGCGTTTTTTAAGCTCTGTGTGACCGTCTGACGCCGGTGTCTGCTTGCGCAACTGCCAAAGGTCGTCGAACCTGGAAAACGATGGACCAACATCGCGTACGTCAGGCACCCCCGTGTGTCCGAACTCTCCGTGTATAAAAAAAACCGTCGTTTTTGACCGAGTGTGCTTTTTTTGGGCGGCCCCTTGTCCAGATGGTCGCACGAAATGTACTGCGCCGGTCATCTGCTAGAAGCTGCCCTGGCGCATTACACGTGGTGTGCGCTATCCCGTCTCCCCCCCTCGGCTCGCGCGCTCGACTGATCCCAGATGACGCTCTATTAGCTCAAAGCACCCGTCTCCTCGATCCCGCCTTGAAGTACATCGCGCATATTCGCGCCACCTTCGGCCTCGGCGAAGGCCAAAAGAAAGGGTACGGCCTTTTCCTCCCTCGCCCCCTCTCCCCCCCTTTCAACGCCGGGCTCCAGATCGGCTCACGCTTCGTCCTCGCCACAGCTACCCCGGACACCAGGAGATCGAGCTCGCGCTGCTCAAGGCGCACGAGCAGCTCGCGTCCGCGCCGGCCGTGCCACGAGCGACCGTGGACATGCTGCTCGAGCTCGCCAACTACCTCATCGAGGAGCGGGGCCAGCGCCGCCCGGAAGGTCACTACTACGACGTCGAGGCCGCCGCGCGGGGTGAGGAGGTGTTCCCTGGACCGACGCGCCGCGGCGGCGAGAAGTTCTCGTATTACCAGGCGGAGGCGCCCGTGCGGGAGATCAAGAGCGCGGAAGGGCACGCCGTGCGCGTCGGGTGCGTTATGCCGTTTCGTCGACGTATGTGAGAGACTTAGTTCCGGGGGGTACTAGGTACTGGTTGACCGCCGTGGCGGGCCTGGCGCGGTTGACCAGGGACGAGAGCTTGGTGCGGGCGGCGGAGCGTCTGTGGAAATCGGTGATGCGCAAGATGTATGTCACGGTGCGTGTGTGCTCCTCGAACGCTTGCTGCACAAGGTCGCTGACGGCCGAACAGGGCGGTGTTGGCGCAATGGGCGACTGGGAGGGATTCGGGCCGGACCATTTCCTGCCGAACGAAACAGGTCAGCGCGGCTTTGACCCCCCTTTTTCTCATGGCGAGCTCGCAACTGATACGGATGGTCATCGAGGGTATCTTGAAACATGCGCGGCCATTGCGCTCGTGCTGTTCGCGCACCAGATGTTGTTGCTGTCCCCGCGTAACGCGGAGTACGGCAACGTGCTCGAGCTAGCGCTGTATAATGGTGTGCTCGTCGGCATGTCGTTGGACGGCAAGAGTTTCTTTTACGACAACCCGACGGCGACCATCGGGGCAGGCTACGAGCGCAGCAAGTGGTTCGAAGTCTCCTGCTGCCCGCCAAACGTATGTTCACCGTCTGCGGAGCTAAACCTCGCATAGAGCTGATATATCCTTCACATAGGTCGCTCGCCTCGTGAACTCTCTGGGAAAGTACATATACACCCTCGGTGCAGACGATACGGTGCACGTTCACCTGTATATCTCGTCGTTCACTGACCTGGTGATCGACGGTACAAGCGTTCGCGTGCGGCAGGAGGCTTCATCGCCGTGGGCCACCAACGCGTCCGCCACGTTCGTCGTCGAGAGCGCTGGCGACAAGACCGTGCGCTTCAGCCTCCGCAAGCCCCTCGGCGCGGACGATTTCAAGGTCGACGCCCTTTGATCTCTACTCCAGCGCCAGCGAGAGCTCACATGCGCCGCAGATTACCGCTGGCGTCTCGGCCGCGTACATCATCACCGTGAACGACGACTTCATCCAAGTCGCTATCAAGGGCGGACGCGCCATCAAGGCGCCGGTGGCGTTTACCGTCAACTGGACGTACCGCCCGCGCCGACTGCACCCGCACCCGCTCACGCTCGACAACCGCGGCAGCGTCGCGTTCGCGCGCGGCCCGTTCGTGTACTGTGCCGAGTCGGTCGACAACGCGGCGGTGCTCGGCGGCGACCTGCGCGCCCTCCGCGTACCGGACGACGCGCCCGTTCGTGAGATCAGCGGCGCGCGCGCGTTCGCGGGGTCCGGGCTCGAGCCGAAGTTCCTGCGCACGACGGCGTTGGTCGTGAGCGAGGAGGGCGAATCGTGCGGGGAGGAGCTGCCGCTCACGCTCGTGCCGGTGTTTATGTGGGCGAATCGTGGCCCGTCGGAGTTCAGGGTCTGGCTGCCTCGAGAGGTGCACCGAGACTTGTGAACGCACCCGGGGCGCTCGGATGCTCTGGTGAGCTTGGACCACTCAGATGAACAACGGGTTTGAACGTCGGTCATGATTCGTTCTACATCATGTTTGATAGTAGGAAGATTACGGGATATAGGCAGCTACACAAGTTTTTCGAATGCAATGGGTGTACCCCTCCGATGATCTCGCGTCCTTTCAATATGGAACGACTTGGGCGGTGTACTCTAGCGGTGCAAAAGCCGCCAGCGGTAAGTAGGCTTCCCTCTCTTCGCGGGGGCTCGCAATCCTACGGTTGTTCTGGCCGTATACAGCAACATCACTGAGGGGACGACGTTTCACGGTGGACCTGCAGACGTCACCTGCGGACGCGGTCACGTGAGCCACCTAACGCGTATGCCACACAAGCGCGAAGATGAAAGTCGTTGGGGGCTCCTTGGCTTTTGACTCTACCGTCAAATGTTCGGTCTGGTATCTTCCCCAGACCAACCCTCCGGCTTGCCTGGACAAGCTGGAGGGGTTAACTCCTCTCTACCAGAGGAGGGTATTTCGTACATTTGTACAGGAATATTCACCGGAGACCCCCCCCATATATAAACCCCCCCCGGGGATGACCCAGAGGAGCCAGATGAGACGCCCCCCCAAACGCTCATCCCACCACCACACCAAGTAGACTACACGCGTACCCCGAGAGCCCTACACTACCCTAGACCATAGGGACCGATGGGCAAGCCGGGGGGAAGGGCAGGCCCCAACGCCCCCCCAGCAGCCCGAGCACCCCCGCCAGCGCACAACCCGACCCAGCCCACCCAGACCGCGCGCACGCACGTGCCAAGAACACCCTAAGCGGCGCAGCTAAGGCCTGGACGCCGGAGAAATGAGTCAACGAGTCAACGAGTCAGCACGGAAACTCGTCGCCGTCGTCCTCGACCACACCTACCTAGGCAGCACACACACCCGCTCTCCAAGCTGTTCCAGGCAACCATCCCCGAAAGCCTACGCCCGCTGACGCCCAAACCCGTCAAGGCGGGCGAGAAGCACGCAGGCACCCCAACCACCTCGGGCCGTAACCATCAGAAAGCCCGACACCAGCGTCCGAACCGGAGCCCGAGCCCAACGCCCCACAGCCAAGGCCCCCATCCAGAGGTAAAGACCGCCCACCCCCACGCACTGGAAGCAAGTGAGCTGACATGACACCAGACCCTGGTCCCGTACAACCTGCGCATGCCGGCCGAGACCTCGCTCCGCGTACGAGGCGACGAGGGGCACGACCAACCCCCCCAGACGGCCTCACAAGAACAAATGCCCAATCCTGAATACGACGGGATGCAGATAGACACCACCACCGCGAACACGACCGCGGCACCAACCGGCGAGCAGGGTAACCCCCCTCATGCCACGGACGCGCACGCGGCGCAAGCCCCCCCGAAAGCCCAGTCCCAGGGTACCCCACCCGACCCGCAGACGCCGGGAGGACAACCGCAGGCGGCCGCCCCCCAAGCCCCCCCCATGGCCGACCCCACGGTCCTCGAATTCGAAGGTCTCTACGCCAAACCGGAGCATGGACGCTTCCCGACGATCCACACGTGCAAGTGGGACGACATTTTCCTCCACACCAAGCCGGCCCAACGCGAAGCGTGGAGCGCCCAGGACATGCGGACTTCAGTGATCGTATACCCCCCACGCCCTCACGAGTTCGCCAACCCAGACGCCTGCATGGAATACTTCTTAAGCATACTCGATTATATATGCCCCGAGGACAAGGAACCGTTCGGCCCGCCGGAGCCGAGTATCTTCCGCGACGTCCTGGTAAACCAACCGGTCTCGAACAACCAGCGAGCGGAACCGTTCTACATGATAACCGGACTCAACCGCAACGTGGCCCATACCCTCCGCACGCAGCCTGTTTGGTCCACGAAGGTCGGGACTATGTTCGTACTCCCCCACCCCCTCCCCTTGCCCACCTTCGCAGTATCGCTCACGAACTTTACGTGCCGCGACAACGCGAAGGAGAAACTCCACGAGGAGGTAGTTAACTTCCTGCGCGAAAACCTAGCCTTCCGCAATATGGTAACGGTCAGCGCAATCGAGCTAAACGTGGCCGACATCGACAGCCAGGCGGGAGCCGACAAGCACATGGAAAGCGTCCTCCGAACGGTAGAGCTTCGCCCCCTCTGGATCCCTCGCGGCGACAACGGCTCAGAGGGCTACGAATCCCGCTGGAACCTATACATCGACTGCCCGATCCCGCCCGAACGCCACTCGGATTGGGCAGAGATGCTCCGGAGCTTCGAATACAAGGCCAAGTGGGGCACGGGCACCGACGCCGGCCACATGCGCTGCTCGTATTGCTCGAGCGTAGATCATCAGCGAGCAGTATGCGAGTTCCAAGCACTCCCGAACTGGTTCGACACCGAACGCACCGCCCCCAAGGCTATCCCTGGTCAGTCCATCGCGCCCGTCATCCCCAACTCCCGCGGCAACAAGGGGGGCACGAGGCAACGCCCCGAGAACAACCGTGGCGGTAACAAGCGGAGGGGAGGCAGAGGCTCGGGCGGGAGGAAGTAGAACCCCCGCCCTCCGACACCCGTAACGAATACCTGTACCGTTACGAATACGATACATATATAGATGCGCGCACGAACCCCCTCTCAATATCATCTATATGACCTGCCCCCACACTGTCGGGAAGTGAGTGAAAGGGTGAACACACGACGCGATATCGAGCAGCGGCTAAACACCAGTAAGAGGGCCCAGTGACTAGACAGGCCCGCCGGCCCCGCGAATAGACAGGCCCGCCGGCCCCGCGACCGAACGGGCTCGGCGTAAGTGGACCGTAGGGAGACCGCTCGACGATCACCCAGAGCTTAGTGCCGCCTAACGTAATACTATACAAACTACGTCATACTCGGGGGGCACCGCCTTATAAACAACCAACCAGAGGACGACCCACTGAATCGAACCACCTCCCTGCCCGACAATCGGCTAGCAGGCATGAGAATCGAAGCAGTAAGGAGGAGATAAAATCCTGAGCGGTCGCCCCAAGGGAACCACAACACCACACACTCATTAACCCTGGTACGGTAGCCATCCCTCGCCTGCCGAGAACGAACATTAACACGCTTGCCCTCGCCACAGAAACAATGTCAAGTACCTCTACCCCGACTCCATTCCTTATAGAATACAGCCCGATCCACGCTAAACGAACATTAGCTGGGAGGTGCGACGCACACTGGCAGGCGTACGAACCATCGGAGGAAAACCCCCTCCCCACCACCTGGCACGGCACCAAGGTCCGCCTATACGACAACCTGGGCGCCGTAGCTTGGGGAATCCTCACGATCGATCAGATCGACGACAACTATGTCACGTTCAGACTGAGCGGACCCACCTGGAGCTCCACCATCGTGGATACGAAGGACAAGAACCCTCCCGTGATCACGGATAGAAACTGCCCCCCCATCTCGAAGTTAACCCTTCTCTCCATACCGAAGCTGGACGACACGGACCTCGGAATACCGTGGTGGAGGTGGGCGATTGCGCGCGCGAAGGGGATGCTTAACATGAATGTCCCAATGGGCCTTGATGTCTTCTGGGCGGAACCGATATAAATAGCGTAGACTAGCCCCCAATCAACGAATAATAACCTGTCTGTCGCACGCACCGTTACTGGAGGATGGGACACACCGACCAGACCAGACAGCGCGGAACGTAATAGGGTGCGAGCGACCCAAGCTAGGTTCGGCCGGCCAAAAGCGGGCCAAACCATAGACGAGCGAACGCCGCGAGGCGGGCAGACCGCCTGCCGTCGAACCTGAATAAATTCAGCTACAAACAACACACACACACCACCAACAATGAGAGAGAACGACAAACAGCAACCTGTATTGAGCGTTGACCGTTGCCCTAACGAGGGAGACGGCCCCGGGACGAGAGCGCGGTCCGCTGTGCATGGGACGGAGATGCACAGTTTAAACAGAGCGAATCCCCCGCCCTGCGGTGGGACTTCAACGGTTCGAACACCACAGACCCATGAGCGAGAACCTAGGGGAGCCCTCCGCCTCCCAGATCAACCACAGGAGGCGAGCGACTACCCGACGAACAACACCGCGGAAGCGCCGCAACCAACCCCCCGGACACGAGAAGAAGCCGAGAGAGCCAGGGGTAGTGCCACGCACGACGAGAGCGACGACAGCTCCGAAGACGACGAAGGGGCGCAACGACCATGGGACTTCGAACTGGACGAAGACATGATGTGGGAGCCCGAAAACGCCCCGCGCCCGGGAGCCAAGCCGGGCAAGCCTAAAGGGATGAAGAACACTAAGGCGTCAATCAAAATTGCAAGCCTCAACATGAGAGGGAGAGGGGACATGACCCACCTCGAACAGAACAAACCACGTAACAAGTGGTTCCACATAAACCAACTGGTGCGGGATAGCAGGATAGGCATCCTCCTGCTCCAGGAAACTCACCTGACGGCGGAACTGAAAAACCAGGTCGAATCAGTCTTCAGTAAGAGACTACGCGTCCTCAACTCAGAGGACGAAGAGGCACCAACCGCCGCGAGAGGCCTCGCCTTCGTCCTCAACAGGGAAATCACGAACGCGGAAGATGCGACCATCGTAAACGTGATCCCGGGACGTGCCGTCATGCTGAGAATACCATGGCACTCGGACCAAGAGCTTACCATCCTGGGGGTATACGCACCGAACGAGGCCAAAGAGAACTCCGAATTCTGGAGAAACTTGAAACGAGTATGGAGGACGGAGCGGCTCCCTAAACCCGATATGATGATGGGCGACTTCAATCTAGTAGAAGATAAGCTGGACCGCCTTCCGATGCATAACGACAACGGCGAAGCCGTGGAGGCCTTCCGCACCCTCAAGGCGAAAATGGGCATGCACGACGGATGGAGAATGGACCATGAGGACTATCTTCAGTACAGCTACACGCAGAACGCGACCGGCTCCCACTCACGAATAGACCGCATATACGCCGCCGAGCATACGCTCCGCAATTGCAACGTCTGGTACATAGAACCCCCCGGGGCAGTCCAAACGGACCACCGAATGGTATCCGTCCAGTTAACGGACGCGAGCAAACCGTTCATAGGGAAGGGAAGATGGGCTATGCCCGCTGAAATGCTAAAACACAAGGCAGTTAGGGAGAGCATCGAAACAATGACACGAGAACTGGAAGCGAACGTACAACTCGCCTGCAAACTGCCCCATCGCTCCCCGACATGGAACCCACAGACCCTCCTTGCAGACTTCAAGAAAGAGCTGGAGAGCGACGTACGAGACATCCAAAGGAAACGAATGCCGAAGATCGATAGGAAGATCGCCGGCCTAAACCTCCGCCTAAGCCAGACCGTCAATAACCGTGAGATTGACGAAAATGAACGCTCCATACAAGGAGCGATAATAAACGAAAAGATAGGAGAGCTTACCGCCCTGAAGCACACCCAGACACGAACGAACTCGGCGGCACACGACCAGCTCAAGGGAGAGGTCATATCGAAGTACTGGTCCGCGATCAACGGCGATAGGAGACCAAGAGATACGTTGGCGAGAGTCCGAAACCCGAAGAGAGGCGGCCCGAACGAGCCAGAGTTCCTGACGAGCTCGGTAAGAATCGCCGAAGCGGCCCGGGACTACCACGAAGGACTACAGAACCTAGGCAGGAGACCAGATAATGAGACAAACGAAGCCAGGGTGAGAGTGCGGAATAGCACGAAAATACGCCTCAGCGAAGAGCAAAAGAATCACATGGCGCAGGGGGTCACAAGGGACCAGGTAATACAAGCGATCAAGGGTGCCCCTAACGGGAAGGCCCCCGGGATGGACGGATTCCCGTCAGAGATGTGGAAATACCTGCACGAACAATACGAAAAAACCGAGAATGATGACAGGCCGACGTGCGACATCGCCGAGATATTCACCAAAGTATTCAACGACATAGAGAAGAACGGGATATGCTCTGGAACCGACTTTTCGTTAGGATGGCTCTGCCCGATCTATAAGAAAAATGACAGGCAGGACATTAGCAATTACCGCCCGATTACTGTCCTGAACGCAGACTACAAGATATTTACCAAAGCGTTAACCCTACGACTGTCCAAAGTTGCCGAAAAGGTGGTCCATCCGGATCAAGCCGGATTCATCCCCGGAAGATCGATATTTGACCAGGTTAAGCTCGCGAAATTGACAACGCACTATGCAGACCAAACTGACTTCCGGGGAGCCCTGGTCTCCCTGGATCAAGAAAAAGCGTACGATAAAATCGAACACGCGTACCTTTGGGACATACTAGAGAAAATGGGATTCCCCAAGTCGTTCATCGACACCATAAAGCACCTATACGACGGGGCAGAGACCCTAGTGATCATAAACGGAGTCCTGAGCACCAGGTACGGTGTATTTCGAGGAGTGAGGCAAGGGGACCCCCTCTCATGCCTCCTCTTCAACCTAGCAATCGAGCCGCTCGCAGATATGATCCGGAGGTCAACGCTAAGGGGGATGAGCATCCCCGGAATACTGGAACGCACTATCGTGTCCCTATTCGCAGACGACACATCAGTCATCCTACACCACCTTGACAAATTCGAAGACCTCACCGCGATACTAGACGAGTGGTGCGCCGCATCAGGCGCAAAATTCAACGTGCTGAAAACCGCGGTGATACCACTAGGCCCGGAGCAATACAGGGCGGAAGTAGTAGCGACGCGCAGGCTAGCCGCCGGCAACAACTGCATCCCGGACGGCATAAAGATCGCGAGCGACGGCGAGGCAATACGTTTCCTGGGGGCCTGGATCGGAAACGGAGCCGACGACGCTACCCCGTGGGGACCAACCCTAGAAAAGATCGACGCGGCGCTAGGCAGATGGGAGAGGAGTCATCCAACACTGGAAGGAAGGCGCCTAATAGTCCAAATGGTGGTAGGAGGAATGAGCCAATACCTAACTAAAGTCCAGGGAATGCCGGTAGAAATCGAAAAGACACTGACGAAAAAGATACAGACCTTCGTCTGGAACTCACCCAAAACCCCACCAATCAACAAAGACACGATGGCTAGGCCCATCTTAGAGGGAGGAAAGAAGATCCTGAGCCTGAAGGAAAGGAACGAAGCGATCCAGCTAACGTGGCTGCAATCGTACCTAGACATCGGACAGACGCGCCCAAAGTGGGCATACGTGGCAGACGAAATAATGAGAAGGAACGTCCCGAAATCCCTGAGTAAGTGGGACGAGGATGCCCTGATAAACTGTTTCCAACAGGACTGGAAACCAAAGACGAAAGGAGGCAACCTACCGAAAGAGCTGCGGGACCTAGTCGTAACCGCTGTCAAGCACGATCTAAAGTTCGAGGCGATAGAAATCAGCACTAATGTTAAAGCCGAGCTCCCGCTGTGGCTCCACATCGGAGGGGAGTCCGCCGCAAAACGCCTACAAAACACGCCGAGAGCGAAATGCCTGAGACGAAACCATGACCTGCTCACCGTGGGCGACTCCGCATACTATACACACTTCTGGCCAAACAACCATAAAGCTCGAACAGACTGCCTATGCGGTGCATGCATGAGGGCAAAAGCAAGAGGATGTACGAACCCCGAGGCATGCCGCAAAGCCTGCGAGAGAGTATACAACGAACTGGGAGAGAGATGGAAACCCTCTGGCCCCCAGTACATAAGGAAGGAATTCGACAGTAACGTCACCTGCGCGGGGATACCTGACGAAGAAAGAGGACAATTGAGACCCTTCGACTCCGATCACATAGTGAGGCAGACGAGGGACTGCTTCCGGATATTCGCAGGGAACCTCACCCCAAGAAGGGCCCCACCGAGACCGCGAACTAGTCCTGGAGACACCTCGGCGATCTCAGTGGCAGTAGCTGGGGCCAGATGGTCCAAGGAAGGCGAAGACGCCAGGCACGCAGGGGGTATCTGGGCTGGAGAAGGCAGCCAATACAACCAAGGTTTCCGCACACCAGGCGGGGACTCGACGACATACACGCAGGGGATATACGCAGCGATAGCAAAGGCCGCGAGCATCATCCCCGCCTCCAAACCGCTCATACTTCGCGTTCCGAGCGAGGCCGTAATCCAAGAGCTCACGACGAAAAGAGCGAGAAACGAAGATAACGACTGGGTCGATAAAACCGAATCCGACGCGCAGAGAACTGCGATCGCGAATATAAGGGCCAGGGAGGCCTGGACGGCGTTCATAATGACGCCTCTGAAGGGAAAGAACGCATCAGTGAAGAAGGCGAGAGATGCCGCAAAAGCAGCGAATGAAGCGGGACCAATCGAGGAACTGACCGCGCCTCCTCCAGAGTTTACAATACACGGAGCAAGACTCTGTGCCTCCACCCAGAGCTCCCTATACCGGAGCCTCATCAAGAAAAGGAAGCCCACCACGAGAAGACACACCGCAATGAACCTGGACATAATACGGTGGGCGGCGGCCGGACTAGGGCGGAAGACCCCCCCCTCAGACGCCCAGATATGGAAAGCAACCCGCAGCCCGGTCATGTTGAGGGCCGAACGCGCGTTCCTGTACAAAACCGTGCACGAGGCCCACCGGGTGGGCGGTTTCTGGGAGAAAATACAGAACTACGAAAACAGAGCAGTCTGCGGCGTATGCGACTGCACAGAATCCATAGAGCACATACTCACCGACTGCGAAGGTAGCGGGTGCTACATAATTTGGCGACTAGCGGAGTCCCTGTGGAGACGCAAGACGTCCAAGCCATGGCCAGGCAACGCGTACGGCACCATAATGGCGTCGTGCATGGCGAGTTTTGAGGACGACAAGGATGGGAGCGTTAGCAGATTCTACAAGATCCTGATCGCGACGTCGGCTTACATGATATGGGTCATCAGGTGCGAACGGCGGATCCAACGCGGGGAACACCCAGAGAAAAGGCACACGCGAACGGAGATACACAATAGGTGGGTAGCCAAAATTAACCAACGGCTGAACCTAGATAGGGCGATGGCGAACGGATCACGTTACGGAACGAAGGCCCTAGCAAGGAAAACGGTCCTGAAGACCTGGTTGGGCGCACTAGATGACGAAGAAAGCCTCCCCGAGGACTGGATCTGGAAGAGCGCGGTTTTAGTGAGTATACGACCAATACGCGATCGGGGTGGATAACCCACCCCGCGGTTGGAGTCTCACACTCGAAGTGCGTAAAGCATTTCCGCGCGGTGATATATGACTTCTATGATTATGACACACATGCAGGCTGATACTTCTTACCCACACTTTGACCAGGCGATGATCTCTCGGAGGCGGGCTTGGCCCGACCGTCTGAGAGTAGCCTACAACCAAAAAAAAAAAAAAAAAAAAAAAAAAAAAAAAAAAGATGAAAGTCGTTCTCTTCCTCGCCTCTGATCAAGGCTGCTACATCCATTCTCAGGAGGCGATTTCCACGAAGAAGAAATCGAAGCGCAGAACCAGAATTCAACGAAGTAGGTCGACGCATACAGGCTGTGGTCGTAGTCTACGTCGAACGAGCCAACAAGCCCAGATTGGCCAGCTCGTTGCGCGCTTAGAGCGTATCGCAACTCAATATTGATACCAACAAGAAGTATGGATAGGCAAGTTCCGCCTATTCAGAAGCATTTTCCAGCGCATCTCATGACTTTGTTCCCCGACGCCACTCCACCTGACAACCGTAGCCGGCTCCCCTCTCCTAGTATTTCTCCACGGAGCTCTGCTATGGATGAGATCAGACAGAAGATTGATGACAAGATATACAAACTACTCGAAGAGGTCCGGAGCTTACGAGAAAATCGGAACCACTTAGCACCGATCTACAAGCTTCCCGTCGAAATGATGTCCTCTATCTTTTGTCACTGCATGCCAGCTTCCCGGGGTGACCCTGTCCAGTATCCATCCAGCCACACATTTATGAACGTATCGCGCCGTTGGCGTGAGATTGGGCTCGGAACCGCCGCTGTGTGGGCAAACCTGCCAAGTCGCATCCTAGCTTCCCCGGAGCTGACTCAGATGTTCCTGTCGAGGTCGAAGGGCACGCCTCTCACGTTGAACGCGATCGTTCGATCCGCCTCTCCCAGCCCAGTCGACAGCATCATCTCCCACATGGACCACACAGTGAATCTACGACTTCGCTGCACGAGTTCTCCCAACCTGAAGGTTGCACTCTCAGTGCCTGCCCCGCTTCTTGTTTCGTGTTTCGTGCACCGCGTGCAGCTACCAGACGATTTCTTGGCCCTATCTGCCCCGCGACTCCGGCACATGCACATGTGTTACACGAAACTAAACTGGGCCACAATGTCTACCTCGCTTCTGTGCTCTCTGACCAAGCTCCATTTGGAAGATATGTATGGCGTCTTCGACACCGCGGCAGAGTTGATCAACGGATTGAGATCGATGCCACGGCTCCAGGAACTGCGCATGCACGACGTCTCGGTCCTTGGTAATGATCTGGATACCAAGGAGGCATCTCACGAGCATAATCCTCTTATCCTGGCTCAATTGCGAGTTTTCTATTTCAGTGGGAAAGTATCTAACCTCAAATTCATTCGTGGCATCCGATTTCCTCCCGCAGCCTCTCTGACTATCCGTATTCGCTCCTACGGCGAGATCTCATTTCCATGGGACTGGCATGGACTACTGGCATCTCTGCAAGATCATGGCACCCGGTGCGATACTGGGCCCAATGTACGACGCTTGGAATGCTATGAAGATTCACGTAACTTCGCATTCCACGCGTACGCGACGCCCTGCCTGGATGACCCCACTCCGCCATTGCTTCGTTTGATCATCGATGACAAACTCTTTATCAATACGGAGCGCGACATCGACTTCGTGGGCATGCTTCAACTTGAACATCTCGAGGTGCTTGGCCTATGCCTTAGAGATGGTTTCAATGAAGACTTGGTCACTCGCATTCTTAAGCACGGTCATAACGTGTCCGAGCTTTGGCTTCGCAGTCACTACGCGAGCAAAACGGCTCTTACTCAGCTGGCAAGATCATCGCTGAAGCAGGGCAAGAAGAAAGGGCAGTCCACGGATCCCCCCCTGCTGCCGGAGGTCCGACGCATTCACGCGAATTTGGAAGAGCGGCGACCGAGTCAAGATCTGCTCAGTCGACTCCGAAGCCTCCTGAAACAAAGGTCCAGAAGCGCGAGTGGGCCTCCGGAGCTCATGCTCGTGAACAGTCGAATCGACAAGCCCGAGGAGATCGAGAAACTGCGAACGGCAGCCGGCAGAACGGAGCTTGTGCAGTTGATGGACGACGCGGACGTGTCCGGAGAAAGCTATTTCGGTTTACCGGATGAGACCCCGGAGGATGAACTTCACTAGGCTCGTCATAGGTATTGCGTCGACCTGTTAAATATGTTGACAAAGAGCTGCACTTGCGCGATTGAGCACAAAATTCCGACTCCCCCCGTAAGGGGAAGGAGTTGGTACTGGACTCGGTCATAGTGACACCCCCTGTGACCCCGCCAAAACGTTACAGAAGCGTGATAAAGCGTGATGGCTCCGCGGAAATCGGACAGCTAGGCGCTCGAATTAATCTGGCCGCAGCAGCGTGACAAAGTGAGTGTGAGAATGCTTAGATCATGTATTGGAATCAGTTGTAAATCTGATCAAGGAGCTCGCCGAGGTGCCGAAGGTTACATTGTTGCTGATACTGGTCAGTTACGTAATTGTTACCTCTACTGCGCATTTTCTTCTCTGCGTGATGACACTTTCCGTCTTGGGCCTTGAGATGTGGAGCTTCGGGCGCTTGTTTATTACGTAGATTTGACGGTGCATAGTTGGAACTCCGAGCCACGGGTGACCTGTGCCTTGTGGTCCGATGTAATCTCCGCCCGAATGTAACCAATCAGATTGGACGGGGGAGTCGGAATGAGGCGCTTGCCGCCCCCTTACTCACGTCCATGCCGTCCGAGCCGCAGCGATTGTTTGGTGTGCTCTATGGCTCGACCTTGTTGCACGTCGCAAATATCTTAGAATAATACGACGAAGCCTAGACTCCTTCGCGTAGGAAAATGGACAGGCGAGTAGCGTCTGTTCAATAGCGCAATCCGGCTTCTTCAACTTTACAATCCTTTAGCCAACTCTCTTCCGCAGACGCCCCTTGGCTGAGCTCTGCGGCGGACGAGATACGTCGCGAAATTGATAGCAAGATACACGGCCTGCTTGAAGAGGTTCGGGCCTTACGCGAGAGGCGCAACCATTTGGCGCCTGTCTACAAGCTTCCCGTTGAACTGTTAACCTCCGTCTTCTGTCATAGCATGCCTGCTTCAAAGGACGAACCCGTTCAATTCACTTCAAGCCACGCATTCATGAACGTATGTCGCCGTTGGCGTGAAGTCGGGCTCGGAACTGTCGCTGTTTGGGCGGAACTGCCCGGCTATGTCCTAGCCTCCCCGAAGATGACTCAGACATTCCTATCGAGGTCGAAAGGCGCGCCGTTGACGTTGAATGTGAGCGTTGGTTCTAAAACGACAACAGCCTCCCCCGCTGCCGTCGACACCGTCCTCTCTCACATGGATCGCACAGTAAAACTTCGGCTTCGTTGTACAAGCTGGTCCCTCCCAAAGCTTACCCAACTCCTACAGCCAGCTCCGCTCCTGTCCTCGTGCTCCATCATTAGCATATCAAGGACCCCCATGTGTCTACCAAACGATTTCTTGGCTCTATCTGCCCCACAGCTCCGCCATCTACACTTATATCGCACAAAACTCCACTGGACTGCGATGTCAAGGTCGCTACTGCAAGGACTGACAACACTCGAAATGGACAGTGTGTATGGGGTTTTCACCGTGGCAGAACTCATCGACGGATTGAGATTTATGCCATTGCTTCACGAATTGCACCTGCGTTGAGTCTCGCCATCGGATTCGAAGAAAAATACTACACGTTCTGGTCCCGTCATGCTGCCTCGACTGAAAGTTTTTTATCTTCAGGATTCGTTGGAACGCTGGGACAAAAGAGCCAGCGAATTGATCAACATGATCAGAGTACCTCCTGAGGCTTCGGTGACTATCCGGCTTTCCAGCCTTGACCGAGGTCCATGGGATTGGCCTGGATTATTGGCGTTTTTGCAGGATCATTGCACACTATGCGTTACCGGGCCCCGTATTCGCCGCTTGGAATGCTACGAAACCTCGGACACTTTTGCCTTCCATGCATACGCAACACATGTGTTACATCATCATGACCCTCCATTGCTTCGTGTGATCCTCAAAGGAACCCTCTTCGACACCATGAACCGCGATATTGACTTCGTGGGGATGCTACAGCTCGATCATCTCGAGATACTCGGCCTGCTCCTCCTTTCGCATTCTGATCGGGACTCGATCGTCCGCATTCTCAAGCACGGAGGGAACGCGTCCGAGCTTTGGCTCCGAGATCACCATTCGTGCAAGACGGTGCTTCCTCTCCTGATCGAATCGTCGCCAAGGCAGGGAAAGAGCGATCAACAGCCCACGGAGCATCTTCTGCTTCCGGAGCTCCGAAGGATTAACGCGAATCTGGAAGATCGACGACCGTCTCAGGATCTGCTCAGTCGATTCCGAAGCCTCTTGAACCGAAGATCCAAGCTCACGAACGGGCCATTGTCCCTCGCGCTCGTCAACAGCCGCATTGACAAGCCCGAAGACCTTGAGAAACTTCGAAAGGCTGCCGGTCAAACGGAGCTGGTGCAGGTACTGGACGACCGAGGTGCGTCTGGAGAAGACTATTTCATCTTGTCGAATGTGGACAAGGAGCCGGAGATCATTGACTCGCCGCATTCGTGATAAATGTCGAATTCAATCGATATTACATGTCTAATGGCATAGTCTTAGCTAATTCCTGCCATCCATCTCTGCTTGATAGTTATCTGGTCGTTCGCGAGGTGAACGGTTGGCCTGCTCAGACCCTCCGTTGTCTGTTGGCGTCTTCGTCATATGTCGAGGCTGCAAAGACAGGGGGTTGCGGTATCGACGACGAAACGAGATAATTGACCTCTGCTTGTTCGTCGGTCTTCGTTCGCAGGACAACGCATATTTGTTACGTTGAACAATAAGGCCAAGGAAGCATTAGTAGTATATTGCCATTGATGCGGAATATCATATACATCAGAATGCTGTTCAAGGCGCATGCGGACAAACTACAGGGTTAAATCCTTTAAGAGCTGTGTCGTTGCTTTCGATGCTCGGCCACCCTCGTCCGCATTGCTCAGCAGCATGTCCCTCACCCGCCCCGCATTGACTTTCTTCCTTCTCCCATCCTCACCACGCATGCCCACCAGCACGTCCTTGAATTCGCTCCGGACGCCGGCCACAGTGCCCGTCGGGGCGTGTCCAGAGCGGTACACTGGCCTGCGTATATGTGGGCCTGTTCGCACCTCAAGTAGCTCATAGGCAACGTCGAGCGCGTCGGGGTCGGACAGAGCGGCTGCAACAAGAGGTTGGTCGGCGGCGAAAGGCCAGCAGATCCTGCGTAATGTAGTAAGGGCCGCAGGAAGGGACGTCGATAAGTTGTTGCCTACATCGGCACGCCCGCTGTCAGACTTTCCATCGCACTGTTCCAGCCTCCGTGCGTCAAAAACCAGCCGGTGGCCTGCATTAGATATGTCAGCCACCCTAACTGAGAGCATCCTTGCTGGACGAATGAAGACGCACCGGGTGAAGGAGGATGCGTTGCTGAGGTGCCCACGCGGACACAATCCCGAGTCCGCTCTTCTCTATTTTCGACGAGATGGTCAGAGGCACGGTTGCGTGCGGCGAAGAATGCGTGAGGATCTGACACAACAGATGCATTAATACCGCGACTCAATGACAGATAAGGAAGGCGTACGAAGGGAACGCCATGATCGATCAGCTCATCGAGGATTGCCCATAGCTTCTCCGGGTGCGCCCAGGAGCCGTAAATCGTCCCGAACGAAATCTGTGAAAGGCGCTCCTCGGTTGTAAGATTCTGGAGTATGGACAGAATGACTTACATAGACGACGGAATGAGGGCCGTTACACTGCAAGGCCGCATCAAGAAAACGAGCAAAGTCATCGATCACCGCGGGACAATCAACCGAGGCTAGACCAAACGGGAGCTGAGGTCCAATGTTGTAAACTTTACGAGGCGGCGAGAAAGACGTCATCCAGTCTTCCATAATCGCAACGCCCGGATCACACGCGACATCGGTTGTTTGCACAACTCCATCACATTCTTGGAAGAAGCTGGGATGTGGAAAGAGAAAGAAACGACGTCAGGTAGAGAATCTTGCTGAGCGAAGAGACACCCACTCGTATGCGGCGGATTGACCGTGCATCCAGCGCTGAATCATGGGTTGTGTCATCTGCATCGTCCATTCCAGTCAGGTTCGATCTTTACATACACTGACAGCCATATCTCACCTCTTGCGGAAAGTCCTCGTAGTCATACATCTCCGGAAGACCGGGAAGGCGGTACACCTCCCCAGGACGGTTCTCCATCCACTATCAGCACGAGTACCCCGTTCAGATCCGACGGCGCAGAATCCTGAAGACCGTACCTCACTGGCGGCGCTGACGAGGTTATTGCAATCCCGCGCCGCAATCTCGTTCAGAATAGGCCGAAGGTCGCCGAGACCGCCACGCTCCTTAGGGCCAAATAGACGTACGACAGCGCTCGTGGCGCCGCTCTGCCACGCGAGTACGGGTATGAGCGGGCTTAGCTCCTTGATGGCGCGCAGGACGGGAAGTGCGAAGAACTATGTCGCGTAAAGCGTCAGAACGGATCAGGCCCAGGGAAAAGAGCATCCAAATTCCTCACGTCGACGATAGCGGCGATGGGCGGCGGTAAGGGCGCGAAGATGGTGCCCCTAGCGGCGCACGTCACAGACTGCGCCTGTAGCAGTTTCGCGTACACGGCGCGAAAGAGTGTGCCGCCGTGCTGCGCATCCGACAACGAAGCGTCAGATGTAAGCGACACGATCCTGCGAGCGTCAATGGTCACATACGACGACCACGTGTACGGAGCCATACCTGATCAACTGTTTGGCATCTTCCTCGTTCGGTTCGAAGTTGCAGGAGACCTCGTTGTGTACCTTGTCTATGATTGACGGCCAAGCGAGCAGTGTGATGTTCACGGGGCGGGCTTTGACGAGCCTCGCTGCGAAGTGGCATAGGGGACGCGCGTGTCCTGTGGTTTCGATATAAGACGGTAATCACAAGAGTGACGGAAGCCACTGCGCACCCCAGGCTGGATAGGTAAATAAGAGAAGATGCTTGGAGACGGAAGCTTGAGGCGAAGCCATGCTGTTCTGAGCTGCTGATAGTCTCCTCAGCAAGCTCGTTACTTATACGTTGGTCGAGGCGGAATTTCATCTCGGTGTGTCGGTAGAAAAGAGAACACGTGAGTCGTTGTTCAGCACGTTGGAGAGACCAGAGAGGAAGCTTGGCGAGCAAGCATGAGACTACTGCATTCTTGATACGTCGTGGTTCTCCATAGTCGCAGCGCACGGAGTCGTCGTCAAGATCGGAGGTTGCATCCAACTTCGGTGGATAGTTAGTTAGTCGTTCTGTTTGTCGACCTGCCAAGAGCCTGCTGGGCACGGGACTGCCGCTTTCATTGATCAGGAAGAATGACCAGGACGACCGAGTCCTTCGCGTAGCACTCGAATTCGGATAATGACCAAGGTGCGTGAATGTCACATGATTGTCTCTGTAAGTCATGTATCGGTTTTCTCGACCTGTGTACGATATAAAACGCCGCATGAGTTAGACCGGACGTTGATTATCTTCAGTCCTGAGAAAGAGTGCTCTTGACGAGATGATGCGCAGCCTTTTGTAGGAACTCGAAAAAACCAATGAGCTCATTAATCGACTAGTGTAACAATCTACATGCAGATGCATGGGCGACGCGCAGTGGTCCCGGGGTCCGGCGTACTCAGGATGGTAAAGGCGGCTATGATGGGGCGTCCCTGCGGCCGGCTCTTGACACGGCGCGGGGGCGCGCGTATATGCACATGCATATGTCGTACTCATAGGACACGGGTGCAAAGTAGAGGCTTATTTGTTGCTCTGAGATTTGCTAAGCTTCGCGAGGTGATAGTTGATGGTAGATCGATGGCCCTTGCCCCCCATCGGCTGAGGAGTACAGACGGTTTAGAATCAGGCCTCCTGCCAAGGAAACGCCGGACACGCACCGTAGTCCTCATGCAGTGGAAAAGCGCGTCCGCAGTCTCTTTACATGGGCCGACGGACATCATGTCGCTCGTGGCGGCCCAGCAGCTGAGCATCGTTCCCAGCTCGGCCGCGCACATAACCTGCGGGGGTGCTAAGGGATGTCAGTACGTGAGCTACGCTCTCTCTTCGCCCTGTAGACTATGACCAAGCGTACCCTTCCGTGGCCGAACCTTCAGCTGTTTGATGGTGATGACGCCCATCCTGCTACGTTGTCTTCCCCAACTACCTGCGAGCGGACCGGGATGGCTGGCGACGGAAGAGAGCGAAGGAAAGCCAATGGTGATCAGGTGATTTCCATTGATTGAGCGTCACCGCGCTTCCACGTTGCCGCTCCTATCGCCATACTTGACCCTGTAGCTGATTCACGCTCCTTCCCTCAGAAGAAACCTCTTTGTCTCCGCTGTGTAGCTCGTCCTGCGGGTTGAATATCTCAAGATGGCGTCGTTCAACAAGAATAATTCAGGTGAACATGACCTGAAGCGTTTGTCGTGACAAGGCTCGCTAACGTGCTGCGCATCGGTAGCTGTGAAGCGTATTATGCAGGAGGCGAGGGAACTTGCGAACGATCCTTGCACGGACTACACTGCTGCACCTTTGGAGGTGTGTCAGGACTTTCCTCTCTGCTAGTGCCCAGCATCTTATCGACTTACAGGATGATATCTTTGTGCGTTACGGGTCTTGTCTCCCGACCGCTAGTCCCGAATTGACTGGCTTCCTTGACAATAGGAGTGGCACTGCACCATTCGTGGGCCTCCTGACACCGACTTTGAAGGTGGACTCTATCACTTCCGGATACTGCTTCCAGCCGAGTATCCGTTCCGACCGCCGTCTATCATGATGTTGACACCAAATGGTCGTTTCGAGCTGAACACAAAGGTGCGTTAGTCACAGTCGGACTCAAGGTATTCAGCTGACGGGTGCTTCAAGATTTGCATTAGCTTTACAAACTGTGAGCGGCATGCGCCTCTATGCAGATAAGGAGGACTGACACCGCTGATTCCAGACCACGAGGAGCTCTGGCAGCCTGCATGGGGTGTTCGAACAGGTTAAATATAACCAAACCTCTCAGCAGGATCGCCAGACTGACCAGATTCACAGCGATCATCGGTCTCATGGGCTTCTTCCCTCTCAAGGGCAAAGCCGCGATTGGTGTCGGCGCTGTAGAGTATCCACCATCGGAAAGAAAGCGCCTCGCTGCTGCGTGAGTGCATGTCCTTGTAATTCACCGTGGACGCTCAATTTGAGCCATCACAGCTCGCGCAATTGGACGTGCCCAACTTGTCAGAAGATGAACGTGGACTGTCTCCCAGACCTACCCAAGAACGATGCCGAAACTGGTCCCTCTTCCTCATCTTCCACGGAGCATACCCATACAACCGAACCAACTCTACCCGCGGAGCACGCACACACAACCGAGTCGAGTGTGGCTACAGAACCAACGACAGGAGCGACACTGCCGCTTACAGATCCGGCTCTTCCAGCTCCCGACCCTACGTTGACTCCCGAACCTCTCCCCGTTCCAGGATCCGAAGCTATCGTGCCTCATGAAGACGTCGAGCCGAAGCTCGTTCTCTCCGCCCCAGAGATACTTCCTGCAAGCACCACAGCGACTTCTTCCGGACCTGTACCGCCTGCAAACCCTGCCGCTCAACCCCAGACCCAAGTCGCCGTAGCTACTAGAAGAGCAACCACACGTTCTCCGCCGCGGCCTCCCATGATCATAGATGCGGCTATCGGCGTCCTCGCTGTGCTTGTTCTTGCCATCATTTGCCGACGTATCTTGTAATGAGTCACTTCGGTTATCTGGCTAGTCGTAACTTATCTCGCGCTTCATTCGTCGCATACATCCGGATCGTGGACATTCTCGTCGTCTAGTTTTCTTCCGTTACAGTTCCTAGTTACATCTGTACAATAGATAGGCGTACTGCTAACATAACCTATTACGCAAAGCCGCAGTTCGTTGGAAAGGCCGGAGTCGGATGGGATTCACCATTATTTAGACGCTCGTTTCTGTTCAATAGCACGCCTCCAAGACGCATCAGCTTTCACAGCTCTGTGCGTTTGCAGCTTGTCGAAAGTGCGGAGAGCCATGCAAACGTTTGATCAATCTCGCCTTCCTTGGGCGCGTCGCACGGAGGCAGCCCTGCTGCGGGCTGCACGAATTCTCCAGCATTGTGGGTTGGCCCGGATATTCTCTGACAGCCTCAATACGTGGCCGCTGGAGTAGGCCGGCTGGCGGTCGGGTTCACGACGAGCGGTCTCGTAACGAGTGGACTGACCCCCGTACTCGATGACATCTCCACCGTGCTCATGGACGTCGACCGGGTCGTCGTCGGCGGCCTCGTCACGAGGGGCCGGACAGATACCGGCAACGGGCTGGTCATCTCCCGCATCTCAATAGTATCGCTCGAGGGTCCGAATCGCGACCGCGAGCCGGAGTAAGCAGGCGGGTCGCTGTATACGTCGTGCGTCCCGTCGTCGTCCTGTGCGAAGATGCGCGAGATGCCGTTCGAGGTGCTCGTGGCGGAGCTTCCCCGGAGGTCGTACCGCGAATTGACGCGAGACATGGGCGGCGTTTCCGAAAGGAGTGGAAGGGTGAACCCGAGGCGTTCCTGGATGAGTTGTCGGCGGAGGAGAATGAAGCCAGCGCCGTAGAGGATGACGAATATCTGGATCGCGGTAACAAGACATCAACCGAGCATGCAGGTGATGGAGAGAGACGCGACCAACCGCTATCCATATGATCCAGAGATCAGCGAAGAAGGCAGGCGGGGGAGTGCCGGATCTCTTGCGGTACTCGATAGTCAATCCGGTTCTGGTCTGCATCGTTTGATTAGAAATGCGGATCGCATCTTCGTCCCGAGAACGCCTTACCTGCCAGAAAGCCATGCCGAGGGTAGTCAGGCCGAATATAATGTGGAGAATATTGCGTGGTGGATGTTGTCTAGCACGTTCTCTGGGTTTGCGAGCGTGGATGTAATAACCCAGCGTGCATTGGGCAACATACATCAAGAAAAGCAAGACCCCTCCGATCTGCACGCTAGCATGAGCTTCGATGGTCTCACCGCCAGGATACAATGGGATATACCTGATGCGCGTCTTTCAGGTGAGCCCCGCCGCGTTCGGCCGCAGCGAGGGGTGCGAGTATGAACCCGATGGTGATGATTGGCATGCCCAGGATCACATTGAGCAACCAATGAGTCTTGAACCAGTATGGGGTATATACTCGACCCCACCGAGCTACCAGTCCGGCGAGGGGTAGGAGTAGCGTGAATCCCAGGGCGGAAAGAGCGGCGTGAGCGAGCATGATCGCACGGTATCTCGGAGAGCGATCCACGCCAATGTTTGAGCCGCCAGAAGACTTGGAGCCTGTTTGAGCAGGATTTTGACTACTGGTGGATGACGACGCAGTTGCTCCAGACGTGGACGTTGGCGCTAAATCCTTCGTCAAATCCAGAGTGAAATTACCCGCATCCTGGTGCTGGAGAAGGTGCGCATTCGGATCTGAGGAGTCAACCGGGGTGAAACCATAAGCCCAGATCAAGTCCTCGCTTGCGTCGGAGTTCGACGCAACGGTGAAAGACACGACTGGTGTGGATTCAGTAAGCTGAAGAGGAAACTTGTCAGCGAGAATCTGCTTGTTTATGAACGGTTTTACAGACATCGATAGACTGTGTCAGTAGGGTCGCGACGCCTCGAAGAGGTGTGGGGTCCGGAGAGGGTTCGACTTCGCCCGGGGCCTTTCGTTGGGACATCACTATAGTGCCATCGGAGTCCGGCCAGACGATGACCATGGACGTGTTGGCCATCACGGGGCCAAAGCCCATGGCCATCCAACCGAGCTGATTCAGCGACGTCAAACCATCTATCAGAAGGAAAACACACAGAGTGAGTATATGCTATGCCGAACTATACAATCGAATCCTTACATGTCGTGGTAGAGCCGTTGACGATCGCCGCGACGCACATCAAGTTGCCGCAAAACTTATCGCCTTTGATACCCGAAACAGCTAGGGCGAGGCTGAGCATCGTTGCGATGACTAGCACCATTCTCAGAACGTGTATCCCATCCTGCCTCTTGAACGCGATCAGCCGCATTTGGCAGATCTGATCGTAAAAAGTATTGAAGCCGTCCGTAGGCCGACTTGGGGGTGTAGAAGGGGGAGGGGGGAGGTATACCGAACGGACGGGACTGTCCCACAACCATTTGGAAAGCCTGACGGTGGCCCCGAAACATGGGAATAACTCGTACTGTGCTAGAATGGCGGAGCTTCAAGGTGAGAGCCGGTGCAACGAGGAGCGGGCGAGCCCAGCAACAGGTATAATCGCTCCAGGCTCATGGGAGTCGGCGTATCCCGTTGCTCGCGGACCGTCCACGGAAGACACCGACGACTCTCTTGATAGAGGTGGTACCATCCGGGTGGAAGAATCTCATGAGGAGCTTCGCCCGAGAGAACGGATGCGGCCGACGCCGCAGAGAGGGCGCTCGTCCGGCGTATACATATGGGTGAAAGCCGATGGGAGTTCTCCCAAGTCTCCACCTCGATCAACTGCGCAACTCTGCGGTGAAACGCCAAAGTGCGTCAGGCTGTGAATGTAGTTGGTGCACGCATCGAGGTCCAGGGAATACAGGATCGAGCAAAGCCATCGAGCAAAGCCGTGGAGAGTGAGACCTTGAGGAGAAGGTAGGTGGGTAGATAGGTAGGTATATTTCCGGCGCGGTCCCAATAGCGGAACAACCGGTTGCCGCACCGCACGCCAGTACGTGGAAGGAGAGATGTGCTATCTCCCGCTTGAACACGTCGCGTCACGCGCGTAGCAAATCCTGTCACGCTTATAATATGTGTCACACCGTCGATAAATGGCTCGCCCGCGTACTACATATCTCATCTGGTGTTTTGCACTTGGATCGCTGCGTGTCGTAAAGCTCTGCGTTGATTTTATGTTCACGAACGCATCAAGAACATTGTCATACGCCATACCCCGAAATCCTACACTGAAATCCGGAAGATCAATTCCGCGTTTACTCGAAGATCCAGGCAGCCTGGTTGTGCTCGTACTGGACGACGCCTTCAGGGAACCACCTAAAGATGAGGATTTGAATGAGGATATATGAATCAACCCAAAACCATGCTCAGGACTCACAGCTTGATCTCCTTCTCGGCGTTCTCGACGGAATCGGAGCCGTGGCAGATGTTGCGGCCGACAGCAAGGGCGAAGTCGCCACGGATAGTTCCTAAGTTTATCTCAGATCTACCAGTGCTACTGTGAAGAAGAAAATGAAGTACCCGGAGCAGAGGCCAGGGGGTTGGTAGCACCGAGCATGGAGCGGCCGGTTTTGACGGCGTCAAGACCCTCCCAAACCATGGCGACAACGGGGCCGGATGCCATGTACTTGATCAAGCCGGGGAAGAAGGGCTTGCCCTTGAGGTCAGCGTAGTCTGTGTTATGGATCAGCTAAGATGTTATAACATCGCAGTCTAGAAGGGCGTACGGAGCTCGAGGTGCTCGGGGGTGGCATGAACGAGCTTGAGCGCGATCAGCTTGAAGCCGCGCGACTCAAAGCGCGCGATGATGTTTCCAACGAGACCGCGCTGGACACCATCGGGCTATTTTTTTCGAAACAAGCTTTAGTCGCCGGTCAAAAGCTCAAGGAGTACCACGCGTACCTTGACCATGATGTAGGTACGCTCAGCATTGTTGGGGGCCATGGCGTCGTGTAGTAGGAGGTAGTAGGTGGTGGTGGAGAGTTGATAGACGATCTATGCACGTTGCCTCGGGCGCGTTGGCGATCTTATACTTTTGCTGTAATCGACCATCTACTGATATCGCCCCTATAAACGGTCACATCCAAATCAGGGAAAGCCGTGGGAACATGTGCGAGAAACCTCGGCGTCGTCCGGAACAGTGACAAGCCCGCTTTCTTCATCGACTCCAACGATGTTCGGCGCCCTCGGACCTTCCTTTGCGTCGCAAGTGCGCGCCTCGCGCACCCTCTACTCCTGGCTTAAGCCCATCGCCAATTGGTACGCTGACCTCGCCGGGTACCGCAAAGTTGGCCTGAAATACGATGACCTTCGTATGTCCGTCCGTCTGCATTGCTCTGCGCTCAGCTGACAGTATGTTTAGTGGTCGAGGAGAACGAGCCCGTTGAGCGGGTACGATGCCAATGCCGGCTTCCTCCTTTAGTGCGATGACTAACCTGCTTGCGGATTCCAGGCTGTCCGCCGCTTGACTCCTCGCGAAGCTTACGACCGCGCGTATCGTTTCAAACGGGCGTCGCAACAAAGCATCCTGCACACGAATCTTCCGAAGGAGGCATGGACGAAGCCCAGCGAGGTGCGTACCGATCATCCCACATTAACGCAGTCATAAGTGTTCCCTGCACACGAGGCTGACTGAATCTCGTTGCTGCAGGATGTTCGCTACCTCAAACCTCACGTCGCGGATGTGGAGAAGGAGCTGACCGAGCGGCAGATCTGGGACACTCTGGAGGTCAAGCGCACGAAGTAGACGCCGGTCATGGCATATTAGACAATTACCGCTGTTGGGCCAATCACCGGCCTGCGATTATACTTTGCGCTTGTCATCCTATAATTTACGGCCATTTACTTTCGAACTCGGGAGTGCTATCCACCATTGTTTCATGCGCACATTCAAAGCGAGGAATAGGTTACAATTTCTATCGATGCTTCACTAAACCCCAAGGTCCTGAGAAGATTCGCAATGCACCCCTCCTAAAAGGCCTTCACGAGCGGAGAGATGACCTCACCGCCCTTCTTCTTGTAGAAGTCCACGACCTTTTTGCCAACAACGGCGATGTCTAATGGAGATGTCAATACTAGCGCAAGCGCCATCCTGGAGGGAAAACGTACTGTCGGGGGTGATGCCCACGCGCTCGTAAATCTTCTGGTACGGCGCCGACATTCCCCACCCGGTGAGACCGTACTGCTCGTGGCTGTACTTGGCCCAGCCGACGGTCTGTGATAAGCAGATATTGTCAGAGGGGGTCGTATGCGTCGACGCACTACGAGGTACGCACCGAGAGCGCCTCCAGCGAGAGGATGGGAGCGCCGCTGCGGAGCACGCTAAGCCGGTACTCCTCCGGCTGCTGGTCGAACACGAGCCAGCACGGCAAGCTGACGACGCGCGTCTTGATGCCCTGCTCCTTGAGCTTGCCCGCCGCGGCGAGCGCGATGCTCACTTCGCTCCCGGTCGAGACAATTGTGAGGTCCTCGTTGTCGACCTCGTACAGCACGTAGCCGCCCTTGCTCGCGCGCTCGATCGTCGACCCCTCGAGGTTCGGCAGGTTCTGGCGGGAGAGGGAGAGCACGGACGGCGTGCGCGAGGATTCGAGGGCGACGAGGTACGCGGCCGAGGTCTCGTTGCCGTCGGCCGGGCGCCAGAAGGCGAGGTTGGGGATCGCGCGCAGGTGCACCGCTGTCTCAACGGGCTGATGGGTTGGGCCGTCCTCACCGAGACCGATGGAATCGTGGGTTGCTACGTAATGATATTAAGCGCCCTGATCGGCCGTTGAGCAGAGAATGAATACTCACCAACCCAGATCACCTGGTGATGGCTCAATGCAGAAAGCCTGACGGCACCGGCGGCGTACGACACGAAGTTCTAGGGCAAGTTGAGAAGGCGTTCGACGCGTGTATCAATTCTCGTGCTCACCATGAAAGTCGCGACGAAGGGGATGATACCACCGTACGCGGCGAGACCGTTGCCGATGGCGCCCATACCATGCTCACGCACACCATAGCGAATATACGTGCCAGCGTAGTTTCCAAGGCCGGTGCTCGGTGGCTGGAAGTCGACCATCGCCTTCGTCCGCGTCAAGTTGCTGCCAGTCAAGTCGGCCGAGCCGCCGACCATCTCGGGTAGCACGGGCGTGATCGCAGTGAGGACGATCTCGCTGAGCTTCCGGCTCGCCTGCGCCGCGTCGGAGGGCTTGTACACGGGCAGGCTCTTCTGCCAACCGTCGGGGAGCTTGCCAGCGATGCGGCGGGTGAGCTCGGCATACTCCTTCGGGAACTTCTCGGAGTAGGCGGAGAGGAGCTTGTTCCATTCGGACTCGAGCTTGGCGCCGCGCGCGGCGACGGCGGCGTAGGTGTCGTAGGTCTCCTTCGGGACGTGGAAGGCCTGGTCGGTCGGGAAGTTGAACTTGGCCTTGAGCTGGATTATATCGTCGGCCTTGAGCGCTGTAGACCGCAAGCCGTGAGCATGTGCTGGTGGGACGGAAGGGTAAGAGACAAACGTGAGCCGTGGACGCCGTGAGTGCCCTGCTGCTTGGAGCCGTAACCGATCGTGGTGCGGAGACGAATGATGGTAGGCTTGCTCTTCTCCTTGCGGGCTTCAGCAATGGCGTTATAAATGCCGGCGAGGTCACTAGGCCGCGTGAGGAAGTTTTCAAGTCATGATTCATGGTATTCACTTATCGCCGTTGTCGACATGGAGGACCTGCCAGCCGTACGCGAGGAAGCGCTGCTCAACGTTCTCAGTGAACGCAACAGCAGTGTCACCGTCGATGGAGATGTCTGAGTCGGGGGTTAGTCAGGCACCGGGACGAGCTTCTACACTCACGGTTGTCATCGTAGATCTGTATACGAGAATTAGCAGAAGCAGTCGGACAATATAGATCGAACCTACAGCGATGAGGTTTCCGAGCTGCAGATGACCCGCAAGACTAGCAGCTTCGCTAGCAACACCCTCCATCAAGCAACCATCGCCGGTGAACACTGCGATCGATTAGCATTTCATCGGCAGGATTGCATATAGGGAACTCACTGTAAGTGTAGTTGTTGATGAGATCGTAGCCATCTTTGTTGTAGACAGCTCCGAGGTGCGTTTGGGCAATGGCCAGACCGACAGCGTTGGCAAAACCCTGACCCAGAGGACCAGTAGTTACCTCGATACCTACAGAAAATGGTCAGCGTCCGCAGTAGATCGCAGCTTTCGACGTTACCATCGGTGTGTCCTGCCTCAGGGTGACCGGGAGTGAGCGAATCAAGCTGACGGAACTGTTTGAGGTCGTCCATGGAGAGTTTGTAGCCGAGTAGATGGAGGAGGATGTACTGCAGAGCACAACTAGATGCGCGTTGGAATCGTAGTCCTGTCTGTTGCAAAATTGCACTCACGCATGACTATGGGAAGGAAGCTGTTAGCGATGAGATCGCCGTCAGTATGCGCAGGCGTACCCATTGGAAAGCACGAATCGATCGCGGTTGAACCATTTGGAGTTCTTCGGGTTGGCGTTGAGAAACCTTATGCAGCTGATCAGTAACTACCTCAGGCGATCTACAGCCTGGAGAGCTGACCTTGAGAACAGGACATGGGCTACCGGGGCCATGCCCATGGGGGCACCTGGATCGCTACAATGAGCGCCGGTTCTCGCGACGATGGTATGGACTGTGAACCGACGCACCAGGATGGCCAGAGTTGGCCTTGCCAACAACATCGGCAGCGAGGGTGCGGATGGTCGCAATGCAGACGTCGTCCGTGGGCTCTGGGGTAAACGAAGACATGGCTGCTCGCGACGGTGGGTGTAGAGAGGGGATGAAGAGACTAAGGATGTCGCGAGCGGTCCGAGTTATCTGTGTGACTAACGGCATCGCGCCGGGTGATCTCCGGGGTCTTTACCCACGCCCGTCCGCCCGCGCCTCCGCCTTTTGAGCTTGCACCCCTTGCTTGGGAATCGCTCCCGCCGATTGTCCGTACAAGGCTCGCCGTTCCAGCTCACGTTACTCGCTTTGTGGTCGTGGTAACCGGACTTGAACCAATCCCGACGGTGCACGTCGGTCAGCAAGCCGAGTTGTGCCCTTAGACCCAGGGAACGTCAGCGAGGTTGCATCCCACCGGGACCGTCTATACATGCACCCGCAATCCTCAGACAAGAAGTTAGGCGCGTAGTCACGGAATCGGGCACCGGAAACGGGTTGGCGCTGACTGAATCCGGTCGCACAGTGTGCAAGTCGTTTTTCGACGCGCTGGAAAAGTGCCACGCGGACTCCTGGCTTTACTGGACCGGAGGATGCAACCAGATCAAGCATGACTTGAATATGTGCCTGAGGCAAGAGGTGAGAACCCCTCCGCGCCGGTTGTATCCTAGTCGGAGCTAACGAAACGATTTAAAGCGACTTGACAGGGCGGCCAAAAACAGGGAGGACGCGAAAACGCGTCGCGCGAAAGCCCAAGCTGCATGGGCCGATTTGCATAGAGATGACTAATACCTGGCATGGATATAACTGCCCTTACGGGGTTTCCTCTCATTCTCTGTCGCGCACCGCCAGTGTTAAGCAGCAGGAACCCAACATCCGATCTGAAATGTCTTCGAGAACCTCTAATCTTGGCCTTAGCCAAACGGGGTTAAACACAACGTTTATCGTCAGACTGGTACCGTTCTCTCGGATAGACTTTTGTTGGTAGCTCACATGTCGCCTCGCCCGAATAACAGTGCTCTTGACTCGATCACAACTCGACGATTGACTCTTCGTCGTGCTGCACGCAAACAGTGTATCCGAGGTCCTCCACCTATGCGGATATAGACGGGGGCAGCGGACCGATCGCCTACGGTGTGGTCATCGTCTTTCTAGATCTTAGCAAGCATGCATCAACTCTGTCATCGACAACCCGTGCTGCCTATGACCCATTCGGAGTGCCCGGAGTGCCCCGCGTATCGTATTGGCTGCTCAGCCACAGTCGAATGACACGTCAGGAATCAGACTTTCTGCATCTAATTCTCGTACCCGATGGGTCAAATGTATACATGGATTATCCAGAGAAAAACAAAACACGAATGCACAATTGGACAGTGCTAAGTACGGAAACTGATACTAATAGCAATACTCACTATTGATTGGTACCATACACCTTATGAAAGTTTCTTACAATTTACATGTTTCAGTCCCAAAGGGCTACGCCGCTATTTGTAGATTCGATGAGGAATGACGATTGCTGCTTGGATACATGGTTCGACGTCCAGTCCTCGGAGGCTCTTGCTCCTGGTGGTGTAGACAAGCGCGATACAATGGGTATCGTGGTCCGGTATCCTTGCAACCTCAGCAAGCATCTCGCCGCTGCCGCCGCCAGTGCGTGTCCATCATTGCGACATGCAGGATCCGTTGTCCGGGTGGATGGAGCGCGGCCAAAGCGAGCGCCGCATATCTTCGATCTTTCCATGCTTTACGTATGTGAATGGGGTGAGCACGAGGTGACCCCGATCCAAGACATAGGAGAGAGTGCGGTGATCGCGGACGGTCCCAGTCAGGAGGCATGCATAAAGCGCGGTACGTAGTACAGTGACTCAGTGAGTACTACTTGAGCACCAGTGATGTTGCAAGTTTCGCCCATTGATGGCGTCTCGCCGCTGAATGTTTTCAATGGTGGTCAGCAAGGGGCGATCCCGGATCCCGGCAGCAACGGATCGATCAGGTGTGCATGGGAGGGCAAGGCGTGAGTGCAATCGGGGGATGGATGCAGGTGTGACTGTAATTTAAAGAACACTGAAATTGAAGGTGCGCGCTCACGTGATCGTTCAACTCCCTCATTCCGCCAAACCGCCTTCTGTTCTGCAACAATTCCTCGCTTCATCAGCACGCCCATCCTATCAGCCTGCACTTGCCCGAGACCGGCTCTGGATCTCTTACATTCCTTAAAAAAACCCTGTGACGACCCACCTCTTATGTCTACGATCACTCTCGGCGCGGTGCTCACTGCGAGCCCGCCGCGCAACCCGCTTGGCACCAGGACGCCGACGCCCAGCGTCTACATTATTCCGCCTGAGGAAGAGCAAGAGGATAATCCACCGTGGTGCTGCTACGATTCGGAGGCGCCGCACGCCGAACCCGCGAACACGGCCGAGTTCGTGACCGAGCTCGAGGCGGACCCGAACTGGAACGCCGACGATGAGTCGCCCGTGTTTCGTCGCTCGGACTCGCGTTCGCTCGACGAGATCGCGGTCATGCCCCGGAGGGGAAGTCGCCAGAGTGTGTACTTTGGCGATAGGGCGGCTCCGGATGCGGTGGTCACCGGGTCGGGGACCATGGACGTGGATGTTGATGATATCGTCGTCGAGGTAGTAAGGGTAGGACGGAGGAGGGAAGTCGAGGCAGCGGATGAAGAAGCCGCAGTGAAGGGCGATACCTGGAAGAAGACAAGGGGCTTGACCTTGCGCGCGCGGGCGGCGCAGGCGCTCAAGTCGATGCGCGGTGCTGGTTCGTCCTCCGTCAAGACGGCGGGGACGTCAAGCACCAAGAATAGGCCAGAACACGCGAGAAGGCATGTGAAGGACGTGTTCAGGCCCGTGGAGAACGCACAGATGGAATCGAGTGGGCCAGGCCCCGTGCGGCGGATGTCGGTGACGAAGCTCGCTCGGCGGAGCTCTAAGGCGACAAGGAGGGGCGCGCCAGAGGCTTCAGAGATGCAGGCGTCAGACAGCCTGCCGACACACTCGACGCGCACGATTACTCGGCGGCTGTCACAGCTGTTCGTGTCCGCCAGCCGCTCTTCGATGGACTCAGTACGCGGTGGGGATACCGCTGCAAGACCACAGTCTCCCTTAGCGTCGGACGTTATGGCATCGCCAAGTTGTACTTCATCGATGGTGGACGTCGCGATGGACGTTGCATCAGAGCCTGCAGCGCAAGACGCGAATGTGGACTCTCGCCCTCTTTCCCCAGGCCTTCAGCCCAAGCGTGGGCCCTCTATCCGAAGACTGTCCATGCGCAATATCAGGGGGCTATTCACCCGTGATGCCCCTTCTTCCAGTACCATCCCTATCTCGGACAGCCAAAGCACCACGACGCTCGCTCAGGCTGGCTCGTCAGCGACGGTCTCGGCTAGCGCAGCACCCGAAGAAATACTGGTACAATCGCCTTCCTCGTCCAGCTATTCCTCATACATGGGCATAGGCTCCCCAACCTCCCCTATCCTCATGTCCCGCGACTCACGCACTGTCTCGGATGCGTCTACGGAGCCGCCGGAAACACCCAAGGACCCCGTCGCACGTTTCTCCTTCAGCAGGGACCGTATGGGACGCTCCTCCGTCTCTACATCTCGACTGTCCGAGGACGCCGCGGGCGGCAAGGTCGACATGGACGAGAACCTCGAGATGCGGCTTGACTCGCTCCAATTCGACTCGATACACTTCGACCCGGACGAGTTTCAGGTGTCGTTCTAGCTATAACGCTCTGCCGCCATCCATCCACTGCCCCACCTTTTCCACCGACCATGCATATACGAACGACATTGTACGGATAACATACCCTCCACGTCCATAGCCTCATGTACATAAGACAAGGATATCTATTAGACGCCGGCCATCTTCCATATTATACTACTTATACAACCCTCATGCAATTGGTACTACGAGCTCAGCGACTGGGACCTCGTCGGCGCACGCTCACGTGTTGCCGCCGGCTTCCGCTGGAGCACCGCCACTGCTGCTACCACGACGTGTCCGGGGACGAGCGCCTTGACGGATTTTATCGCAGGCTCTACCTTACCTTTAGACTTTCCCGATCGCCGAGGGCTCTTATAAGCGGAACTGAATTGGACAACGCGGCCTCCGGTGGAATCCCCAGCTTTATAGTTCCCAGGGTTCGCGTCGGTGTGGACCATGGTGACTTTACGCCCGCTGGGCCTGCTCCTCGTCTCTGGCATCGCATATGCAACTGCTCAAGATGCCTCGTTATTATCTAATGGCTCGGAGGCGATGCTTTGGGGCCCCTACCGCCCGAATCTGTACTTCGGCATACGACCGCGACTCCCGCAGTCGCTGATGACGGGTCTCGTATGGTTTGGAGTGCACGACTACATGTCTGTCAGCCGTCAGTCCCATATTTATTCCCGAAGGCTTATACCTTGCGGGGCTGACTTATTGAGGACGATGTAGAGGCTCGTCACTCTTGTGAACAGGGTGATCAACTGGACGGGTACACCTGGACGGAGTACGACTCGCGCCGCGGCGGTGTGCAGGTGATCAAGGACGGAAAGAACAATGTGAAGATTACGACGGAGTACTTGAAAGTACCTGGGGGTGAGCACGGGGGCAGCTGGGCAGCGCGGATCAAGGGAGAGCCCTTGAACGAAGGTTAGTATCATTTGTTCACGACTCTATGCGTAGCGTGGTAATGATGCCTGCTACAGGGCGACCAAGCATGATTTCCACTATATTCTATGCCGGAATAGAAGGGTTTGGAGGCTTAGACATGGAGACCGACGAGTCTGAAAATGTGAGCAAGCACATTCCACATCACTCGAATCCTCGCTGAATGAAATGCTGTTGCAGGACTATGAAAGCGATCTCGTTTTTGCGGGATCCTCCACCGAGCTCGACGAATTTACCTTGCGCGTAGTCGACAACGACTCGAACAATCATATCACGAACGGGCCACACAGCGCGTCCTTCGCTAACCGCGCGGGGAAGACCCACGTGTCGGGATACCGCATTCCCTCCGGCGACGTGTGGACAGCCAAAGGTTCTGCTTCCTATAAGTTCACGTCTTCGATGATTGCTCACCTTTGGCGCCGCTCTATGTTGACAGATTATATCATGCAAGACATTATCACGCACGCCCAGCCCATTCTCGACCGATACAAGTCCTCCGCCCAGACGACCGGCTATCCAGCTCCCGCATTCCTCCTTCAACTCTCCGACGAGGTCCTCACTAGTTCAAACGTGTACGCGGTGCAGAAGACCTTCGAAGGGCCGTTTGAGTTCGACGTCTTCTTCGAGAGCAAGAGCGCGGGAAGTCAGGGCAAACTGAGTGGTAAGCTTGCATCTTTGGTTGAAATCGAAGCAATCCTTGATGAGCCTTCATGCAGGAGCTACCCTCGACGCGGGTATCGCCTCGCTGACAGCATCCGTCGAAGCCCACTTCGAGGCCACATTCCCCATCGACCCGGCAACCCTGCCTGCGGACGCGGATATCGACGGTCTGAAAACGTTCTCGAAGGAAATCACTGCGAATCTTCTTGGCGGTGTTGGTTACTTCTACGGCACTTCAATCGTAGACAAGGGCTTCGCGTACGAGTGGGACGAAGACGACGAGCCGGAGCTCACCATCAGCGACGATGATGACGAGGACGAGAATAGCGGACGGCGCAAGGAGAAGAAGGGAGGCGCGCGGCTCACTGAACCCCGGGCGCTGCTGACGGCAACGCCGAGCAGGAGTTTCTTCCCGCGTGGCTTCTACTGGTTCGCATCTTACTTTTGGCGGAGACGGAATCCGGTTGCTGAGCCAACGTATCAGGGACGAAGGCTTCCACCTTCTGCATATCGGCCCTTACGATACTGACTTCAGGTGAGCCTGAAAGCTGCAATGATCAATTCTTCGGCGGTCTTACAAATCGGACAGCTTGGAGATTCTCAAGGACTGGATTGGCCTTATCGACGAGAACGGCTGGGTTGCGCGCGAGCAGATCCTTGGTGAGGAAGCCCGCAGCAAGGTCAGCCTATCCGTCTTCCATTCTCACCTCGCTGACTATCGACCTGTTCAGGTCCCCGCGGAGTTCCAGACGCAGGTGCCTACGTACGCTAACCCGCCGACGCTCACGATGGCTGTCACCGCGTTTATTGAACGCCTTAAGGCAGCCGGCGCCGCTGGGCCCTCAGACGCAGAGCTCGGCATGGACTTTGGTGGCCCCGCGGCACAGACGCCTCTTCGTGCCTCAGCGGCCGAGCTCGCATCCTCACGCTACCTGGCGCAACCCGAGCTCGCCTTGGACTTCCTCCGTGGCATCTACGCGCCGCTGAAGCGTCACTACGAGTGGTTCCGCCGGACGCAGCGCGGGCAGATCAAGCAGTACGCGCGCAAGGCCCGGTCGCGTACGGAAAGCTACCGGTGGCGAGGGCGCTCGGCGTCGCACGTGTTGACGAGCGGGATGGACGACTACCCGCGCGGGCCGCCGCATGCGGGTGAGCTACACCTCGACCTCATCAGCTGGATGGCGTTCTTCTCTGGTACGATGCACGACATCGCCGCGTTTGTTGGTGAGACAGACGACGCGGCGAGTTACGCGGAGATCCGGCAGGCGATCGTGGACAACATCGACGGTGCGTTCATGTTCGAGGCATACCCTAGGATGGAAATGCTGATGGGCGAGTGCGACAGATCTGCATTGGAACGAGGAGGAGCAGATGTACTGCGACGCCGGCGTGAATGATGATGGTGAGCTCTGTTTCCGGTACCTCTCCATCGTCGCCGCTGATCGCGTCGCGCAGACGAGTCATATCACGTTTGCCATCGGGGATACCTCTCGCTCTTCCCGCTCTTGCTCGAGATCCTTGATCCGGCCTCCCCGCATCTCGGCGCGCTCCTTGACTTGCTCCGTGATCCGGAGCACCTCTGGTCGCCGTATGGTCTCCGCAGTTTGTCTGCGTCTCATCCGGAGTTCGGCCAGGGAGAGAACTACTGGAAGGGCCCGATATGGATCCAGATGAACTACCTCGCGCTCCGCGCGCTGCACAAGGTGCGTGTCGCGCAGACTTAAGTCGTGGAGCTCGACGAGGGCTTCCATACGATGAGAAAGGGGTAACGGCTGATGCCGATTCCAGACATATGCGGCTCATGAGGGTCCGCATCAAGCGCGGGCAAAGGAGATTTACCAGGAACTGAGGCTCAATGTAATCAATAATGTGTACAAGGTGGGCAGACATCCCTCTGTTCGATCGGATGGTGCCAATCGAACCGTGTCCCTCAGGAGTACAAGCGAACAGGCTACGTTTGGGAACAGTACGACGCTCTCACCGGAGAGGGTCGCCGGAGGTGAGTGGCTTAATGCATCACTCCATTCGATGTTCACACTCGCCCTTCACTAGCCATCCGTTCACCGGTTGGACGTCGCTCTTGACGTTGAGTAAGTCATATGCCGCTCGCCATGTTCCGCGCGCCTCTGACGAGTGTTCAACGCAGTTCTTGCCGAAAAGTATTAGGAGTAGACTATTTTACTCCAGGCTATTACTATATATTCGCTATCCGCGTGGTGTCTACGCGCACAGATGGTTCCTATGCACGTGAAAGGGGATATCCGCACTGCTTGCAGAGGGCTATCGGTCTAAAGTTGTCCATACGGACAGCACGTCCTCGTTCGCCTCTAGGTCGTCCACAAGCTCGTCAATCGTCGCCTTCAGCTCCGGATCCTGAGGTGCCGGCTCGGTTGGCCGATATTCCAGGGCGCTTGATAGCAGCTCCTTGCATATCCCCTGTATGCTGACCGCAGCAGTCAACTGTGCGAGGGACTGCGGCGGACATGTGAACTGCCACAAAACATCACCGTCAGACATGCTATAAGATGTCGACAAAGGTAGGAAAAAATACCTCCATCTCCAGTGAGTTAGAGGAGTCAGTTGACGAGCCGAGCTCTTGAAAGTCTTCGGCGCCAGCTTCAAGCGCAGCTTCGATCAGCTTTTCCATGCGCACCTCTCGGTCGGGCGCGCTTGCGTCCACAGCAACACGAACAGAGCCAAGACGCTTGAATTGGAACAGCACCGGCGCGAAGCGCGCTCTGAGAGGGGGTAAAGCAGGCATGAACACTGGGCAAGTGCAGAAGAGCAATGTTTGGGCTTACTTGTGGTCATCGAGCGTTTCCCGGACAGCAGCAAAGGTACGGTTACTATTGTCTGATAGACACTCACTTGAGGGATATGTGAGTCGATCACGGACACGGAGAGGGGAAACCGGGCAGGACATACACCACCAGTCCGACCGCGCCGCGCGCGAGTACTTCGTACGTTAGTTGCTGGTCGGCTTTCTTGCCAGTGCCTGCGGCCTACAGTGTCATCAGTGATGAGAGTCACAGATGAAAAGCGGATCCTTACGCGTTCCAAAGCTCTCTCGATGTTTTCCTTTGGCACTCCTTGCGCCTTGACGCGCTTCAGCACGACGGCCAGTGCCTGGTTCAGCTCCGGGTTTGGCGAGCCGCCCACTGGACAGCGTTTCGTAGATCAGCTGGGCCGCCGTGGCGCGTGACGAAGACGTGTGCTCACTCCTGGCTGCAATGAGAATGTCCTGTTCGTATGAGCGTCGACCTTCACGCGTCCCTCTACGACCCGACCAGGTGTGCTTACGCTCCGCGCCTTTGCATACATGGCCGACTTCTGGGCATCAGCGGCCCCCTTCTTTTTCTCGATCTTCGACCACTACAGCGCATCAATGAACACGGGCTCTCCTGTAAGCGAGGTGGGAATCTAACACACTTTGTTGTGGCCGGAAAGAGCAGGGTTAGTGGCAGAGAGACATCTCCGTGGAGGGATCCAGCAAGAACCAGGTTGAAGGCCTGCTAGTCGGGTAACCCGAGCAGCGAACATTTAGGAATCAACAGCAGTAGAGTATTTCCCGACAAAATTGGAGGACAACGGGAGACAGTGACAGGGCCGATTACGGTCACATGTGACATGCGCGAAGACGTGACAAACAGGTAAACCGTACGCGATCTACATATAGACCGACTATGAACATGAAATGTTGTATTCAGCGGCATATATAGAGCCACACAGTCAGCCCAACAGGTTTCTAAATATTTCCTCTCCAATTATTGCGACCGGGCTTTCACCGAAATCACCCGTGTCGTCCAAGACATCCACAAGTCCGAATCGGCCGGCGGCGTTTTGAAGCATGAACAAGTCGACGGGGTCATAGAGGCGAGTGCTGACCAGCGAGAGCGCCAATGACGAATTCGAAACTTTGGATCTCCACCTCCGCCTTAGAAGGCTTCGCAGTTGGTCAAGTAAGTCCTGGGTCGGTCCAGATTCACGTAGATGTGTCGCAACGCAGGGAGTAGCAGGTGGTCCGCCGCCCCTTCTTTCTTCTCGCTCCTCTTCGGTGACGAACCGATGAGGAGAGGTAGGGTTGTATCATGAGCATGAGCGCTCCGGAGCCGGAGCTCGTCTGAATTCCGACAGTGATCGAGGATGTTTGCAACGGCGGTTCACTCGAGTTTAGCTTGGAGTTGCAGGCCGAGTAATTCGAGGCGAGAAAGATGAAGCTTGCCAACAAGATCCATGCCGCTGTTCATGTAAGGAGCATAGGAGAATACCACACGGAGCAGCGGAGGATTGGGATCACGCAAATTGGACGTTGGATAAGCGAGGATCCCGAAGGTGTCAGAAACCTCGAAACACTCCAAGCGGCGTACGTCGAATGGTCCCGTTCTCGCAACAAGCGGAATGACCCTCCAGGAAGGCTGCTAAAGGAGACAGGTCCCACGGCGGGCTTGACGGCGCGATGGCGCCAAGGAAGAGGGTCACCGAAGCGCCTGGAGGTGCTCTGATGAGGGACAGCAAACAGCATACGAGAGGCCCAGAATCCGTTAAGTGCACATTAGTCAGCTGGTCGAGAGTCAGGGGATTCCTGATCGTCTCTGCGAGGTTAGGAGCATCGGAATCAAGTTCCAAAGCAAATTGTAGGTGGAGAGTCCGCAGTGATGGCATTGATTCGAGCATGCGGATGACCTCTGCTACAGTCGGCGGATTGCTCAGGTTCTTCAACAAAAAACTCGTCAGACCACGGGAAGCCGAGGCGGTGGGCATCATCGCCCAGTTCAGTGACGTGTTACACAGGTGCAGATGGCGGAGTCTTGTGATGCATGAGGCTAGAAATTCATCCGGAAGATGCCCCGGAGTTCCTGTCATGCCAGTCGAGACATAGCAATGAACAAGCATCGAGGCAGCGTTTGAGCGTGACATGAGCATTTCGAGGAACCAACCCGGGGCACTGAGGTCAAGCTTTGCTATACGAATCATGATAGAGGAGACGCCTTCGAAGATACTGGCCGCGATGGGTATGCTTTCATCAGGGCGAACGTTGACGGACAATGCCAACGGCGCGCCCTTCGACCTCGAAGCGAACATCTGCGTGATAGATCGGGAAGCGAGGACATGAGTTGGCACTTCCGTCCAAATGACGACAGTTCCGAGCCCGACTTGATGCCAACGGCGTCCATGACTGTGTGGCTGGAAGGGAATTTCAAAAGGAAGTCTTTAGAGATAGGCATTCAGTGGCAGAAGACGGAGGACAGCAGTTCGGCGGGGAGCTTGTAGACCGGCGACAACTGGTTGCGATTTTCGCGTAAGGCGCGGACCTCTTCGAGCAGATCGCGTATCCTGACATCAATTTTGCATCGCAGCTCATCTGCCGCAGAGCTCGACGAAGGGATACTAGGGGGCACCACTCGGCTAGAGGGCCGTAAAGTTGAGTAAGGAAAACGATGAAATACGTCACGCCAGAACGCGTTGTAGGCCGGAGGATAGACAAATACTCACCTGGCCATGGTTATCCGACGATAGCGCGTTCTCGATGTGCGAGTCTCCGTTACGAGGGGTTCTTGACCGTGCAATGAGGTCGAGGCGACAAGTCAGGCCTAGTCAGGTTCGGCAGGTCGTTCAGCGTCCCAGGACGTCTTCGGCCCTGGCTCGTAGTGGGCAAGTCCTTCCCCGTCGCAAGTGTCCTCAATCCGATGGTTCGACAATCGAGAACAGAGATGAGGGTAGAAAACGGATGTGATCTCGTGGGCCGTGGCATAGTACTACGCATTATGTTGTCGCGCCCAACCACGCGACCATTACGTGCAACTCAGCCTCTTTCTGTCTGCACATCGCGACCTGCCGGAAACAGAACTATGGACGGCGACGTAATTGTGGACGATGGCGAACGCGAAGAATATATCTGCCCTTTGGTGATGCTTTCGGTAACCACAGAATCCACTGTATACCAACTGTCTCCGCTCAGGTGCCCGGCCCCGCTTCAAACGTCCTGTTACCGTCGTATTCAGGCACGCTCAGACAGCCTCAGAGGCAACGAGCTGCCAGCAGACTTTCTGGGAGATTATATGCTCCTCAACTCCACGATTTGCAGTTACACCGCATCGGACCCTACTGGAAGCTCATACGTTGCGATCTCTCGTCCAAGGTCTGACGAAACTGATGCTGCGGAGCTCGCCCGCCAGCTCATTCCCTACCGGAAAGCAACTGAGCAAGGCTCTAAGAGCAATCGCTCGGAGCACCCACAATGTATCGGCTTCTCCGTACCACCGGATGTGCGGATCTTTTGAAGGTGAAAATCAACAGGTGCGACAACGTTGTCCAGGATATACAAAGATGACGTGAGAGCGATGGCGATAGCAAGTAATGGGGAGAGATGAAGCGGGGAGGGAAACCCGGCGTACGCGTGCCATGACCCGGAACGGAAAGCAAGGATGTTCTCGCGATATTTTCCTTGCATCAATGCCTATCCCTGGTGACAGGATGACATAGCCAAAACAGGCTATAAACCCCAGTGCTCGTGTACCAGGTAGCTGCGGTTTACTGTCAGAAGTAAGACCACGTTCTGCTCCCGAACCGTCGTCCAGGCGGGGCCGTACTTGCCATTCCGGGTATCGAGCTATGCCCGTCGACAAGTATGACGGCTGGTCAACCCGTTTACAAGCGCCGAGTGACATTCTGGAAGCGGTGGGAACGCTAACAAATGCTCCGCTCATGTTCGTTTATTGGCCGCTGGTTTCGGAAGTGGACCTACATGTTTCCTTTCATCGAACGAGGCCAAAATAAAGGCCAACAGCCTCGGCTCGAGCTCTAACATCTCGCATTCGTACTACCGCAAACCACACAGGAATACGGGCAACTTCAAATTTTCGCCACACACTCTCACTTTGCAATGTTGGCGCCTGTTCCAGCGCCCGCCTTGCCACCCGACCCGGATGGTGCGATGGTCGCCACAGTCGACATCCCCACTTTCAACCAGATTTTGTATGTGGCGATCGTTGTCCATGTGAACCACCGACTAACCGAGTCGATGTCTCTGTCAGAGAGTCGTGGATCGACATGAAGAACTGCAGCGAGAACGAACCGAGCCTCGATCCAACGCACGGGCAGGGCACGCCCGTAGTTGAGGACCGACACCTCGTTCTCGCTTGGAAGAGTGATACCGACTTCGAACTGGCGCTGGACGATCTCTTTCCGCAAGACTTCGCGTTTTTCATCGACGCGCCAGGCCTCTCGGCTCACAGCCTCCGTGACGATACAGAACGTCAATCCAAGATATACGTTCCCTACGACGACGAATGAGCTGTGCTGATACATGGCGGGCTAGGACACGCTTCAAGACCGGCCGCGGACCGATCTGTCGTTCACCGTTCTCCCTCCATCGACGCCGTCATCGAACTCCTCTTGCTCCTTATCGGCACGTCCCTTGAGTGAGGTTGAGCCTATCGGACATGCAAGCACGCATGAACCTGATAAAACCCACCGCGTTGATCTCCCCGATCCTCGAGGATCTCATTTGATCGTTCCCGGCGAATCTTACATCGCCCGGCCTGATTTGCGGGGTAGGGACTCCAACCCGGGCGCGGGAGATGTCAAGCATCCGTTGGCGCCCGGGAATACCACCGACGAGACATGTTCGGGTAGTCGAACTGGCGGTGATGCACTAGGGTAGGACGGCGCCGAGAGATAATCGGGTAGCAGTTTTTCGGCTCCTTCTTTGGTAGGCTTTTGTGAACGGTGTGCGAAGGCCGAGAAACATATGTGAGCAAGGCTGTGAATTCGCACGTTCGTTGGTCCTGGAGTTCGGGGATCATATAGCTATAGAGCGCGTCGATTCTGGGCACGACAAGTGGGCCAAAATCCTGAATCCGTAAGGGCTACTCGCTGGCGTGAATCCATCGCTTCCGAACGAGCTTGCGATCCGTCGATGGACGGCGATGTCGCATTCGGCGTGTATGGAGGCATAGGGCCAAGTTTTGGGTATAGTAATCGAGCGGGGCCGGTGAGTGGGTATCCTCAGTCAGAGGAGAAAATATCGATCACGGCGAATACTCAGTATTAAAAAAGGAGTGTCAAGTTGTTTGTAGTCGTGGTGGGTTGACGATGCATTGGCGCGTGAGTCACGTGGATGAGTCACTGATCTCAGCAGCGGGCGAAATCAGCTATACCTCGACGTCCACCACCGCCGACCGCACGACGATGTCCTGGAACGGCTACCCCGGCCAAGGCCAACACCACCACCAGCACCACCACCAGCAACACCACGGCTACGGTCCACCCCCAGGCCCGCCCGGCGGCCCCGGCGGCTTCGGATCTCCCCCGTACGTTGCGCTTGTCAATCGCGCGCACCGACCCTGATTCTCAGCCTGGCGGGCGTAGACCCTTCCCCAACGCCCCTGGCTTCCCCGCTCCGTACGTGTTTACCCCCCATACGCGATGCGATGCGCACAGCGATCTTCACCATCCTTGCTTTGACTCACCCGTTTACGCTTGTGCAGACCTTTCGGTGGCCCGCCGCCCGCTGGCCCACCCGGCGGCGGATACAACCCGTCGTACGCGCCCTCGTACGGCCCGCCCTCGGGACCCCCAGGCGGCGGATACGGCGGAGGGTACGGCTCGCCATCCGGTCCGCCCCCGATCCCGTCCAGCACCTATCCCGGACAGCAGCGCGACGGGTATGGCGCCCACAGCCCGTACGCACCCCCGAGCGGCCCTCCTCCCGGCGGAAGCAGTCCATATGCGCCTCCAGCGGGTGCTCCTCCCGCCGCGAGTTCGTATGGCGGGAACCAGGGCGGATACGGAGGAGGATACGGAGGTGGGTCGGGATACGGCGGCGACCAGGGCGGGTACGGTGGAGGCGGAGGATATGCGCCGCCAGGTGAGATATATGCGTCATCAGTGCAGAGACCGGCGTCTGACAACTGTATCGCGCGCGATTTAGCGGGCCCGCCTCACATGCCGCCCAGCCAGCAACAGTTCTACGGCCCGCACTTCGAAGCGAACGGGCGCGATGCGCAGCCGTTCTTCCAGTACTCGCAGTGTACGGGTCGCAAGCGGGCGCTGGCGGTCCGGTCCTCTCTATCTTCGTTTAAGAGTAAAGCTGACGTGAACGAGCACTACAGATCGGCATCAACTACGTCGGTCAAAACGGCGAGCTGAAGGGGTGTATCAACGACGCGAACAACATGGTCAACTTCCTGTGCTGTACGTCCGCGCATATGCGCCCGCCGCACCAGAAAACCGCATATACCCACATGGAATCCGACATTTTCTTTTCCTAGCCTCGTACGGATACAACCGGGACGACATCGTGATGTTGACCGACGACGCACAAAACGCGCGCCAGATCCCAACGAAGGAGAACATCGTACGTTCAACCTTTCTTCTCCTGGTCCTATTCCCGAGAAAAGAAATCGTCTGACATCACCGTTCAGTTCCAAGCGATGCAATGGCTCGTCCGTGATGCGCAGCCGAACGACTCCCTCTTCTTCCACTGTGAGCCGCTCTTGTGATTTTTCCTCTACTTCGAGGTGCGAAACTGATCCGATCTACAACCACGCAGATTCAGGGCACGGTGGACAAACGAAGGACCTAGATGGTGACGAAGAAGACGGCTACGACGAAGGTGAGCTCGCTTTCCTCGCCCTCTGTCGATCCCCCTAATGATCTTACTCGCTTCGGACAGTCATCTACCCAGTGGACTACCAAGACGCCGGGCACATCGTAGACGACGTTCGTTTCTCATTCGTTGCCTCCTTTCACCCGCCCTTCATCGCTAACATGCGTATCCCCAACAGGACATGCACGCTATCATGGTTCGCCCCCTCCCTCCCGGCTGCCGTCTCACCGCCATCTTCGACGTACGTCCTCCCTCCCTCCCCCCGTCTCCCGTCTAACACCCTCTCCAGTCCTGCCACTCCGGCTCCGCGCTCGACCTGCCCTACATCTACTCCACCGAGGGCAAGATCAAGGAGCCCAACCTCGCCGCGGAGGCGGGCCAAGGTCTCCTCTCCGCCGTCACCTCCTACGCGCGCGGCGACATGGGCGGCGTATTCAAGAGCGCCATGGGCGTGTTCAAAGCCGCCACCGGGAACCAGTCCAAGGCGTCCCAGTACGCGAAGCAGACGCGGACGAGTCCGGCCGACGTCGTGCGTCCTTTCGTCCTCTCGAGAGAGGAAAGAAAGCGCGCTAATCTGTGCATCTTTCATTTCCTCTTGTTTCGTCGGGTAGATCTCGTTCTCGGGTTGCAAGGACTCGCAGACGAGCGCGGATACGGTCGAGGCCGGGAGCGCGACGGGCGCGATGAGTTACGTGCGTGCTCCTCTTTCCGTTGTATGGTGATCGCATCTGACCAATCCGGAACGCGGAAACCGTAGGCTCTGATCACCGCCCTGAGTACGTAGCAGCGCCATAGACTAAACGTTTCAAGCGAGCTGATGTGCCTATTCTGACTGCAGCCGAGAACAAGTCGCCGACGTATCAGCAGCTGCTGGTCGCGCTGAGGTTAGGCCCTCTGAACCCCGTGTGTCTCCCGACCCACACTGATCGATCGGCATATCTGCAGGACCATTCTAAAGAACCGCTACAGCCAAAAGCCGCAGCTTTCGAGCTCGCATCCCATGGTGAGCTCCTAGATCCGTTCGCAACAGTTTATTCGGCTCACTTGCGATTCACGAAGGACACGAACGTAATCTTCATCATCTAACGGCGGGCCTAGCCCCAGTGGAGATCCTTCTTGGTTGCGTTTTCGTTATCTCTCTTTCTCCCTCGTCTCGTTTCTGTTGTGTGTGACGGACGCTCTCGCGTGTACTCTACTGTACTGCCTCTATCTACTCGAAACATGCTGGCGACGACAAAACTCGCCATCGTACGCTCTATGATGTATGCAATATCGCCGCGACTCGAAATCGTGCTGTCCATGCAATGCCATTGTACTCTACGCTTCGAAGCGATCACCGACGATCAGGTGCCGGCTGCCTGGCCGAGGGCTTTCGTCCTCTCCTCGCTGTACGCGTATTTGGATCGCATCCGGAGCCAAGAGCCATATCTCTGCGCGCGCGACCATCAGCATCACCCCCACAACGTCCGTCGGTTCCACCAGAAGGGAAACCACACTCACGCGGAACAGCCACGGGATCGGCGCACACGCGAGCGCGAGGAAGGCGAAGACGGAGCCCGCCCAGCGCGGGCCGAGCCGGTCGTACATGACGGGCGTGACGAGCGGGAAGGCCATGGCGAAGACGGAGCGGAGGACGACGGTGGACGCGATCGCGCTCGCGCTGTAGATCGAGTAGGCGTCGAGCAGGTACTGTACGAGCGACTGCATGATCTGCGCCGTGCCCGCGCCGAAGGGGATGCCGGCGAGGACGGGCAGGATCCAGGGGACGGGAGGGAGGCTGGTCCTGTGCGGGGGGGCGTTGGCGCGATCAGGCCCGAAAACGGTTCCCCTGAAGTGGGCGCGCGGGGACGGGACGTACCACGCGAACCAGAAAAGCCCGGCGGGGAGCAGGATTGCGCCTGAGAGCGCGACGTACAGCCGGCTGTGGAAGCGGGCGAGATCAGCGAGAAACTCCAGGTATGGCAGGGTAGTCGGTCACTCACGCTTCGGGGGGCGCCCTTCCGTTTGGGCTGCGCTCCATTTTAGCCCAATACTTCTTGTTTGCCCAGGGGACCATACACGTCCCGAGGAACACGCCGCCACCAATACCCAGGAAGGCGAGGCCGCCCTCTCCGGGAGAGAAGTGCCGGTGCTGCTGAAAGACGATTGGATACGCGGCGAAAAAGGAGTAAAGAATGGCATAGGCAATCGCGATGTAGACCGCCATCGCGGAGACGATCGGTTCCGTGACGAGGAACACTACCGGTGTTTCTCTGTCAGCATGGCAGTGGGAAGAATCCGCGGGAGATAAAAGATAGGAAACTTACAGAAGGGCCTTCCTAGGTTCCGTCGGAGGACGGCGGGTAGGGATCGGTCGGTGTTGTGGTCGTACTTCGACACGTATATGACAGTTCCTGCGGAACCAGCTTGTAATGCGTGCGCACGCCGACGCAGCAAAGTCGGAGCATACTGAAATGCAAATTAGTCTAAACGACAGTTCACGCGGGGGTGCTTTTACTTGCCGTCTCGTGCTGGAATAAGAAACCAGAGATGAGGATGCAGCCCGAGAGGATGAATAAGATCCAAAACTCGAAGCGCCAGCGTAGATGGTGGTTTTGTGAAGTGAATCCTCCCACCATAGGTCCCCATACTACATGAGAAAATGTGCGTCAGCGGTGTCACGGACAAGCCGCAGAGTGCTATATACCTGGACCCATGAACGGGGCGTTGGCATATAGAGCGGCGGCGGTCCCGCCTAGAGGTGACATCAGTATGGAAAAATATAGTGAGCGTGAGCGAAAGCGCGGTGAGCTTACGTTCGCGTGCTGTCCATACATCTGATATGGCTCCTCCAGCGTTCGTGAGAGCTGCAGGTAATTATAATTGAGCAATCAACACATTGAGAACCCAATGAAGACACACGGGATGAGCCAAATATACCGCCTAGCAAGCGACAAACCAACAAAGTCGTAGCACTTCGCGCGAGGCTCCCACCAAGATGGAAGAGGGTAAAAGCTGAGTAGGTAAAGAGAAAGACGGGTCGCTGTAAACGTGATAAGTCGTCTGGGTCAAGGAGAACGAGAGGAGCCCGTCACCCGTCCGAGAACCTGCAAGGGAGGTGTCGATGAGCCGGATCCGATCTCTCCTATTTGTCCCGGCAATTGAAATTTACCTCGCTAAGGGGTGCGAAAAGCAACGGACTAGTCGGTAGACGCCCGCGGTGAGACAAAATACATTCCTACAAATAGGAAGGACGAACCCAAGACCAAATCCGAGCACGAAGAGCGCTACGCCCATAATCGCGACTTCTCTACCAATGTGTAGATCGTGCTCAGTCTGCCGGATGCCTCCGCTATACACGCTGCTAGCAAAGGCAACAGAGAACGTCCCCAAGGATATCTGCAGCGTTATATTGACAACATATAAAGCATTAGCGCATGTTCAAAAACTAACCTGCAGGGTGAAGAACCATTTGCGTGATTTTGTCCAATTATATGGGTTATCCGCGTCGCCATCTTCCCAGTCGACGATGTATGGCGACTCCTGCGTCCCTTCTCCGCGGAATCGCGCCTTCTCGGTCACAGCATTCACTTCAAACTTACTAGGTTCCGGTAGAGAGTTCGAGGTTGGCCGTTCCTCCAACTCGAGAGTGGGTATAGAGTCAGCCCGCGAAACCGAGCCAGCGTTTCCCGGCGAAGCGCGTACGGCCGCTGGCGAGGTTGAACTGGCGCTCTCTCTACAGTCGTCCAGAGGCGCCATCAGCAGTTCCAGCAACGGCGTCGAGCATTATCAGCACGTTCCACTGCCTGTGGCTTTTATGCCGGTGCGCGTAGCGGTAAGTATGGTGTCAGCGCGGGAAGCAGGGCAGGAAGCCAATCTTGGCTCACGGCTTGCATCCGGCGGGGATTTCGGCATTCACGGCGCAGAACGGCAGTGGCTGGCATTCTTCCCGGCGGTGTCGGAGTTCGTGCGGCATGATGGTGGCGCTCATTCATCAACAGGGTTTGTATGGCACCGTTTGCTCGAAGGGTCGTGCTGCGGTCCGGCACTCCTCCGTCACTCCGCCGCATTCATTCATGTTCACGACGGACCCGAGAAGAGCAAGCCTGATCACATGAATACATATTATCCATTCAGCGTGCCATTGTACGGAAGACGATCGATAGAATACATGAGACGTATAGAGGAGAGTGAGGCATGGGTATAGCTGGGGAGGAATGTCCGTCTAGTTGCTTGGCCCAGAGCACCCAGAGTTTGATCATGCTCTTGACGGCTCCCCGAACGTGTTCTCTCCCGAGTAGCTGACATACAAGAAGCCGTCCTCATCCCTAGGATCGGTGGACGGTCAGCGTCGCGTGCAACTTCGCGTTGAGGACGGGCGGGGGGGGGGGGTGCTTACTTGTGCTCCTCGTATATCGCGCTCATCAGCGCCGCGGTTGGAGGGAGGACCTCGTCGACGAAGATGAAGATCGCCTTCTCCGGAGCCAGCTTGATCCGTTTCCGGATAACGTAGACGAACTGGCCTACGGTAAGATCCTACAACGCGGGCCTGCGATCAGCCCCAGCACCTTCCTGAGGAACGAAGCGCAACGTACTGAGGGCACCAGGTACTTCTTCTTGTCAATAGTCGGGATGTCCGTCCTGTCCGCCTTCTCGCAGATCACCTAGACAAACACTAGACTTCAGAGGCGGATCGCGGTCTTGAAACACGGGCGCGCTCACCGGAATGCGGTCAGGGTACTTCTGCCGGATACGCTCGGCCTCAGCCTTGCGCTTCTCTACAGTCATCCAAAAGCACGCGTCAGCTCTCCGCGGTAAGATATAGATGGGGGTCGATCGCCACCGAGACGAGACTGACCGAAGGGGTGCTCATCCTTGAACTTGGAACGCATGTTGTGTCGATTTCGGGATAGTTATGGACGTGTGCGATCGGCTGGAGGTGATGGTTGTGGTGAGAGACAACCAGCGGACGGCGTTCAGGGTCGGTGCGGTCGCCCTGACATGAGTCACTCACGTGGTTCAGGCGCGCTCGCCTGCCCGAATTGGCCTTTCTCAGCAGCAACTGCATCGCCTATATCATTGCGCCGCGGGCTGCGAGGGGGTAGCTCTGCGCCTTACATACCTTTTCTGGCGTTGCAAATGTTACGAGTGAGCAGTACTCACTCGGCGATCGTCGCGAGGATTCCGTTGTCGTTGGACTGGTTACACTGGCAGTTATTAGGAGTCATCCTCATCCAGTTCTATGAATTCCGACACCAACACTACCGGTAGAATTCATCTCTATATCAATTGGATTATAGCGCAACATGACTATGGTCTGCTGATTCAATATTCTGCGGTATCCTTCTAGTCGTATCATTCTGTCGCCAGTCGAGTTCATGATCCTCGCCCCTTGGCAGCGAATGTTCCGTTCCCGATGTGTGCCGACGTTGTACCTCGAGAGGCCTCAAGAAAGTACTCCGGAGAGTTGTCCGGTCAGATCGAGTCTGATTGATTAATGCTACGGATGGTGATACATCTGGATCAGGTGTTGGTATAGTCTCGATCGGATAGAAGGAGTGCATGGCAGAGGTATACAAACTGACTACTGAAACGAAGGGAAGGTCCATCATGGGGATAATGATAAATTACTACGAATGCCCAACCGCGCTTCACTTCCTGTCGATGCCCATCCCGGCCGCCATCCCGGTGGCCATCGAGCTGGCCATGGCGCTCCCCATCTCCGAGGGGACGAATATCGTCCTGTTGCCGTACGCGCCGATGCGCTTGACCTCCATCTCCCTCAGACGGATCTCGCGCGCGAACTGGTCCGAGACCGCGCCGTTCGCCTGGGCTTTGATGCGGATCGCTTCCGCCTCTGCCTTGGCCGCGATCTCGGTCGCCTTCGCCTGCGCTTCCGCCTCGATCTGCAACCGCTCGGCGGCGGCCTTGGCTTTCGCGACGATGCCGTATGCGTCTGCATCCGCTTGAGTCTGTTCATAGGGAGAGACCGCTCAGAAGGTGAAGATGAAGAACGAGAGCACAGCACTGACATTGGTGGCTTGTGCTTGGATCCGTGCGACTGCCAATTGACCTTCCTGCTGCTTGATGCGGTTGCTGTTCTCCCTATCCACGTTCTGGGGGCGAGGGAATCAGTGATACTCTTCATGATCTTACGAGTTCTAGCTTACAGCAGCTTCCACTTGCGCCTGCAGAGCGCGAGTCGTCAGCTTGTCCATGGTCGCAGCGATCTCTCCCTTGAACTGCCGGTCGATGACAGCTAGAAGACGACGACGTCAGGCATTTGTTCATCTCGGCGATATCCTGGCGGCTCACCAAGGTCCTTGAGCACGATACCGTACTCGAGCGCAGCCTCGTGCATCTCGTCCATGGCCCTGGTCCTGAGAGCGTCGAGGAAGGCGGAGTTTGGGTCGGAGCCATCTTCCAGGTTATCAGGGCCAAGAGTCCGTTGCTTGATCATGGCGCTGTAGTCCAGGTGGGAGACGATCTGCGTCAGGATAGACTGCGTCTTGTCACGCAGCGCGTCGTATGGCGTATCGTAACCGTGCGTGGTGAGCTAATCAGAGGTTAGCACGACGACTCCCATGGAAAAATCGAGGATGAGCGAACCTTCAACGGCTCCATGAGCTGCCACTTGAGGTAGATCGTCAGGCTGACAGGAACCTGGTCACGGGTGAATCTGTGTAAGGCGTGAGCATGACCGAGTGCGCCCCTGGAAGCGCTGTCACACTGACATGTCCTTCGTCGGCATCTCAAGCTGGTTCTCGCCAAGGGTGTATAGCCCGCGGAGAGTGACGTTCGGGCTAGTGATATAATGCTGGCCAGCGGAGAGCAACTCGAGGTCGTCGCCGCGTTGCAAGATAGCACAGTTCGCGGCGGGGATATTGAGGAACAGCGCGACGACGTATTCTTGATCGGTGCCGCCCCGAGTCTTGCTCTTCATCCTCACTTCGTATGTCCTGCAGCATCATGCTTAGTCGCATATTTAGGATGTTAACGTCGAATTATTCACGAGCCGAGGATAACACCCGTAACCTTGTCCTTGACGACGTGGGGCAGATGTGTCTGGTCCACGATTGCCAGAACATCGTAGGTACCTTCTATGGCGAGCGCTGCGAACCCGCTGTTCTTGATAACGAAGATGTGATTCTAGGAGGAGCGAGTTAGTCAGAAATACGTGTGATAAGAATGCCTAAGTGCATACCTGGGGATCGGATATCACTGCAGCTTGATTCTGTGATACTTGCACTATGGTGAGACCTTGGAACTCGATAACGGTGTCGGAGCCTGGATCCGTCCACATTAGCTCGTGATCTCGGATCAACACCACCTGTTCGGGGCCACTCACATCCTTTAGTCCCGCACCATTCACGAGCCCACCAGTTTCTGAAAGGGAACCATGGGTACCGCCCAGGCTTGGTCACAACTTTCGGTAAACCACCGTGGTTGATGAGGCCCAAACGACCTGGCGTGATCTCCTGCCCAATCCAGTCGGTCGGAGATTTCTTCGAGAGTATCTTGGTCCGCCCGGACTGCGCGTTCCAAACAAGTAGCTCATTAGTTGAAAGTTTTCGTTACCAGACGTTAGTAATATTACGTGCCTCTCGTAGCTGCTGATCCAGCCTGCTAAGAGCGGCGATCACACCATCCTTGCCGATGGGTACGACGAACGGCCTGGTTTGCTGCATATAGTCGACGACATCCACGAACCCTGCTGCGGGCTTGGATCCGGACGAGCCCTTGCTGGGGCCGGTCGAGTCCTTGTCGGGGATGGACTTCAAACCGTGATCCTCGACATTGCGCGACGGGCCACCCACTACGGTAACGTCGTCGTATACTGAGCCCATGATGTGCGCTTGGTGAGAGTCGAAGAGAAGGCTGGATAGGCTCGAGATTTAGGGACGGAGAGTGGGGATATATGTGTTATTCCTGGCCCGAACGACAACGCCGAGATTATTTATGTGTTCTCATGGTGAATCCGCAGCCTCTTTCCCCTGTCCGCTCGGTTACGAAGGCTGTCGAACTGTCGAAAGCTGTTGCAAAAGCTTTGTCTGTATCATTTGTGTGGCATTTCGATCACAAGAGCGCGCAGAAATCACGCTCACCTTCGCTTGGGAACGGAACGGACAACTACGCCCGACTGGGTTTTCTATAGCAAACTATAGCTTTGTCTGATGTCAACAAGTCGCGACGACAAGATTTGCAGGGCCATCAAACAGCATGCAGAGCTTAACACACGTTTCTGAATGGCGGAAGAGCAACCAAGGTCCAAGAGCGCTCCGAGTCCAAGACGCATCGCCCCGGCAAGTGCGGTGCGGTGCGGCTTGCCATCCGAGGTGCGAGCTCGACGAGCTCAAAGTCGTGCTCAGCTCGTAAACTCTCTCCTCAATCTTCCTCGCCTTTCTCTATACGATCTTCGTCAGATATACCTATCTTGCTCGATCATACCACGAGTACGGCACCAGTCTTGGCCGTCCGACTCCTGTCATGCCAGCGTACTACTCAAGAGGTCGCAAATACTGGAGCTGCTGACTATAAGTAACGCTGTCTATACATAGTCTGGCATTCCTCTATCCAAAACGTCAGGTGAGATATATGCGCTCTGCACATCCTGGCGCTATCTGTGACACCAGAGGGAGTAGCTTATCGCTCGCCTACGATACAACATCGTCAAACGTCTCCGATCCTCTGCAATCGCATCACGACTTGCTTGCTGCGACACCCCCAATTCAAAGCTCCTATGACCATGAGGTACGCACCGACTTATTGCTTCACGCGACAGTATACAGCTGAATAGCAAGTAGACGCGAGGCTTCTATGCATGTCATCCTCTATGATTAGCTCCGTGGATGGCAGTGCACGCGAAATAGCCCACCCAGGTGATACACGGACACACAGCTATCACCCACGCGCTCCCCTCCTTTGGCGCATATTGCTATACAAGCTATCGCCTGTATCTCATAGAGGTGGATTCCTTGCCGAGCGTTCGCCTCCGCACTTCCTTCGTCCGCGCTCAAAACAACTTTCATGGCTGATAATCCGACATCTCGCAACACGGCTTTGCAGGAGGAGATCGACACGTTAGATCGGGTGAGTAGCTATCTTCAGAAACACAACACCGTATGAGGTGACATACGGCTTGCGATTCAGGCTCTCGGCTCGATCCCGCGAGATGACGATACCTTTCGGACGTCCCTGCGCACGCTCAGCAAGCTATGCGGGCAACACAAACTCTTACCCACGAGCTACACGTTATCAGGACTCGTGAAAGTCAACGAACATCCGCATAGCGCTGGTGGATTCGCAGATGTATTCCGGGGAACTCACGACGGTACACCTGTTGCCATGAAAGTGATTCGACTGCACGCGGGAGATCGTGAAACGTATATGAAGGTGCGATCTTTACCTTCACCACAGACACTGAGAACCTTCATTCACGTCGTCGTCCTGGTATTCAGGTGTTCTGCAAAGAGGCGATCGTCTGGAAACGACTGGATCATCCGAACGTCGTTCCCTTCCTCGGTGTTGCGCCAGGGTATCAAGCATGCATCGTCTCCGAATGGATGGACCACGGCGATGTCATGTCATATCTCGAACAGCACCCGCGTGCCGATCGCGTTGAACTGGTGAGCATCATGCGTTGCGACGCACTGGGCCAACCTTACATCGCCACGCTCAGATCACGGGCATCGCTTCTGGCTTGGAGTACATGCACGCGAGCGGTATCGTGCATGGGGATATCAAAGGCGTGAGTTGATAGCCACCTCTACCGTCGATAAATGAACATTGGAACCCAGCGCAACGTCCTGGTGGACAGATCCGGGCATGCGCGTCTTGGTGATTTTGGTCTTTCCACGACGGTTCTTGGTACCACCTCTTTAGCAGCGACAGCCGGATCGTCCGCAAACTGGGGCTCCTTCCGTTACATGGCTCCCGAGTTGAACGATGGCATGGCCAAGGATAAGATCTTGACTTCGAAATCCGACGTATACGCGTTTGGAATGACCACCTGGGAGGTGAGGCGCAGTCCGACGTGGCCGATTCACGTCGACTGACGCTGGCCGCAGATCTTCGATGGGAGACAACCATTCCACGATATCACAAGCATATTCGTGGTCCTTCGTGAAGTTCTTGACGGTAAACGACCATCGCGCCCTCCGCACGCAAAAGAGCTAGGTCTGGACGATTTCGTCTGGAGGATTGCCGTTAGCTCGTGCTGGGCAGCAGACCCATCTGAGCGACCGCAAATGTCGGAAGTACTCGGGTGCCTCGGGTATCACAAAGCTGCACGAGGGGTGATCGCGAAGCTGCTGCATGAAGGTCTCTCGGATGCCGATCGGCAAAAGCTCGATCAGCTGCTGTTTGCAGGTTAGTCGTGACGCTATGGCTTCCTACGAGCTCTGCACTGAACCGGCATAGAAATAGGCGGACGTGCTATGCGCAATGTCGCTAATGCAAGAAAGCTTTTTCAGTATCTCGATATCATGCTTGAAGAACTAACGGACTCGAACCTGCGGGAGACGCATACACCCGATATAATCTTGGTCCTCGGTCTATATTCGTCGCTGCTGCCGGGCAAGAAGCTATATCCTACGCGCATCATGGAGAAACTGCTATCGCATGTTGACCACAGGCAATTTGGGACCCGCCAAGATACGGGGTGGATTATGCAGACAAGTGGTACGCGGTAAATTTGATGCGTTGTTCATATTCTGGCTTCCGACGATCGTTCCAGCAGAGCCAGTGCAGCAACGCACCATGCAAGGCCATACCCACGACGTGTTATCTGTTTCCTTCTCTCCGGATGGCTCGCAAATCGCCTCGGGATCCGGGGACAACACCATCCGAATTTGGAACGCGCACACTGGAAAGGAAATCCGCGAGCCTTTACGGGGGCACACGTACTGGGTCCGATCGGTGTCATTTTCCCCCGATGGAAAGCGCCTTGCCTCGGCCTCAGGTGACGGCACCGTGCGACTGTGGGACGTGGAGACAGGGCAGCGGATCGGGCAGCCGCTCCAAGGGCATACGCGCTCGGTTTTCTGTGTCGCATTCTCACCCGACGGCAACCGCATCGTCTCGGGCTCACACGACGCAACGCTCCGACTCTGGGACGCGCACACGGGACAGGCCATCGGCGAGCCTTTATGGGGCCACTCTAACTATGTTTCGAGCGTCGCCTTTTCACCGGATGGGAAGCACATCGCCTCTGGGTCCGGAGACCACACAATTCGACTCTGGGACGCAGAGACAGGCCAGCCAGTCGGGGACCCGCTGCAAGGCCACGATTCCTCCGTTTGGTCAGTCGCATATTCCCCCGATGGCGCGCGCATCGTCTCGGGCTCCGACGACATGACGATCCGGATCTGGGACGCTCAGACAAGACAGACGGTGCTGGGGCCATTGCAAGGGCACGAAAACGAGGTCACCTCCGTGGCATTCTCGCCGGATGGCAAGTACGTCGTCTCCGGCTCCTACGACCGCAGGATCCGGATATGGGACGCGCAGACGGGACAGACCGTGGCGGGGCCTTGGGAAGCTCACGGTGGCGAGTATGGGGTTCGCTCCGTCGCGTTCTCGCCCGATGGCAAGCACCTCGTCTCAGGGGGTAGTGACAATCTGGTGAAGATATGGGATGGAGAGGTCGATTAGGCCAGCGTGGGGTGTCGGGATGGGATCGTTGTTGAGGTGCGTATCCGCTTTCGTCGTGCATGGGCCTCCCTGACGAGTCAAAATGGTAGTGGACGCCGTCGATTTGCGTCCACCGGCTAGAAGCGCGTGCAGCGACGATCACCCGCGAAGCATCATTCATACGGTTGCGATACTATCTCGGAGATTGTCAACGGCTTGAAGGGCGTCCCAGGGATCGTTCGCGCGACTCAGTGGCCGCCGTGTCTCTTAACCTAGATCCTCCAAGATGCGACGCGTACCGTACGCCGTGTGTATTTGCATCGGTTCCCCGTTCTCGTCGACGTAGTGCACTTATGTATCACACGCCCTGAATAGAGCGGTTCACCGGAGGCGATACTGTAACTTTCATACAACACCGAAATACAACGGCGGGCGAATAATTAGGGTGCGCAGGGAACAAAATATCTCCACGTCGTCGCACATTTGGAGTTTTCTACCATCCATCGAGAGAAAAGGCGTTCGACGGAGGGGAGTGAGGTACTGAGTGCAGTGTCAGTAACGCTAGCGCATTTCGGATGCGACATTACCTTGCAATTGTCATCCTCCATTCCGTCACCATCTATCGATCGAAGTTCACCCAGCGCGCAGAGCCCGGCGGACGCGTCCTGGGCAGATGTTCATCGTCTATCCCTCCTCCCAGCCACCCTCTTCAACGATCAACGTCCAGCGTGGTTCGTGCATGGCTTGGGGACGACAAGCGGCCGAAAGGGTGCCATCGGTCGACGGTCCGGGGCGGCGAGCGAAGGACGTATGCAGATCGATACCGCTCAGCCAGAACGTCGGAAGAGGCGGAAGGCGCCGCGTACTGAGCCTGCTCCCGCAGCCCTGAATGTCCTATTCCCCAGTGACCGGAAGAACGTCGAAGAAGAGGTCGTGGAACGCGTGTTGATGGGCGAATGTCTTTGAACGGTCATGGCCGGTTGGGATCGACGGACGGCATGGACCCCCGTCATGCTCGATCGCGCGGGAGGATGTATCGATGATGGGAAAAGAGCTGGCATGGTCATCAGCATCGTAGAGGATCGGTACGGGCATCAGTCCATCCATTACAAGAAGGGCTTAGCCCCTCGCGCGTCCTTGGGACTGCGATTGAGACTTGCGTGGGCGCATATGGTCGATGATGTAGGTCTTTGTTCGTCCAATCGCCGGCGCAAGAGAACATCCGAAGGTGCAGAGGGAAGGTCGATGGGCTAGGAGACCTCTCAAAGCTCAGCAAAGCAAGCGGGCCACGGCAGTCGCGTATTCGCGGACGTGTCTCCGGTTCGCGAAGCCTGAAGTAGCAGAGCTGGAAGCAAGAGTTGAGCGTCGGCGCAGACCTCGGACACGCAGAAAGGGCGAGAAGTTACCATAGCCTGGATTGCATGAGCAATTGGCGTTACCGAACGCTAGCTGCGTCGTCGTCGAGATACGCCGGACGTCGGAGGCTAACACGGAGATGGGCCAGATGGCGCTCAAGCGGTCGTAAACGCGAACGAAATCACTTCAGAGATTTCCTGGCGATATTGTGATCACGGCGAGTGGTCGTCAAGTCAATGCGGCGGCCGGTACATTCGCGCGACGACGCGGTTGCCTTGGGTGCCGTGTCTGCAGAACAACAGGCATCAGCATCTGGAGGATGGGAAAAGGGGTAATAGCGCACGGGTAATGCCCTTCAAACACAAGCCGCCCGACGTGACATCTCTCGAAAGCTCGAAGCAATGAATGCCCGAAACGCGGCCTCGAGCTTCGATAGTTCACGCGATGGTGGCAAGGGGAGCGCGGAGGATCCGACGATGTGGACATCCTTCAACATGGAAGTGTCGAGCCCAGAATCGAACTGTGTTACGTCAAGCGCAGCTGCATGCTGAGGTTAGATGTCTGTACCAGCACCGTGCATACAACAATGACTCACAATCAGCGATTTTGTAGAGGTGTCGTTGTCCGCCCGGTCTATTATGTATCCGCCCTGCCTTTCGCTGTCTTTGTCGAGGAACGCCGCGCATTGGATCGCTGGCACAGATGTGATATGGCGTCCAAAGCATCGAGATTGGTTCGTCACTCACTCCCGGCGTATGTACGAACAGAAGGTGATGAGACGCACGCAGGCCGCCGATGTAGCGTCCGCCGATGCGGAGACGTCAAGGCGGGAGCTCCGGTAGATGTCGACCACGATATCCAGGCCGTCATCAGACCCATATACCATACCTGTGGAAAAAAGAGGGAGATCAGAACGCGCCGATGACGATGCGGCGAGGGGGCGCGACATGCATGGGACATACCGAATGAGATCGCCTCGTAGTTCGACGTGATAGAACTTGTGTGCCGTTGGATCGTGCGCCTTTGGGTTTGCAGGTAACAAAGGCGATGCGGTGCCGCCGCCGGATATTTGACAGATTTTGATGCAAGTACGTCGCTTGAGGCTGGCGCATGGGTTGCAAGGAGTCGGAGAGGCGTATTGCGGGCAGAGCGGCGAAGGCCATGAGCGGGCGCCTATACGTGAGGGCGGAAAATCGCTCGCGCTTCACCGGGAGTGCGAGAGCGAAGTCCGCGAGACGTGACGATGACGTCGGGATCGTCGGTCGCGTTTGCCCACCAACCTCTCGCGCCGACTTCTCTTGTGCCACCCTCCCTTCGAAAGTCGCAGCATGATGGATATCTTTTGTTGTCCACTAACACTCACCTCACACTCATCTTCACTCTCCCGGACGCGTTCTACTCGATAATCGACCTTATGGCTGCGACACCAGCGGAACAAGCCCTCCTCGCGCACGTCGTAGCGCAGATGGAGTCGAATATCGATTTTCTCGTGCAACAGAACTATATTACTGCCATAGATGCGTCGGGCGATTCGCGCCAAGCTCCCGAAGACAAATGGGGCTATTGCGAGGGCGTTAAGCAGCGGGCCGGTCCCCATCGCGTCCACGACGTCTACGCGCTCGGTACCGCAGACGCCCACGGCGACCGTCGTAAAGGCGAAAGCAACCTGGGGATACAACGAGGACGGTTCTGTGAGTACAGTGATCCTTTCCAGCTCTCGCAATAGATTGACCATATAAATAAGAACCCAAAGATCTGTCCTTCCTCGCGGGGGAGATCATCAAAATCGTCGCCGAGACGAACGAGGACTGGTGGACGGGCAAGCACCGCGGCAAGACCGGCCTCTTCCCGTCCAACTACGTCGTGAAGATCGCCGAGCCTGCGCTCCCCGCCCGCAACCTGCCGCCCGTGCGCGCCTACTCGGGACCCGCGCCTCCCATCGTGCTCCACCCGCCACCTGCCCCACCTTACGAATCCGGGCAGGTTGGCGCGCCGAGAGAGAACGCGCCTTAAAAGCTGTTTGGGGCCGCGCTTCATGGCTCAGACCTCCCGCCCAGCGTCGGATCTCCGCAGACCAACTCGGTAGGGCTGCAGGAGGCTCCAGGCCAAGACAAGAAGAAGAGCAAGTACGGTGCACTCGGGAACACGGTCAGTCCCTCCGCATTGTGCACATTTTAAGGGACTCAACTAGCCTTGTGGATTTGTACTCGCAGATGGCTCATTCGGCCGCAGGCGGTGCCGGGTTCGCGGTCGGAAGCGGACTCGTACGCGCCATCTTCTGGCTGGCTTTCCGTCTCAGCTCAGAGTCAGCTTCCAAACTCAGGGTATCGCTTCTAATCCTGGACCAGACCACCTCTGTCAGCTCAGTTCAGCTCTCTTACGACTCTCAGCCTCGACAACTCTCGGCTCTTCCGACACGATCTACCGACGTTTCTGGGCGCGCATCCCGCATGACGCCACAAACACAGGGTCTACCAGCGAGCTCGTTGTCAGCGGGGCTAGCATCTGGAAGCTTGAATATGAGTCCTACGCCGTCTTACGCTTCATGGCGGCCCGAGAGGTTGCTGGTGCAGAATCTGCTGGGGGGAGCGCGGAGTCCCGGAAATCTCGGCCGATGATCGTACCTGGCGCCTGCTCGGGCTGACCGCCTGAGTTTCTGGCGCTCACCAAATGCGTGCCCGCGAGTCGGACTAACTTGTTGACAGGTGCATGGGAGTCCGGACGATCCTGCCATATCGACTGTGCGAGGCTAATTCCTTATTAGCGGCACAACGCAGGTCTCAAGTCAACTCTGGCAAGCCTCGCGACTTAGCCTAGCTGCTCACGACGAGAGTAATGTATATACGAGCTTCATGCTTACAGCCGAAAACGGTTAATGCAAGATAGGAGCCATGCTTCTGCGCATGCTCTCCCGTATAAATAACTAGGTCCAATGGCAATGCACGCACAACAGCCTACCGCACTGCCGCCATGCATTGTACAAAGGTGATACACGTGCGAACGGCCATCCTTGCCGCTTTAACCCAGACGGGCCTCTCGGCGCTAATCGCTATCGAGGACATCAACGAGGCGCATCCGTGGCCGACCCTTTGCCCCAACGCTTCCTCACCTACATCCAGAGCGACGTTACATGGAGGACAGTTCAGCGCCTCATACCGTGGACTTGCAGGAGAAGATAGACTTGTTAGACAACGTGAGTGGTTGATCGCATGGACCGCAAAGGAGCAAAACGAGGAACTCGACGTGCTCTCTAGGGCCTCGATCGGTTACGTCAAACGGGCGATACGTTTCGAAGGTCCCTGCGCACGCTGAGAGAACTGTGCGGGGAAAGCGGGCTCGTACCCACCAGGTACAGGTTGTCGGGACTGGCCAGGATTGGGAACGATCCACCTTGCGCTGGCGGATTCGCCGACGTATACCGGGGGACCTACAACGGCACGATTGTGGCTCTGAAGTTCATGCGACTGCACGTCAGGGATGGGAAATCGTTCATGAAGGTGCGTGACCTACGATGCCAGACCAAAACGTTCGCGTGGTCAACTCGCGAAAATGATTAGGTGTTTTGCAGGGAGGCTGTCGTCTGGAAACGACTGAATCACCCACATATCGTCCCCTTCATCGGCATCGATCCGTCGTGCCAAGCGTGTATCGTGTCGGAATGGATGGAGCATGGCGATGTCATGTCGTATCTTGAAAGCCACCCGCGTGCGAATCGCGTTCAACTGGTGAGCGTCGCGATTTGATGTGCACCGTGTCAACCTCACGGGGCCATGTCAGATCACGCACGTTGCTCGTGGCTTGGAGTACATGCATGCCAGCGGTCTCGTCCACGGGGATCTCAAAAGCGTGAGTGGGCATCCTCCTGAACGGTCAATCCATATTCAGTCATCGGGACGCAGCGCAATGTCCTCGTCGACAGCCTTGGGCATGCGCGTCTCAGTGACTTTGGTCTCGCCACGACGGTACTTGGTACCGCCACTCTGGCACCGACTGCTGGGTCGTCAGCAAATTGGGGCTCGTTCCGTTACATGGCCCCCGAGTTGTCCGACATTACGGCGAAGGATAAGACGTTGACGTGGGAGTCTGACGTGTATGCGTTAGGTATGACCGCATGGGAGGTGAGCACAGTTCAACCATCGGTCCGACATAGTTGAACCATGTTACCAAATACTCTGAACAGATCTTTGCTGAGCGGCACCCGTTCTACGATATCCCACACGAACTTGTGGTTCTTCTCGAAGTTCGCGACGGCAAACGACCCGAGCGTCCTCTTCATGCACAGGCGTCAGGCCTGGACGATTTCATCTGGAGCAATGTCATCAGCTCCTGCTGGGTAGCACGTCCGTCTGGGCGACCTCGGATCTTGGAAGTACTAAATCGGCTTCAATGGTATGAAACTGCTCGACGGTTGATTGCGAAGCTGCTGGACGAAGGCCTTGCGGAGGTGGATCGTCAAGTGCTCGACGAGATGCTGTCTACAGGTTGGCCACGTTGTCATGTTCCCACAAGCTCTGTACTCAACTCGCACAGAGATGGGCAGGGCTGCTATATTCAGTAATGCTGGTTCAAGCACGCTTTCTGAGTCTCTTGAAACCATGCTAGGCGAATCAACAGAACCGAACTTGCGCGAGACGCGTGCGATTGATATGATATTGGTCCTCGGCACGATGTCTTCGTTCCTGCCAGACATGAACTTGAAGCAATATCCCAGACGCGTGATGGACAAACTTGGGCCTCACGTTGACAAGAGGCGACCGGGGATCCAGCGGGCGATGGCAAGGATGACGCAGAAATTAATTAGGCGTGGTGGTACGCGGTATTTGGATGCGTTGTGCGCGTTGTATTGACTCCATCATCAGGGCCAGCGCTGCAGCGTACGATGCAAGGTCATTCCAACTATGTAACCTCTGTTTCCTTCTCTCCGGATGGCTTGCAAATCGCCTCGGGCTCCGGGGACAACACTATCCGAATTTGGGACGCGCACACTGGAAAGGAAATCCGCGAGCCTTTACGGGGACACACGTTCAACGTCAACTCGGTGTCATTTTCCCCCGATGGAAAGTGTCTTGCCTCGGCCTCATATGACAAGACCGTGCGACTGTGGGACGTGGAGACAGGGCAGCGGATCGGGCAGCCGCTCGAAGGGCATGTAGGCTGGGTCATGTGTGTCGCATTCTCACCCGACGGCAACCGCATCGTCTCGGGCTCACTCGACCACACGCTCCAACTCTGGGCCGCGCAGACGGGACAGGCCATCGGCGAGCCTTTACGGGGTCACTCTCACAGGATTTGGAGCGTCGCTTTTTCACCGGATGGAAAGCACATCGCCTCTGGATCCGCCGACAACACGATTCGACTCTGGGACGCAGAGACATGCCAGCCAGTCGGGGACCCGCTGCGAGGCCACGATTCCTCCGTGTGGTCAGTCGCATATTCCCCCGATGGCGCGAGCATCGTCTCGGGCTCCGACGACATGACGATCCGGATCTGGGACGCTCAGACAAGACAGACGGTGCTGGGGTCATTGCAAGGGCACGAAAAGGCGGTCACCTCCGTGGCATTCTCACCGGATGGCCAGTACATCGTCTCCGGCTCCTGGGACGGCAGGATCCGGATATGGGACGCGCAGACGGGACAGACTGTGGCGGGGCCTTGGCAAGCTCACGGTGGCGAGTATGGGGTTTTCTCCGTCGCGTTCTCGCCCGATGGCAAGCACCTCGTCTCGGGTGGTCATGACAAGTTGGTGAAAATATGGGATGGAGAGGTCGATTAGGCCAGCGTGGGGTGTCGGGATGGGATCGTTTTCGAGGTGCGTATCCGCGTTCGTCTTGCATGGACCTCCCTGACGAGTCAATGGTAGTTGTTGGTGTCGATTTGCGTCCACCGGCTAGAAGCGCATGAAGTGGAGATCACCCACGCAACATCATCCAGGCAGTCATGATATTACCTTGGAAATTGTCGACGGCTTGAAAGGCGTTCCAGGGGCCGTTCGCGCGACTCAGTCGACGCCGTGTCATATCCAGACATTCCAAGATGCGACACGTACCGTACATGCCGTGTATATTTGCATCGGTTCCCCGTTCTCGTCGACGCAGTGCCTTTATGTATCATGCGCCACGGATAGAGTGGTCGATTGGGAGGCGACATCGTAACATTCATCCAACAACGAAGTACAGGAGTAGGCGAACGATTAGGGTGTTCAAGGAAAAAGAATGACCACGTCGTCGCACATCCAAGTTCCTTCTATCCATAGAGAAAAGGCGTCCGAGCGCAGGCGATTTGACAGCTTTTGGTGCGACGATATCGAGCGAGGAGGAGGCGTATTGGAGAGGCCTAGCGCGGACGTGGTTGGCGAGGCCATGACGGGGAGGCGTGTCCGAGCTCAGATATCTCTCGCTTTGCGGGCGGCGGCAGGCGAATCGGCCCATAGCTCTTGAGCGCGATAGCGGTGACATATACTCCTATGACTCCTTGGTCGGTTCGGCTATTTACCTCTTCGAAAATCACGTTTGTAACGATCCTGGCTACGTCGAGATGCTGTTGTAGGCAATAGCTTTGCATAATGGGTGGCGGAGGCTCCTGCCAGTCAACAACGTCGGCGATGACATGCTTGGGCAGACTGATCAATGATCACGCAGGCCGGCCAGCGTGCATTACTGAGCTTGATTCTGCACTGTCTCGAGAGTTACACTGTGAAGATGGCCTCCTTTGCGCCCTTCTCCACCTCCACCGCCTTACCTTGAACCTTCCCGCCAGCAGTGACACCCGTGATCCGCAAGCGTTCATCGAAAAGTGAAATGCTCGCAAGCCCAACCGCGCCGTCGACCACGCTCACCCTGATCTCCGCCCCTTTCCTCTCCGCACGCACTGTGCCCGCAACCTTGCCCGTCTCGCCCGTCGGAATCACGGCCTCGACCTTGGCCCCTTCTTCGAGCTCATACAACCGGACCTCCAGCCCCTCCGACAACTTGTAGTCCGGCCGACCAGTGTGCTCCGGGCCCAGGCAGAGGATCGTGTTGGGGCGAACCCAGACGGGGATGTCGTCCAGCGGCACCACCTCCTTGACCCACGTCGGGCCGGTGACGACGCGTTCGGGATGGAAGAAGGACGTCCATCGGCCAGCGGGGAGGTAATACTCGGATTCTTCGCCCTCCGGGACAAAGACGGGCGCTACTAGGAGCGACGAACCGAGCATGTACTGTTTGTCGAGGTAGTGCGTCGTGCGGTCGGAGAAGAACTCGATGAACATCGCGCGTTGAACGGGGGCGCCGGTCTCGTGCGCTTTCAGAGCCTGGGTATGATGGGCAACATCGGATTAGCAGGCACTCTCTACGCGGAGCGACGACACGCACGAGGCTGTATATGTAGGGCATTAAGCGGTGTTTGACTTCCAAGTATTTCGCCATGTTGTCGGCGGCATCTTCGCCGTACTCCCATGGTACACGGTAACTGTGCGAGCCATGCAGCCGCGAGTGCGAAGAGAAAATGCCATAAGCAACCCAGCGGTGGTACACCTCGGGCGGAGGACGTCCCTAAGTATCGAATCAGTGCTCTTCGTTCGCACATGACAGGTGAAGAGTACGGACCTCGAATCCACCGATGTCGTGTGACGTGAATGCATAACCGGACGTTGTCAAGCTCAGCCCACCGCGCAGTGTCTCAGCCATGGCTTCCAACGTGGATTCGCAGTCGCCTCCCCAATGCACGGGGAACCGTTGACCACCCGCGTGACCCGATCGAGCGAAGACGACGGCCTCGCCCGTTCCGAAGCGCTTCTTCAGAATGCCGAAGACTAGATCATTGTAAAGTGTTGCGTATACATTGTGCATGCGGTACGGGTCGGAACCATCGTGGTAGATAACATTCGCATGCGGAATACGCTCGCCGAAGTCCGTCTGCATAAGGTCACCCAACGTGAGTGATTTCGCAGGCAACGATAATGGCCAACGTAATCAGTTAGCGCACCTTGAATGTATCGACACCTAGGTCGATCAACTTCTCTAGCTTGCCAGCATACCATTTGCACGCCTCCGGGTTGGTGAAGTCAACCACAGCGAGACCCGGTTGCCACAGGTCCCATTGCCACGGTGTTCCGTCAGTGCGCTTGATGAAGTAACCGCCCTTTACACCCTCCTCGAAGATAGGCGAAAGCTGCGAGATGTAAGAGTTGACTGCGAGATGAACGTATAGCGTCAGTAGACTTATAAGTCGAGAACAGCAGAACGCACTCCAGACGCAGATCTTGACGCCATACTTCTGCTTGATAGACGTGAGATACGCTTTGGGGTCTGGGAACATGTCAGGGTCGAATGTGAAGTCACACCTGCCCATCATGATCATGAGTGAATGCATGATGTTCGGGAAGTTACAATTATTACCACTGGTAACCCTTCATCCAGAAGCAGTCTAAGTGGAAAACACCGACCGGACAGTTGCGCTCTTGCATGCCTTGCAGGAAGCTCGATACAGTCTGGACGTCATGTGATGAGCAGCTAACGCAAGAAGGACACGAAAGACAACCTACCTTCTCGTCGTAATTAGTCAAGAAAGAGGTCGATAGCCATAGACCAAACGTCCACGTCGGCAAAACACTAAATGCTACGAATCAGTTCTCTGAATTCCTATCCAAGCTTCGTCACTCACGCTGGTCGTCCAGTCATGCGAGTGTATTTCTCCAAGATCTGGCAGGTTGGTAAGTATCCCGCGAGAACGCGTCACGGTGGCTTGAACCGACCTCCAAGGGAGTTTCGCCATGAATGATAAAGTACTCCAGTGCTTCTCCCGTGACGCTCACACCGACGCGGCTGACCTTCTCGGAACCGACCTCTACCTCTACTTCCCCAGGATGGTTAATAAATACCCCTGGTGACGAAGTGTTAAGACGTGGCTGTATGCTGACAGTATTCAACGCACCATAACCCCTGTTGGTGATGTAGAAAGGAACGTTTTTGTAGGCCTGTTCAGAGGACGTTCCACCGTCCTGGTTCCAAATGCTGACGGTTTGGCCTTCGCGTCTTTAGTACGCCATGTACGCGAATGATACGTTGTGAGACAACGCACCGTTCTTGATAAAGGGTCCGAATTGTTCGCCCATGCCATAGATCAGCTCTCCGGGGCTGAGGTTCAACTCAGAATGGACGTAGCGAACGGTCTCTGGTGGAGGTACAGGGTTGGGGTTGGAGCTAACGTCCGTCGCCAAGCAGCTCGTGTTCGCCGCGCTGTTTTGCGTCCACTTATAAGGAACGTCGTAAATGCCCTGGTGCTTGTACCCGGCGGAGGTGAGCGTCCGTTTGGACGACTTGAAGGTGATGGTGTACGGGTTTTCGGTGATTTCCGCGGTCAAGCCGGAAGTGGAGACGGTCCAGGATCCTTGCCCCTGGCTCAGGACAGTCTTGCCTACGATGGCCTGATCGTCTGGGAATAGATGGATCTCGGGCTTCTGGTCAACGTGCTTGAAGTGGACAATCTTGACGCCGATTACACCCTCAGTAGGGGAGTGGACACGGATGCTGAGGACGGGACCTGAACGACGACGAGAGTCAAACTGAGCTTAGAGGCAAATAATAATAAGCACGAACCTCCCAAAGTATCGCCCCGATGTCTTATAGGCTTCGTTGAAACTTGAAGATTGTAACCATCGGCGTCTGGCTTGGTCGAGGTAACCTGGAGGCCGTGGTACGCCTTGACACCGGCTTTGAGGAGCCAGAAACCGTCGTTGAACTTCATCGTGTGTCGTCGTGGGCTGCACAAATCGGTACCAGTCCGACCAGCGTGAGCTATTTGCTTGACGCTTTATGAGGTGAAAGCCTTTCGGTAGAGGAGGCGGCCCGGTCTGCCGCATCCGAGGTTTCGCCGTTCATTATCGCATTGACAGAAGGGCAAACACCAGTCCCTGGGTGATCAGGAGTTGCTTGCATGAGGGCTCGGTGCCGATAAATGCCGCAGGAGCACCAGTCCGGCACGAAGTAACTTCGGAAGAAAGCTGTCTGCGCTAGCCCACGGCATCATCGATCACGTGATGACACGAATGAGTCACTTGAGAACTCTTGAGAAGTCGCGTTGCAGAGGCTCGCGTCTTCATCGATATCCACGGACACAATGAGCGTCTCGTCAACATCGCCGGACAAGGCCGGGCTCGTACAGAAGCCCTTATACCTGCAAACGCCCCTGATCAGGTCAAGTCATATATCTTCGGCGTCGAAGTGCGACGCGTACCTCAAACTCGAGGTTAGTGAAGAGGCTCGACCGGGGCAGTCCACCTGAGCATTGAGCTAGGACGTGTCGTCAGACCCTCCAACCTCCGCAGTCTTTCAAGGCCAGAGGAATATCTTCCTTCGTACAGCGTTCTGTCGCGACGCATGGTGCATCTGTGCACATTATTATCGCCTCCGGGGGCAACGCTGGACTGGCCGCCGCCTGGGCCGCACATGCGCTGATGGTTCGATGCACGGTATTCCTTCCCGAGTCAGCTAGTCGGGAAACCATCGACTTCCTTCACAAACATGGCGCGGAGGTTGTGATAGAGGGCAAGATCTTCTTGGAGGCTCTAGCAAAGGCGGAGGAGGTTGCTAGAACAGAGGATAACGCGTGAGTTGAGCTCGGGAGACAGGGCCATGAACTCACCCTATATGGGCAAAATAGGGTGGTGGTCCCCGCATATGACGACCTCGTGCTATGGCAGGGACACGCCTCAATGATCACTGAAATCCAGCAACAGTTTCAGGATATCCAAGGGGTGGAACAGGTGACGAAACCGGACGCGATATTCTGCAGCGTCGGCGGTGCAGGACTTCTTGGAGGTGTGCTTGTCGGATTAAAACAGGTTGGCTGGGAAGACAGTTCGTCCTAGTTCTCTCTGCACATGTACCTGACGATCTGACAGTCAGCAATTTTCAGTCCCAGTCGTCGCAGTCGAGACGCACGGGTCCAACTGCTTCGAGGAATCCCTGAGATTGAATCGTGACGAAACATTCGAGCCATCGAAGTCCCCGAACATCGACAGGGTGGTTCTCGACGAGCATCACCGAGTCAAGGTTGCGCACTTAAAGCAGTTGACTTCAAAGGCAACCTCTCTAGGAGCGTCGTCACCTTCCGCGGGGGTGGTAAAGTTGGCTTTGCAACATCCAGGAGGGGTAGCCTCCTTGACCGTGTCCGACGAAATGGCAATGTGGGCCTCTGAAAGATTCGCAGGTGAGAGCACCCACCGCGCGAAGGAATGGTTGAACCGGCTGATTCGGGACATAGAAGATCATAAGACCCTCGTCGAGCTAGCATGTTCGGCGACGTTGACGCCAGCTTATAGCCCGGACCTCCTCAGCCGTCTGCTGGGCGTAGTCTCTCCTAGCAGGGGACATGACTCCGTGAAGCTCGTATTCATCGTCTGTGGTGGTTTCAAGGTGTCTCTAGCCGATCTGGCGGAGTATCAGCACGTAGCTGCGATCGAGACTGGGGAAAGGAAAGGTACTGACTGGAAGGTTCGCTGCAACGCTCAGCCATGGGATATTCCCAAGTGACTACACGAAGGGGCATGCGGGAACATACGTAGGCACGTCTTGTAAAACAATGGGATGCAATGTGTGGAAGAGTACGAGGAGGTGTGGTCTTGTATTACAGTAGCAAGGATATTATCATAAACATGCTTATCTGCGAGGGTCATGAACACTGGACTCAGCTCGAGAAACAATACTAACATACTATAGATGCCATCTATACATGGTCTGTCCGAGATTCCGCTTCTTGGTGTTCACGTTCGAGACGTCTTGCGAGCTTTTCAGCCTTGATGCGAGCTAATTCGTCCCGTAGTGTCGATTGATCTCCCGGTATGTGCTACAACCCAGAGCTTCAGCAGAGATACATCGTACCCTGGTCCATGGAGCACCCACTGTCGTCAGCCTTTCCTGAGGCACGAATATTCTTTCGCGGTACTGTAAGCGCAATGTTTTGGTACTCGCCAACAAGTATGGGCAGTTTGACGCACCGGCAAAACATATTTCCTGTACCACTCCGGGTCTCCATAGTGTACCATCATGGCGACCGGAAAGAAGACATAGAGAGCGAATTTGAAGACCTCGAGATTGGGACCACCCATGGTGCACAACGACGTCAACGATGAACGCGCGAGGAAGGGTAAAATAAATATCACATGATCGAGAGGCCGTGAAGAACGACTCGCGTCGGATCGATGCTTTCCTTCGACCATGGTACTTAGCTCTGCCCTCGTACACATGGCTCTATCAGTTATGGGCTCGACTGAGAATGGCCCTGTCGATCACGTCTGATCCATCTAACTGCATGCGACGTGATGCGTGGCAGGGTAAACTTCAATGAACGCTGCATGGATTTCTCGAGAGGACGCGATTCGATGAGCGTGCTTTCAGCACTCCGAACTTCCGCGTTTCGTGGAGAAAACAACATCATGCTGAAGCATATAGGATGAGCTGGAACGTGAGCAGTCCCTACAGATTTGAGCGCTTAACATCACCTCATGGCATCCTCGAACAGCCTCATTGGACGGATAGAACTCAGGGCAGGTGATCCCAGCATCTTTCTCTGCTTTGCAATCCCTTCTTCAAATCCCTTCTTCCTCGAATCCACGTCTACACCACGCGTCTTGGTTGTCTTGCGAACATATCATGAACCTTGGTTAGCAACTTCCTCGTGCGTGTATCGGGCCCCGTTCACAATCACAGGTGTTAGTGGCGTGTTTCCTGTCATACTTCTTATGTTCTCTAGATGATCTGATCCGATTAGTCTTTCCTCTGCGGGACAATGGAATAATCTCGAAGTTATATCAGGCAATTATTACAGCCCTCCGTGCGTTTCAATCACCGGCTTCTGGTACGTGAAGTGCATGCCTTTCGGAAATTTCTGTTGTCGTGCCCATAGAACGCGCTCTCTGCTCATGCACGTTTCATCTCGGGTGGGATGCGATGAGTTTGGCTGTGCCGTTCTCTCGTGCAACGGCGAAAACGTGTTGATCGCCCCGTGCTCTCAAACGCGCTCTCGCTCATGCACGTTTCATTTCGTGTGGGATGCGATGAGTTTGGCTGTGCCGTTCTCTCGTGCAAAGGTTAAAACGTGTTGTTCGCCCCGTACACTCAGACGTTGCTCTTCACCTGGTTGACGCGTCTAGGGTAAAGATGAGATTATATTGTGTATTCTGCATATCCTGATCGGACGGTCTTTGATACCCAGCCGCGTGGATCAAGGAATGAATACTTATTCGAGCCTCGGGATGAACGCCGCCAACGCCTGTTTTCATTACATTCTGCGTTCACTCAATCAGTTCACTCAATCGAATGCTTCTAGCAGGAACTGGCATGACACAGGCGCTCAATGCCTAGATAAAGAGCGCAGGATGCGGCGTACCCAGCATACCATCCCCAGACTCTGTCTTGAGCACCGTGCGTCCAAGATATGGAATATCTCAGACACACTGTACGTTTTCCTCATGCAGGGTGATGCCAACTTTCTAAACAGCCATTTACTAGATTTACTCTGCCTTTCAAAGGCGCTCAGACGAGGCTGTCGCGCCGAGTGCAAGCTTGGTTGTCGATCACGAGATGACGGTGACCCGTCCTGCGCCGGTGATTACGAACCAACCTCGGTCGACACGGGTCATGTCTGTGACTATGCTACCTGCATCAATACAGACGTCGGGCGCGGCGTCCGGAGCGACAAGTGACAATACTCGAGCTACATTGAGATTACGAGGAGGCTTCGACCCATGCTGCGGGTGTTGCACCATGATGGTCGCGTGCGTCACTGGGTTGTGCGGCTGCGCAGCTTGCTTGGTGAGTGGGAGTCATAATTCCTTATTTCCCCGAGCATTCGGCTAATGATGTTTCTGTCAGACATCTTCGAATTCTGGTTGCCTGCCATGCTGTGGTGACTCTGGCCCAAAGCAGTCACCGGAACAGTACTTCAATATGCCGGGCAATCAGGGTCCTGTGTACGGCAACTACCACAGCGCGCCGCCAGTGGCTCTGAATCTAACTGGCAAGTTCTGTCCTTGGGGAGGGAACTCATAGTATCCGATTTCATATACACATGATATACGCACCAGTTATGGCTTTGAGTGTCCAGCCGTGTGCTACGTCTTTATGGGGGTTAATCTTCGTTGTACATTGTATCATGCCTCATGTAAATTCAACCGGCACTGGATGCCCATACACTATCGATTACAAAGTCCTGTCAGCATCTTCATCGTCTGTAAGTATACAAGCTCAGCTTCGGCGCGTACAGGAAAACAGGTCTGCGACTGCCGAGAAAAATGCTCGCCAGTCAATGTCGATGCATCATCCTTCCTATTCGGACTCCGGGAAGGGACTTCGCGCTTTCAGAGATCTTTCCAGGTCATCAGGGTCAATCTCACTCCACCTACCCACACGATCGTCAACATAAAATCAGGACAAGAGGGATCACACGATACGTACGGAGCAAAAACCATCTGTAGTCGATCTGGGTGATATCTTGTTAACTCAGATCCGATGGTGTCTAAGATAAGTTTGTAAAGAATCTGGAAGCCGGCTCGAGATGTCAAGACCTCGGACTGCAGCGCAGAACTTGTCACATACGTCGTATCCAGCGCCGTTCAGGTGCAAACCGTCGGTAAGATACGCTGATAGTGCCTCTTCCTTCTGGCCGGCTGCGTTCCATAGTTCGGTCCATACGTCTACAACAGGAGCCTGCAGCGAATATCCGACCTCCTTTACGGCCTTTGCGTATGTCTTGGTCCTATGTAGGAGAGACTTAGTAGTATTACCATCTCCAAACATGAAGATACATACTGTTCGAAGCTTCTATCGAGCTCCTTTGCAGGTCCCCGCGTGCTCAAATCGGCAAAGCGCTGATGCGTGTTGACCGGTGGCGGCGTAATGAACAGGACATGAGTATCGGGTGAGTAGTATTCGCTTTCTGGATCTATCATAGATATGAATTAGATCAAATGAGAGCCAACATTCAAAGACACGGATTACCTTTCACCATCGTCGCTAATTCTTTGAGGTTTGCCATAAATTCGGGAAGAGGCACGTGCTGCGGCGGTCGTAGCGCAGCATCATTCGCACCGAACCAGATGCCCAATATATGTATCTTTGGGCGAGAGACCGTCGCCAGCGGCCAAACCTACACGAAGGAGTTATCTGGACGAGAACCTGTCGAAATGACACATGTAACCGCTAACCTGTTTGAACACAGGGAGTATCCATCTGGTAGTATACCCAGAAAATCCTCGGTTTACGACGTCAAACTTGCGATTGTACACATCTGCAGTCGATGTGAGTCGATCCTGTTCTGCGACCACTGAGGTACGATCATGTTGCACAGACGAGAGAGTCGGGCAACGAAGCCGTGCTGTTCAGGCTCATATCCGCCTTGCGTAAGCGAGTCGCCAAGCAACCAGATTTGGTCCATTTTCGATGGAATCGGATACAAGAAGGCGAATCAACTTCTAGACACCAGTTAAGTACGGCAAGCAATATGGCGGCTCGAAGCAAAGATCGACACCGGACGGCTGTGCTACGGCGGACCTGGGACAACGGGCCGGTCGCTACCGGATAATAGTTTGGTGTTACATTGTCTAAACCTCATCTCTCTCTGGCGAATTATCATCAATGGATCAAATCTGGCTACTGGGAGACTCACTCACTCAAGGCGGTTATGAGATAGAGAACAAGGGTTTCGCTGCGCGCCTCGCTCGTCCGTATCGCCTACTTGCCATGATAAAACAGCAGTGTTCAACGGCGCTCCGATGAAGATGCATATATCAGAAAGCTCGACATCGTCAATCGCGGGCTGTCGGGGTACAATACCACATGGGCGCTTCGAGTGTTCAAGCAGGTTCGAGTCTATTCACAGCGAGACAGTCATCGTCATAGCAATGGTGTCGCTTGCGCTTGCTTCGAGATTTGAGAGTATCCGGGTTGACGACCTGGATTTGACAGATATGGCCTGTGTCGTCGTCTCGTGGGCCCAAAATCCATTTAATTGCCATCTGGTACGGCGCCAATGACGCCGCGATTCCACCGAAGGCGCAACACGTACCTATCGAAGAGTTCAGGGCCAACCTCGAAGAGCTGGTTGACGTAGTTCGCAGTAAGTTACAGGACGAGGTTTACTCAGGATATACTCTGAACACCAGCTTTTGCCCGTGCTGCTGCAGACCCCGAGAGCAAATACTACTCACCTGTAACCAAGATCATCTTGATCACGCCTCCTCCGGTCAACACTCATCAATGGGGAGCATTCCAAGCCTCCAAGGTCCCGCCCCAACCGCTCGACCGTGATTTTGAGGTGTATGTAGCCATGTTACTCCGGATGTACGGATAGCTCACCGTGACGTATCGGTGCTCAGTACGAAAGCTTATGCTCAGGCTGTTCGTGACGTTGGCGCTGCTCTGTCTGTTCCCGTAGCGGATGTGTGGACGCCCGTCTGGAAAGCAGCCGGTGAAAGCGAGGAAGCGCTGAAAGCATATCTCATCGATGGACTGCACTTGAACGCGGACGGTTACGACGTGGGCATCCTGCATTCGTCATGCATCATTATCCCTGCTGACCGCAACCTCTACCGTCAGATCGTATACGGAACGCTGCTGGAAACCATCGCCAGCAACTATCCAGAACTGGGTCCAGAGCGGCTGAGCCCGGTTTTCCCCTTGTGAGTGATTTTCACTTCGATTCATGGTTGCGCGCCGACTGATTCGTACACAGCACGGATGAAATTGACCACAACAACCTCGACGGGTCACTGAAGGCGAGGAGTCCTTTCTCACAACGAGCGTGATGGAATTTCTCCAGTTGCATGCAGTGAAGCATGAGCGACAGTAGAAGTTCGGGAGGACAGGGTAGAGAAGCCACATCAAATAACTTGGAAGTGAACCTCGTGCGAAGGAGCCTAAGCTGGACCGCAGATCGAGATATTTCTGTAACGTTCTTCCTCGATTACTGGCTCCCTTCGGGTGATTCCTCTGGCTTTCGACTATCTCCATCGAGCTTGGCTTGTTTTTCTTCTGCTTCTTCCTCCTGCGACGTTCGCGCTCGTTCTGTCTCGCCTGACGCATCTCGGACTTGGACAAGCCAGGGTTCGCGAGTTGGTCAAGCTATGCAACGAGGTTGGTGCGGTGAACAGGAAAAGGATAGCGTCATACCTTGTCAAGAAGGATTTGCCGTGCATATCGCCGATTGAGATCGAGGGAGCGCGTTTGCTGGCAGGTCACTCGGATTCCCGTAGGTTTGTGGATGAGCTGGACGTTGTTGTTGGTCTTGTTGATGGCCTGTCCACCTGGCCCATGTCCTGTTGGATGAGATGAGTTAGTTTCTGGGACACTGTCGGCTGATGCTGCGGCGTTATTCTTTGACCTCGCACGAAGCTTTCTTCGAGGTCCTCCTCGCGCAATTCTGGCGTAACCCGGTTCTTGTGGGCCTTTTTCAATTGTGAATAATTCAATCTGCGCTGCTTCGGTTCCTGGGATGGGTCATGATCGGGCTCTTCAGCATGCTCAGCGCTCGCTGAAGGAGCGTCTACGACCGGTTTTGTCCGTTCAGAGGGTAAAACGCTTGCATCACTGAAGTACCGGACATTAGGCAGGATTCTGTAAATAATGAGGGTTGCCATCGTTCATGCCGAGCAGCATCTGAAATGAGCATCAGATCATCGAATGAGAAGTCGAAAGTCGACGCAAAACGTTGCAGGGGCAAGTCGCCCGGAAAGGGAGAAAAGTAAGCAAGAGCAGAAACTCACTTCGTCCGACTACTTCTCCTACCCTGTACCGGGGGCGGGTTCTTAATGGACTCGTTGTCTCCCAGTTCCGTCTTCTCCGTCAACCGCAACCTCCACACGTCACTGTTCTCTTGCTTCCGCGCCTGAGCGATATTCTTCTGCAATATGTCAGCAATTTCCCGGGCGAGCGTGATCTTGCTTTCGTATGCTTTCGGGTCGCTTTCCGCTTCCACAGCCCTGGCATCATTGCGCATCTTTGCACGCCATGCTATTTGCGTACGAGTCAGCTAGCTTTTCTCTCCATCGAGCGATGGGTGTATGACGAGTGACGCACCGGTAAGGGTCGGCAGGTCACCAGCAAAGGTGGAAGAGGAGGCCCGCCATAGGTGTCTGTATGCTGATCGTGCTGCAGCCTTTAGAGACGGTGTAACAGACATGACCAGGTGTGTTGCTCCGAACACAGGGACGGAAGCGGAGGCGGCGGACCTTGGCGGAACCGGTGTCGACGAGCTAGGCGACGCATGGCTGTGGGAAACTGGAGAGAAGCCTCCGGATACTCACGTGACTCCGTAGATCGCGACGTGAAGAATAGGGGCTTTGGACGCGTCTTGGGACAGTCGCCCAAGATCCAGAGTTTAAATGTCAGAGTAGAACCGTGAAATTGTAATGTATGCATGCATGCTTGTTTAAACGCGCGTAACTACGATGGGAAGGTCGGGTAACATTGAGATCGGAGTGGAGAAGGAAACCAGTGAGATCATGGTCGGGCATTGCACATCCAGCCACACAAATGATAGATCTTAGGCTTCTCGCGACGCATTGCGGGTCGTCGCACACTATGATCACTATTACACAGCGCATGCAAGAGCAGAAAAAGCGCGGTAGCCAAAGAAGAAGCCAGTGTCCCTCGGAATGACTTCACGTGACGTGCGTATACAGTTCCGTTGATTGACTGACTGAGTTTCAACGCCTCTTGCACCCAAACCACCCCCTTCTCCGCCTCAAGTCTATCCGCGGGCCTTCGCAGCAGTCCCGCCCCGTACAACATATCTAAATCCGACAGACTACCGCCCGCACAGTAAATTCCAGTTGCCTTTGCAAGAAATGTCGACCGCCAGCAAGAAATCCGCCGCACCCAAGGCTAACAAGAAGCCTGCCCGCCCCGCTCCGACACATCCGACCTGGCATGAGATGATTGTGGTAGGTCCTGGCCTATCCTTGCACGCCCCCGTTATTGGCGGGGTGCCCCCCTCGCTTGGCGCGTCGCGGGGGGCGTCGTCGTCGTCGCCGTCTAAAAAGGGCAGCAGGGCGGAGGGCACGTGTGCACTCCAGTTCCCCCGTCGACTTCGCCGCGCCTCTTATTCCCCCTACCCCAATCCCTTGCAGAACGTGTTCCCCACGCACCTCGGGACGCAAAATTGACCCCCTCTCGTTGAATCTAGGAATGCATCACCGCCCATCCGGAGGACGCTCGGTCCGGCGTTTCCCGCCCTCAGATCAAGAAGTACGTGCCCCCCCAATGAACCCTCCATTGTCTCGCGTTGCTCATATGATCTCTAGGTTCGTCGAAGACAAGTACAACCTCGAGATCGGCAATGCCCAGAATACTCAGCTATCAAAGGCCATTGCGACTGGGGCTGACAAGGGCACTTTCGTGCTTCCCAAGGGTTAGGCGCTCTATGAGTCCAGAGATGAAATACGATAATAACTGGCGCTCTTAGGTCCCTCCGGCCGAGTCAAACTCGCGCCTAAGACCAAGTCGACCGACGCTGCTAAAGAGGTGATTTTGTGTTATCTCCGCCAGATAGACTGCGGTATGTGACTGACGTAATCTCCCGCGCTCATCCTCCAATCGCAGAATAAGCCCGTCGCGAAACCTAAGGCTGCCACCAAGCCCGCTGCCACGAAGACGGCGACGAAGCCCAAGACCGTCAAGAGGCCGGTGATTGCTGCCAAGCCCAAGGCCACCAAGACCGCCAGCGGACGGACGAGCAAGAAGGCAGAGCCTCTTGCTGCTGCAACCAAACCTGTCAAGAAACCCGTTGCGAAGAAATCCGCGACCACCGCCGCTGCATCCAAGAAAGCGCCGGCCAAGAAGACTTTGGCGGGCAAGAAGCCAGCAGTAGAGAAGAAGACGAGCTCGGCTTCCAAGCGGGGGTCGGCGAAGAAGGTTGGTTGGTTCACCTCGGTTTCCTGATATTATGCTGATGCGACCGTTGCAATTAGGCTGCGACGGGCACCACGTCGCAAACCAAAGCCAAGTCTGCGGCGAAGAAACCAGCGGCGAAGAAGGCGCCGGCGAAGGCCGCACCCGCTAAGAAACCCGCAGCGACCAAGAAGACGACCACTACGTCAAGTGGACGTAAAGTAAGCCTCTTTTGCAGCCACCATATACTCTGTTGCTGACGTGAGGGACGAAAACAGGTGACCAAGACTTCCAAAGCATGAGCCGCCCCTCATGCTTATAGACCGCCTGTCTGTTATGTCTCCTTGTCGCCTGTATTTTCTTCTTGTGTACGCTTATATCGATCGACCGCGCCCCTCCCTTCCGTTTACTTATGACCGATATCTATGCCTTGGGCCACGTTCCCCCCTTGTGTCCGTCGCCGTCGTTACGTTGTAGCAGGGTGGGACACCGCGGCCGGATGGATGGACTAGTCTGCTAGTAGTAGCGACCGCTCCTCCGACATGAATATGTAGTAATTTATGGTAGACACGAACGCGCGGAACTCCCGGTGACGGACGACCCCCAGTATGCTCTATATGCGGAATACCCATTTCTTGCACGTTCGTTTTGGTCGGACGTCAATTGGAAGGACTGCCTACGCGTATTTAATAAGCCCTCGTATTCTGCATATTGTGTTCAGGGCATTGACGGGGAGCGGAGAACCTTGCAACCAGAAGACCTCAACGCTGCAACATCGAGCCTCATCTCCCATAGGCAGACTTCAGTTCGGTGCTTCTTGTAAGAGAAGGAGAGGCGCGGCGAACAAGTGGTTACATTTGGAGAGTCTCGTCGAGCGTGCACAAGGCTAACAATCAAACTCGTGGTCCTAGTTTCCACCCATCGAAGCAAACGTCGGACTATACATCAGGAAAAATCGGAGTATCGAAAGAGTTGCTTATTGGGTACCGAACCCCTCTAAAGCCACTAAATGAGCATTTTTAGTACGTTTTAGGAGGCTTTTATCAAATCCGGTTTTTCCTGATGAACTCGAACGATGACCGGTTAACCATCCCTACGTTATCATTTTCCACGACGCCATGACGGCTAGGCCTGATACCCCTTGTCCCGCAAAGGGTGATTGTAGCGGACGTCACGAGCAGTATAGCCTCTGGAGAGCATGATTATCCTCACTTTCGCAATAAGGATCACAGATCTTTTCGATGGCGATATAATTCTATCCTTCCGAGAAACGCATTCGGCGGTGCTCAGAACGGACGAATCGCGACTTCGCTCGCGTCGGCCAGTTTTTTTTCTTTTACAGCAGATGAGGCTCAGATGTATCTTGCCTGCTGTTCGCTTGGCGGCGGTGCTGGTGTTCCAGCACGTCGGGTCGAAGGAAGGACGGAAACCAGTGCGAGGAGGCTGCACAGCCGAAGACGACGATCCTGCGGTGAGCGTAGACACAATTTTTGGGAAAGTTGCCCGCCCAAAGCGGTACTACCATATACGTGATGGTGATGGCAGTTTCTGTTTTTATTTCTCCGGGGTTGCGATATGCAAGTTACAAGGCGGGCACTGGAGTCGTTCGCGTTGGTACAATATATGGGTTTTTTCCGTTCGGCGGCCCATCGGGATCGTTGAACACAGACTACGTGGCGTATCTGCATGAGACGAGCGCGTTAGTTAGCGACGATCGGGCGGGAGGATGGACGGTAGATAGAAACGTAGAAGAGAGTCAGAAAAGAAAAAGAATAAAATAGAAGGGAGCGAGAGTCAAGACGATGAAAACAAAAAATTGACGAGAAGTATTGATTGGTGGTAGTAGTGGGTGGGTCGGTGGAAACACCGGATCGATCGTTGGCTTACGCACTTCTTCGTCCATTCGCGCGCCGTCGCTTCGAACGCCGGTTTGTCGTTCTTGAGGAGCTGTCGCGAGAAGGGGAGGGGAGAAGAGGGGAGAGAGACGCGTGTCAGCCTTCGAAAGCGAGAGATTATGACGGCCCGGCGTCGCGCGTGCTCACCGCGGCGATGTCGGGTTCGTACGGGTCGTCCGGGCTTGGGTTGTTCAGCTTCTCTTGGACGACTGAGAGAACTGGGAGACGACCGAAGGGGGGTCAACGACGTTTTTTTTTTCGTCTCCGGGGGGAGGGGAATCCGATCGTGCGGTAAAGGGTACACTCTGCTCACCGGTCGAGAGCGTGACGGAAGGTTTCCACTAGAGTTTTTGTGGTGTGGAACGTTAGGTCAGTTGAGGATGTGAGTAGTGTGTTTTGCCATCGGCAGCAACGGTACTTGTAGATAAGGGGAGGGAGGGGGACGCGAATATGAAGGTGGGAGGAGAAGGCGGGTTGTGCGGGCTAGATCGTCGCACCTCGTCGCGAAGGAGCGGGACACAGATAGAGCCCTCCTCGTTGATGCCCGGGTGGTAGATCTTGGTCAGGAACGTGACCTTGGAGCAGGTGAGCACGATTGTACGTAAAGAAAAGGTAAAAGGGGCGAAGGTCGGAAAAGAGGGTCGTGATCGAGGGAGTGCGAGGGTTGTGGACGGTTATGGGAGTGGGAATGACGGAGAGGTTAAATGCGTGGGACGTACCGACGGGGCTTTGAAGGGGAAGTTGTCCGGGAGGACGAGCTTGAAGCGGAACGTGCCGTCTCGGTACGGGCTGTCGGGCTGCGAATGCATACAGTACGTGTGTTGAGATGACGAGAGATGGATATGCGAGTTGCGGATTGCAGATGGAAGGAAGGTAGATGAGAGACTGACTGCTGCTTTGATCGAGCACCTCCACTCGAACAGGTTGCCTTCGAGCGGCTCAACGGTCAGACCCTGTATTCAAGACGGGCCGTCAGTCTGCGATCGCACCAGGGTGGCAAGGATGCTGCGGTAGGAGAGAAGAGGCGCACGGAGATGGGTTTGTTGTTGAGATCCGCGAGTTCCTGCGGGTGCAAGGGAGAAAGGATGCCTGTCGGTGGCGCGGAAGTAGGTGGAAATGAAGGGCGAAGACCTTTTGGATCCGGCTGGAGGGAGATAAGGGTTTGTGTATCAGATCTTGTAGACATTAGGATCGCCATGAATTCGCGAGACAAACCGTAGGGCAGTCATCGTACGGGATTGAGCTTGTAGCGCGTAGCAGGGGAGAGCAGTGAAAGGGGGCAGGATAAGCGCCCGCCGAGATCTCCAGGCGAGAGATGGGCGGGCGCCTATCTGGCACCGCCTCCCGACAGTTTCTGATGGCGGCTGGCACGTTCGCCGTCGTCGCCGCCGTCGACCGCGTTCTCCTCAGCTCGTCTCGTCGTTGTCGCACAATTTCCGCTCGCTATATTGCTCTTCTCTTCCGTCCTCGCCGCGAACGAGGGGGCCAACACCGTGTCTACTACTATTGTCGTTCCCGTTCCTGGCCAACTCGTGTTCACCACGTTCCCTTGCTTCTCCCTGACTTCCCCATCCCAGTATTAGCCCACTCGTCCACAACGTGTACCCCGGCTGCATCTTGTCTGCTATCTCTCCCCCTCTTAGCCCAGCCCAGATAGGGCGTCCCCTCCAGACCTAATGCATCGATTCCGGTACGCCCGCTCTTCATCTCTTCATCTCGGCCTCTTCGCACCCCCCACCTTCCTTCCTTCGTCCTCATCTCTCTCACGCGCATATAGCGCTATATTTGCCCCGCCCTACATCTCTACCCTTTGCCGGATCTCATACTGAGATACTTGTTACCAGTAAAAAGTCGGACGTGGGCCGGCGCACGCCCAGCACCGAGGAGTTCCTGCACCAACACCAGCAGCAGCAGGCTTACCATCTGCCCGCCCGCGCTAACCCAAGAGAGCAGCGAGAGCGAGAGCGCGCCCGCGAGGCGCTGCCGGTGCTGCCCCCCGTGGACGACTTCCGCACCTCGCTCATCCTCCCCGAGTAAGTCCCTCCTTCCCCACCACGCCCGTCCCACGTTTTCTTGCCCTCCGGTCCCCATCCAACATGCCGGTCCACCCACTCCCCTCCATGGACCCTCTCCGGCAGCACACCTAACACCCTCCTCCCCGACTTGTGACTGCATGACCGGCAGCAGACTCCAGTACTGACGATTATGCTCGAATGGTACAGCCTCTCCCGGCGCTTCACCCTCCTCCGCAAACAGGCCGGGGACGCCTACTCGCTCGACGAGCTCCGCACGCGCTTCGCCGATCAGCGCGCGCGCGGGAGCACGAACCAAGTCACGGAGGAGGAGGAGGAAATGATCCTCGAGACCCTCGGCAAGCTCCGCTCGTCCAAAGCACAACCACAATCCCAGACCTCGTCTATCGGACAAGATGGGAACGAAGGGTCGGACGAGAGCCTTTCCGACTTGCCCTCCCGCCAGCCCTTTCCACCGAACACCCCTATATCCCCAGGAGGAGGAGGAGGAGGGCGCCCTAGCAAGCGATACAGCAACAATCTCTTCGGCTCGCCCTACCACCGCGACCACACGACCTACCTCCGCTCCACCGCCTCCCCGCCCACCTCGCCACGCGGCACGACCACGACCACCTCCTTCTCCGGCAGCGGACGCAGCGCGATCTCCACCACGTCGAGCGACTTTGCGGGCGCGGGGAGGGGCATGAGCAGCTCGATGTGGTCCCCCGCGTTGACGCCGGAGAACGGGACACCCGGCGCCAGTGCACCCTCCACGCCCAACCTCACCTCCGAATTCAACCTCACCTCTTCCTCCTCGCTCTCCGCGTCGCTCGCGGACCAGCTGCGCTCCTACGCCGACCGCACGCCGCCTTCCAGGAGCAACAGCACCAGCGGGAGCCACAGCGGAAGTGGGAGAGAAGGGAGAGAGAGTGCGAGCGGGAGGGAGGGCTTCCGGATGTCGCGCACGTTCAGCCCGGCTGACCTCAGGCGGGTCTCGCTCTCGCTCGACGCCGTGCTGGCCGAGATGGAGGAGGAGGCGGAGGACGAGATCGTGATGCCGCGCACGCCGGTCCGCGCGTCGACGTCGCGTCCCGCGCAAACGCAGCCGCAGCCGCTTTCCGTGCGTATGCCCCCTCTTTTAACCTCGATCACCATCCATCTTTGTTTGCAACCCGTCCACCACCACGTACCTTCTTGCCCTCTCTTCTTCGTTTCATGTGTTATTCGTATGTTTTGTTTCGGATTCAGATGCGTCTTGGGGCCCGGTTCATATATCACTGTATTGCGGATGCTGATATGTCTTTTTATGGATATATAGACCGACGCGGCTTCTGCGACGCCTGCCCTCTACGACTCGAGGCCTGCACAGCAGCCTGCTGCTCAGTATGCCGTACGTGCACTCTCTCTCCTCTTTCCCCTCGTCCCCTCCCCCTTCTCTTCACTGACACCATTCTGTGCTTGCGTTTCGTCGCCCTTGCACTCCCCATACTCACCGCCACTTTCCCATCCAGACGGACGCCGCTTCCGCCTACGAACCTGGCCAAGCGCTCGCCATCTCGCCGGACGTACCCGCGCACGCCGAGGACGACGATTCCGTCGCGGCGCCCAAAACGCCCTCTCCGCCAAACGCGCACTCGGGCTCGAGCTCACCGACGCCGCGCCTGCCGGGCTACATCCCGGGCATGCCGCGTCCCATGACACCACGCGAGACCACGTTCACACCCCAACCCACCTCCCCCGCCACCAACAGCACGGAGTCTGAGGGCTTCAACCGCCCACACTCGACGACACCGCGCCCGCGTTCGCCCCAGGCCGTGAGCCGGGCAGCCATCACCGCCGCCGCGCTTCCCATCGGCGTCGCCTCTTCTACGACCACCACCAGCACGCGCGCACGGTATCAACACCACTCTCCGTCTTCCTCCGCGTCCAACCTCTACACCCAATCGTTCCTTGCACGCAGCACCAACGGGCGCTTCACTCCCGACCATGGTCCCTCGCCGTCTACGTCCACTGCCTCATCCCACGCATACACCGCAAGCCGCGATCTCTCCTCCCCTACGCCCTCCATCCTATCGTCGCGCCAGCGCCCTACCTCGCCCCTATCTCGTGCGCCCATCCAGCCGCCCTCGCGCCCGACCACACCAGGCTCCCAAATATCGCGTCCGACCACGCCCTCTAACATCACCTGGCAGCTCTCCAAGTCATCCTCCGGGGACACTGCCACGCCCCACAACAACAACAACAATAACAACGGAGGGGCGGGGCATAGTCGGAACGCGAGCTGGGCGAGCAACATCGCGAGCTCGGACGTGCACGCCGTGCTTGACCGCTCGCGCTCCCTGCGTTCGCCCCCTCTGCCGGATTCCCCCACGATGGGGCTCAGGCGAGACGACGGGGACCTCCTCGCGCGCGCGGGCTCGCTCACGCGCTCACTGCGTTCTCCCGCATTACCAGACTCGCCCGCGATCGACGGTGCCAGGGGTGGCGGCCTGGGCCTGGGCGGCATGACGACCGCTGCGGCTGCGGCTGTGGAGACGGTCGCGTCAAGACACGAGAGGCAAGAGAGCCGAGCATCGAACGTGTCCAGGATGGAACTTGGCTCGCCCGTCGCGGCCCCCAACCGCGCGCTGTACTCGCCGACGCCGACCCAGGACGCGACGCATCGCTCGAACCCGTCGAGCTCGACCACCACCTCCGCAAGCTCGTACGGCCACGTTAACGGCAACGGAAACGCGCGCTCGGCGTCGCCTACCGTGCACGGGCACGCGAACGGCGCGCGCCTGGCGGATGACTACGACGCCGCACCCGCGTCGCCGTTTTCGCTCAGCTTCGGGCCCGCGAGCCACGCGCTGTCCCCGCACGCGGGCTCGTCGCGTTCCTCGCTCGACTCCGTCGGCTCCTCCTACCATTCGGACGACGGCGCCACCGAGCGCCGGCGCGACCTCGACGCGCTTTTCTTCGGCGCGGATCCGCGCCCGGCCGCGTGGCACGAGCTGCCGACGCCGGGAACGTCACCGGACGACTACGACGAGGCGGAGGAGGTCGTGCGTCAGGTCGCGGGCATGAGCCGCGCGGATTTTGTCGCGATTCAGGACAAGCTTGTCGCGGCCGCCAAGGCGAAGGAGAACCCGAGTCAGGAAGCGGGGGCGGGAGCGTCGGGCATCAGTGGGCGGCCGCCGTCGTTGAGGCGGAGAAGGCCGAGCGTGTCGCAGTCTTTCAGGGTATGTGGCTCGTACTTTCGCGTGGGCTTGGTGCGTGCGGCTCGGATGGCTGATCGGTGATGCTTCACGCAGGTGGCGAGTCCGGACCGTATCGCAAGCCCTCCTCCGCGCATTGCGAGCCCTCCCCCTCCGACCCAAGCGCAGCCTATCGTCCAGCCCGCGCCAGCACCGGCGCCATCTTCGCCGACTCCTGCCAACGACAAGCTTTCGAAGGCGAAGGGTCTCCTGGACTCGGTCATCGACGACATCGAGTCGCCCCGCGCCAAAACGCGGACACTGCCGGAGAGCGCGCCGCCCTCGGCCTCGGTCATCGTGCAATCGCCCACGGAGCCCAAGCTCACCCCGTCGCCGCCGCATCTCTCCAGCCCGGAACGGCGAGAACGGGACCTGGCGGATGCGCTGTTCGGCCCATCGAGTGGGATCGGGAGCCTGTCGAGCTCGCTGAGCTCTTCGGAGCCTCCCACATCCACCTTCGCACCTTCCTCCGAGACCGTTGTCTCTCCTGACGTTCTGTCGCCCCGATCTCCTCAGCTGCCAGAGAATGCGACCCATGCCGCAGAGGCACCGCCCAGTACGCCCTCGCTCACGCCTTCCTCGCACGGCGTCTCTCCCGCTCCCACCACGCCGTCCCTTAGTCCGACCGTCAACGCGGAGCTCGCGTACCAGGTCCAGCTTCGCGCCGAGGCAGCCATGGCCGCGCTCCGCAAGTCGCCCTCGAACTCCAAGCTCGCCGAGGCCGGCGCGCGCGAGCCGCCCGCGCGCAAGCGCATCAATCCGAACCAAATCTCGACGCCGAGGCTCGAGTTCGCGTCGACGAGCGTGGACACGATCCCGCTGCGCTCGCCGTCGGTGAACTCGACCATGCAGCAGCAGGCGACGGTCGCGGCGAAAAAGTCGGTCGGCCAGCGGTTCCGAAACCTCCGCGGCACGCTGCGGTCCAAAAACGCGCTCCTGCCGCCCGACGGTGCGGCGCACGATAGCCACGATCTGCACAGCCCGCCCGCCTCCGCGCCGCCCCTTCGACAGCAGGAGGCCGCCAGCCCGAGCATCCGCTTCCACCCTCCTCCCGCGAGCGCGACGACGGAATCTGGCAACGGCAGCAAGCCGACCGTGCCCAGTCCTCCAGCATCGGCTGGGCCTGGGCTGAAAGGCTTCATGTCCCGGTTCCGCAAACATAGGCCAGGAGAACCTACGTCTCAGGCCGAACGCCGTCAACCTCCAGCTCCTCTGCCGCTTGGCACTCCGTCATCTTCGGCGGCGTGGCCGTCTTCTCAGCCTATCCCCGTCCCTCTGCATGAAGCACGATCCGCTCCTGCGTTTGGAAGCAGCAATTTCCCGAGCACCCCCGGTGCATCCTCGCTGGCCGCCCAATCCCCTCAGTCCTCCCAATCAGCCAGTTACGCGTTTCAGCAGATCAATGGTCCGCCCGATGCCCGCTCGCCTGTTTCGGTCCAATCCGCGACATTTGAGTCCGCACAATCTTCGCCTCCTCCTGTCCCGTCGAAAGCGCCTGCGTCAGATACCGAGACGGGCATTGAGTCACATGATTCGGTTTCCCAAGCCGATGAGACCGCGCTCAAGCAGCTCTTTGATGCCGCTTCGAACCTTGGGGTAGACCAGGCAGCCTTGAATGAATTGCTCGCCCGCTCCGGGTCGAAGTCCTCGCGCTCGACCGCCTGGACCATGCTCTCGCGGAACAACTCCGCGCTGAACAGCTCTAGGCATCGCCGGGCCGACACCAGAGAGTCGAACCTTGGGAACTACTCGCCAGCACCGTCGGAAGGCCGGCCGAGTCTCGAGACCTCCTATTCGCGTCCCACCACAGCCGACACGCGTTCCAGTCTGGACGGATTTTCCCCGCGGTCCACGGTAGCCACTGAGGGAGCGTCCGCGGATCTATACGCCTCCAAGTCTGGCGCCTCCCTCGAAGGCTTGGGTATCCGGGGTTCTCAGTCACCGATATCGCGCTCTGCGACTATCCGCCCTGTTGCCGTCGATGAACCGACCGTGAAGCAACCATCAGCCCTACGGTCCTTGGAGACCCGCAAAGGGCGGGAAAGCATGGCGAACGCGACGAGAAGCACGATCGTGAGGCGGACACTGATATTCCCGTCCGACGTGAAGGCGGCAGGTCTCGACTTAGGTTCACTATCGCGCAAAAACTCGGCGCGGAAGTCTCGGAGGGCGAGCGCGGGCTCCACGTACTCCAGCCGTTCTGTGCACGATCGTGTACCGACCCCGCCACCCCCACGTTCTGGTGGGTTACGTCGATTCTCCAAGGAAGCTTCGCCTCCCGTCCCGCATCTGCCCACGCCGTTTACACGACCGTCGGATAATCTCACTGTACCGATGTCGGCGCCTGCAGGAACTCTAGAACATTCCAGCTCGACATATGATTCGCTGTAAGCAGGGCAGAGACCCTTGCTTTGTATTGCGCTGTGCTGACATGCTTTGATCAGTTACGATATGTATGCCGGCGATGGCGGTGTGACGAGTGATGGGCAAGAAGGGGGGAACGGCAAATTGGATTCTGACCCATCAGATAATCAGGGCAATCGGCCCGCGCTGGAAGTTATCGAGTTGGCGAATGGAGAGACGATTTGGTATGTCATGCGGTGGTCCTATGAGACCCGATGTCCGCTGACTATCTATCTCCAGGTCAATTGTGAATGGATTACGCGACGATGATGGTGATGAGGGCTTCTACGGCGACCGTCTCAGCTTTGCCTCGGAGTACTCGCTCCACGACAGCAGCGAGGGCGTGCAGCTATTCTTTAAGGAGCACGCGCGTACAGGCTCCAAAGACAGCAACGCTTCGTATTTATCCCGCAAGAGCAAGAAGGGGCCCGCCAACCGTCCCGAAACCAAAGTACGTCACCAGCCGACCACGCGACTTTAATATTGGGGTTCTTTGCGCAGCGGATGCTCATTCATGGTCCCCTTCCACAGGTCTTCTACAGTTCACCCACCCAGATAGCCCGACTTATCGAGAAGATGTCCCAAGGCGTCGATTCGGGGTCATTCAACATCATGCCTACGTCGGCAAGGGGACAATCAGTGGCGTCCTCTTCCCTGCACTCCGATAGTTCTCAGCATTGGACCGTCGAGGAAAGACTGGATCGAATGCTTGGTAGCCTGGATGCGCAGTCGTAATGTTTCTCTCATCGCTATTCATATTATTGACCTCTCCTCCGTATGCCCCCTATCAACTCGTAGGATACAGTAGCTTTCGTCATAAGCACCCCCCGTACATAATACATAGTCCCATGAAGATGCGGTACGAATGGAAAGCATGGTACAAAACGATGACATGTGCATGTGATACGTGCTGTAAATAAAAGCGAGCGCCTAGGAGGGGATGTACCTCCGGTAGGCGAACTCTGCGTAATCCTGTGCCCGTCAAAATCCCTCTTGATGAAACCCCACGCCTGACTGTGCCGACGGGTTAGATAAACGCCTCGTGTAGATGCAGAGACACTGCCAATCGCGTCGAGAACCTCAATAACCCTGTATACTGTCCAGCCACCTGTTCAGCGACAAGGCGGCGAGTGCCTCAAGGAGCCAGAGGTCGTTGTCAAATGTGTAGAAGAATGCCGCATGCGACGGTCCGACGGGGGTGTTTTGTATCTGGCGGCGAAACATCGCAACTCGGTGTCCGGGCTGCATGTAGCCCGGCAGCATGTACAGCTATATTAGTAGGATTTGTCGTTGGCGTGGACCGCTCGCCGAGGAGGAGGCAGCACCCACGTCGTAATCGGTCGGCCTCTGCTCATTCTTCCGCCACTCAAAATGCGTGTGGAATGCATCAGCAGAGTAGAACGCACGGGCGCTATCGGGGTCGAGGCATCAGCGTTTAGATCAGTTGAATGCTGGACAGTATTACCTCGGAGTGGTCCCCTGCTGCAGGAGACTCGCCATCTACGGAGCGTGCGCATCAGCGGGGAGCCTTAGATGTCGGGTGTAGATGCATACATGCATCTGCTGTCCCAATAGTGTGACCAGCTGTGGGGTTGTAATCCAGTCAAACCAGCCGACGACCTGAGTCTCGTTGCGATAAATCTAGATATATATTGATTAGCTATAAGGGGCATCATGGGGGATCGCAAAGGCAGATCGGAAAGCTATATATCTTTATCGGTGCCTTACCGTGGTCCTGGGCGGGAGGGGCGACGTGGACACCGGCGGCGTCTTGAATTCAAAGCACACATGCTTGGTGTCTTCCCCGATGATGACAACGCCTTCCCTAGGATCATCGCGACCAGTAAAAAAGAGCGTATAGTAGATGTCGTTGCTCATGGCGCGGCGGTGGGTCGAGATGCGAGAGAGAAGGAGAGCATTCGTGAATGGCAAATCGCTGATGATGTGAGGCGCCTACTTGCCCAGTTTATTATCCCGGCAACCGGCGCTGCCCCTGGGAAAGATTGCCACTGCCGGTTACAGATCCCCTCTGCATGCGAGCAACGGGCATGAACGCTGCGCTCGACGCTCAGTAAATACCGAGCAAGTACGAATGTCGCAGGTGAGTAGGAACGATGGCGATCTCCATCCGAAGAGGCTTCGCGCCGGGTAGGCTAATCCTTCCACTATACCTCGTATGGTTATATTTGACAGCTGGCTAAATTGAGTGCCTGTGAAATTCCAGGCGAATTCCGGTTTCTTCAACATTGCACGAATGTTGGCCGCCAAAGGGCTGCTTTTCTTAGAGAAAATACCACCACCATCGCGGGCTGCCTTAGGGCTTGAATACCATTATCTGGATTATCGGTGGAATATACCCTATCTTGACGTCCAAAGCGGGAGCGAAGAGCACATGCACGCGTCTTCGAACATTCGCATCGACGACGGATATCCCCAGCAATCTTCTGCTGGGCCTTTTGGCCCCGCCTCGGCCTCTGTCGTGGGAGCCTGCTTAGCCAGAAAATCTCCGAATTCGAACGGCGGTGCCCGGCGCACGGTCGAGATATGGGCCGGTTCATCAATGCCACAGCACCTTGTCGAGATCGGAGCGCGAACATCGCGCATCGAAAGGTCAGCGAACGCCGGCCCCGACGTGATACAGCAGCGACCATTGTGCGAAGTGTGAACACAGCGCCTAGGATACAGCAAAGTATTCCATCACAGCTATTTACGCGTTCACCTTCCACAACGGACGTTTGCGCAGCTTGCGGGTAACGTGTACCGCGCTGCCCCCATCGTGACCACCGCCAAAGGCGAGCACGACGGTTTCCTCTGCGCCTGACCCTCGCGCAACGCCCTTCTTGCGAAACTCGATTGCCTCCTTCGCAAACTTGAACCGTGCCTGGTCGGATCCTGTCATTCATTCATCTCGTGAGCCGGCAATTTCTGATCGGGATGTGGCATAAAGAGCGGACCGATTTGGAAGGTCGGCGACTCAACCGCAGCCTTGAATAAGTCGAAGGGAACGCGAGCGTAAATCTGCAATAGTGTAGCTCGCCCGTCCGCGTTGGGCGACGCACCGGTGCCGGGGTTAACGCCCAGGATCTGCGGAAGCTGTACCACGAGGAAGTTGAAGACATCGTCCCTCAACCGGTGCGCGTACAGTCCGAATATCGTTGGGGGTAGTTGCGGGTGCGGCGTGAGGTCCATGGTCGGCGTTGATGGCGATGATAATGCCGACGAAGGAGTTGGGCCTAGGTCGCTGAAGGCTAGCCAGCTATCGATAGTTTCGACGGTGATGGATTGTCTGCATGCCTCGTACGCGTAGGTGCAGAGTTCTTCGACGCCGCCCAGGAGGCACCCAGCGGCGAGCACGCCCCTTGCGTTCTCTGCTCGGACGAGATTGAAGGAGATCGGCGAATAGAGGTAGCCGAGCGCTGAGCACGGTGGTCAGCGTTGAGAGAGGTATGACGATTGAAGCCGGGAGATATACCGATCGCGAGGCCCTGAGAATGGGATGCCGTTAGGATCGCACATGAAGCTCGCGCGCGCCGAAAAGAGACAACCACGCACCTCTACGGTTACTTCCGGTTCATGTTCAAGGTTCAAATAGATAGTCCTCTGCCCGCCGTTTTGAGGTGAGGTAGACATCAAGTGTGCGAGATAAGGAGAACGCGACAAGATGATCGCGTGCAGGCGATACGCAGTGTGATGTGCATGCTGGATCCGAAAGTTCTTATAATGAGCACAGCAAGATGTACAGGGTTACTCACGAGAACGGTATCTGCCCACAGCTGGAAAGAGGATCGGTGCCTGACACAAGATGATACATAGCAGCGCACTGACCCCGTTTTGAAACCCAGCGTGATACAGGTGGTTTACGATTTCCTCATTCATACGAGCTTGCGGGTTTCTGAACAGAGACAAGGGAGGGCCGATCAGCCATATGACCGTGACGCTTTGACCATAACCCATAACGCGAGGACGCGACTTGGGTCCTCCGGAAACGAGCAAAGCACTGACTAGCAACTCACTGATTGTACCCGTTGGCTCCGTTCAAAGATAGTGCTGAGCTACTGCTCGGTGCATAAGGCGCCCCACTGGCACTCGTGGCATCCGCCGGTATGCCAGGGAAATTACTGGGTCCGCTACCATTCGAAGTCGGCGAGGTCATAGTTGATATACAGTACTTTCTTGCAGATGATGTATCAGGTAGTTACTAAGCGAGCGGTAGAGGCGGGTCAAGCGACAGATTCTACAAGTATACCTTTGAGTTTTGAGCCAACGTAGGAGGAGAACGACGGAGAGGTAGGCAGAAATTCATCACGTGCTCGTAGGTGTGACTGCGTTGAGGCGTGGAAACGCTCTCCCTATCGCAGGCGCGCCACACGAAGGTCGTCCACCAACACCAAGCCCACAAGAACCTGCCATTACTCTAGTAATGATCATGGATACGTGAGTGTTTAGGTTCTTGTTGCTCCCAGGGCGCTGCTCCACGTCCTTGGCTCAACGTACTTGCAAAACGCCTGTGTAGTAGCTCGTCTCAGTCGGTAAACGACACGCAGGATAGTATCGACCACGAAGTTCAAGCCATATACGAGCTGATAGATTCCTTGCACCAAAAAGTCCGGATGCTCCGCGAGCGCCGCAATCAGCTGGCGCCTATCTTCCGGCTTCCCCTGGATGTCATCAGCGAGATTTTCTGCCTCATCTCCATTCCGAGTTCCGCACGACGTTCCGCTGGTTTCTTGTTTCACGGCCACAGATTTATGTCGGTTTGCCGATACTGGCGGCACATTGGGATTGAAATTGCCAAGGTCTGGTCTGTGATCCCGAATCTCAGGTCGAAGCAGATGATTGGTACCTTTATCTCAAGGTCGAAGAACACGCTCTTGGACGTGGAGATCGACGTGCAACGCAACGGTGATCCTAAAAAACTTCTCTCGAACCTGCACCGTATCGGTGCGCTCGACCTGTACGGCGATAAGGGGTACACTATCCTTGAAGAGCTCAGGCGTCCTGCCCCGGTTATGGCATCGTGTCACATTCACCTCAGTGAAACCTGTTTACCGGCGGACTTTTTGGGCCTGCATGCTCCCCACCTTCGTCATTTACGGATAAAACGAACTCTTTTCCACTGGAAGATGCTGTGTTGTACTTCTCTTGTCCAAAGCTTGACCATCCTCGAATTATGGCGCATCCCTGGAAGTACGTTGCCTAGCGGAGCACGGGTAGCTTCTGCTTTGCGAGCTATGCCCTCGCTGCAGAAACTCGTGCTGGTGGTGTCCGATTGCGCTCAGAAAAAGCCGGGGAAGTTTCGCGGCGACATAATAATGCTCAGCCACCTCACTACCTTGGACTTGCGTGGCTCAGGATCGTGGATCTGCCGAATCCTTCGTCGCATTAGGGTCCCCTCTACCGCATGCATCTCGCTGAAGCCATACAATATGAAACTAGCACCGGTATTGGAGTTCCTTGAAGGTCATTGCACGCGTCACGGCGATGAGTCCTCCATCCGCCGTCTATCCCTGGACGGACCATGGTCGTTGACCGCGCACTCCAGCACCAAAACCTCATCCCTTCCCTTGCTACGCATCAGTGACCCTGCAGCTGGACAACGCACCCTTCGCTACCTCGTGCGTCAATTGCGACTCGACGAGCTTGAAGTCGTTGTTTTGCAGCGGTATTGGGCCAGCACAACGCATGATATCGCCCCCGCATCTTTTCTAGCCCCATGCAAATCTGCAACCCGACTCCACATTGCCGCCAGAGTATGCCGTCAATTGTTACCTGACCTCTATCGAAGAAAACAACCAACCAACGAGCACGTCAGTCGTTATGATCTTCTTCCGGCGCTACAGTTTGTACGCATCAAGAAGTCTTCCTCCTTCTGGCAGGGAACTGCGGATAGCATGCGCCGCCTTATGGAGGCACGGCACGCTGACTCCAACATCAACGGGACGTCTGAACCTGCAGATGCAAACGAGCGCATCGACGTCGCGCTCTGTGTGGAAGAAAACTATGATTCAAACTTGGATGACTCAGATCTTGAGTCGATTAACTCGTACGTGCCGAAGTCGGAGCTGGACTCGGACTACGACTCGGACTCGGAGGACGACTCGGATGCGTCAAGTGAATTGTATTACTACTACCCTTGAGGATAGGAGTCCAAGCTATTATAGCTCGGATTAGGCATCTCACAGGTTGGTAACGGTAAGGAAAAACATGCTGTCATGGTAAGTATCAGGCGTCTGATGGTTCTTCAGGTCCGCGGCGGCTTCAATGACTTTGACGGAGTTGTGAAATGGAACATGAATCTGGGTTGGATATATATTCCGTTCGATGCACATGTCTCCCAATAGTTCCATGTAAATTCAACACCTCATGTGTCCACCGGTTCGGATCTCTCGTACCCATCTCGAACATAGAAAACCCCTACCCCGCGTGCTCTACGATGCTCGTCACCAGCTGGCCCTTCTGCACTACCGTGCGCAACATCTCGGGCATCGCCCGCTCCTCAAACACGCCCTCCTCCTCGCCCTCAACCGGCAAGCTCACGTTGATCGCGCTGCACTTCGCGCTGAAAATCTCGATCGTGTCCGCGCACGCCTTGGAGAGGTAGATCTGGCCAGAGTCGGTCGAGTCGAGCTGGATCGTCGGCGCGGAGCCCGTGATCTGGAGCGTGAAGGAGGGCGAGGAGGTGACCGAGATGGAGGAGATGACCGAGTCGACGAGCACGCTCGTCTTGGTGCATTGGACTGGAAGAAACGCAATGAGGATCCGCGATGGACGTTGACAGGTAGAGACGCACCGAGCGTGACGGCATTACATTTGCCCTTGATCACGACCGTCGCGTTCTTGCACCCGAAGAGGTTGACCGTCTGCGACCTCTCGGTATCCTCGACCGTCAGCCCGTGCTCATTCTCCTGGTATTCCTGTTTGAAAATCCCGTTGTCAGGCATCTGATCGTATCCAACGCAGAAAGAGATTGGGTAAACGCACGATCATCCACTTGTTCCCCTCGAGCGCGAGCTTGGCCGGCTTCTTGCCCTGCAGGCTCGCAGGCTTGGTCGGCTTCTTCGGCAGCGGCGGTCGCTTGCCGGGGGCTGGAGCGACCTCGGCGGGCACGGTCGATACCGCCCGCAGCGCCGGGTTCTTGTGCGTCATTTCCGACTTGTCGACCTTGCGCAGGCCCTTGGTGACCTCCTCGCCGCGATTGAGGTCGGCGAAGACGGCACCGATGCCACCCGCGGGGGCGGGCGCGGATGAGGTCGAGGGTGCTGGCGGGGCCGGTGGTGGAGGAGGGCCAGGAGGTGGAGGTGGTGGAGGCGGGGCTGGAGCACCTGATGCGGAAGAGGCGGAGGCGGAGGAGGGTGCCTTATACTGGTTCACAAGTATGCCCTAAATGAATGATGCATGATTAGAGGCTAGGAAGCATGAAGTGAACGATATATGCGGGCTGACGAACCTTGGGATTCCAGCTGAGCCCGGTGGTGTGATGCTCGGCCACGTATTTCCGCAGTGCATCAAGCGACGCAAAGAACGCACGCACCCACTCGCCGTGCTTAGGTTCCTTGTCCTTGTGCTCGCGCAAGATTTTGTCGCCGGAGTACTTGGACGCGTTGATCATCTCTTGGATATACGGCGCAGGCTTCGTCTCCTACATTTAGGACCCGAGTGTTAGCTGCCAGCACTCCAGTAGGAAGTAAACGGTAAAAAAAGAGGATCAACGTTTCATGTCACGCACCATGACCCATTGCATCGCCTGCGTCCCGTCAGAGAGCACTGTGAAGTGCAACGCGAACTCGCGATTCTTGAAGTTGGCCTCCTTGACGTGCTCGACAGCCTGCATGCTCTCCGCAAGCGGGCGCAGGAGCGGTTGGAGCGTGGCCGCGTCTGCCGGGCGCTGGCACGCTGCCGCAAGCGCGATCAGGCCCCGGAGCTCGCGGAAGAGCGCCTCGACGAGGTCGGCCTGCTCCGCAAGGGGCGAACCAGGGAAGTACTCGCGCGTAAGGCGGGCGAAGGGCTGGACGTGCGCGTCGAGAACCTGCTCGTCGTACGCGGCGACCGCGGGCGGGTCCGGCGCGGGCGCCACGGCAGCCTGAGGCTGAGAGGAGTGCGGGGGCGGTACTGGCGCCGGGGGTGCGTTCGGGTTAGGCTCGTCGCGGAACTCATCGGACGAACGGGCGACAGTGGAGGAGGCCTGGGCGACGGCGAGGTCCTCGAGGCGCGACGTTGCGGCTTCCAACCTGCACAATATTCAGAGATCGTGTGCGACGCATATCATGATTGTCGCCGTACCGCTTGATGATCGTCGCGAGCGAGTGTAAGCCGCCCGACATGATGGAGGTTATCGAGGATGAGGAGAAGGACGAAGTTGACGCGGCCACCAACGAGGTGAACGTGTTTTCTGACGACGACGATCACCACTGCGATCAGTAACTCTTGGATTGCCAGAGCCTGCTCGTTTGCTCACATGCTTTGAAAGGTCTCATAGGCTCATTGTTTGTCACGAACGACGACGAAGTGTGCTAGACAGAATCCACCGCGCGCGGGCGAGCGTGCACTCAGCTTCGAAGAATTCAAGGATCTTGTCTCATCCTCGACGAACACAACTTGAAATTCAGGGTATTCACTCCACTGCCCCTCGTAACCGCGACAATGCTGGCCACCGACACGCCGCCTCCCTTTGCTGGACTTACTCCCGCCCCGACGCCGCCGCCCCCAGGTTCTGCTCCTACAGGCCGCAAGCGCAAACAAGCGCCCGCGCAAGCAAGCACCAGCACGGCCTCTACTCCTCCCCCAGAGGGTAGCACCCCTGCGCCAACCACCACCATCATCTCCGACCGATCCGACCTCTCCACACGTGAACGTCGCACCATCTCGCGCTACCCGATTTTCCTTCCAGCCCTGAACCAGCCCTTGGCATCCACGTCCACCCCGCGCTCGCGCTCCCCCTCCTCCAGCTCCGCTGACCCAGACGATGACCCGCTTTTCTATACCACCGACGGCATCCCTCACAACTCCCTTCGCTTCCGATACTACCCCGCCGGTGTCAACTCGCCCGGCGCCATCCTCACCTGCCGCACCATTGAATCCCTCCCCTGCTCCTACCGCATCTCATGGGAGGACCGCTCTCCCTTCCTCAAAGTCTCGCGCTCCGGCCTGCGCCTCCTCGGCGACAAAGGCTTCCGCTCCGCGCGGGGCAACGCGCCCGTTCGCGAGGGCCGCTGGTACTTTGAGGTCAAGATCGAGAAGGGCGGTGGTGAACCCGGCGCGCGTGCAGAGGGCGCACACGTCCGCCTCGGCTGGAGCCGACGTGAGGCGCCGCTCAACGCGCCCGTCGGCGTCGACGGCTACTCGTACGCCTACCGTGACAAGACGGGCGAGAAGGTGACCCTCTCCCGCCCGCGCCCATATGGCGCGCCCTTCCGCTCCGGCGACACCGTCGGGATGTACATCGCGCTCCCGCCGCGGCGCACGCCTGGTACAGTCCGGACGCGCGGCGGGAAGGAGGTTCCTGACCCGCACGACCCGGCGAACATCCGCCGCAACCGCATCCCAATCGACTTCAAGGGCCAGGAGTACTTCGAGACGCTCGAGTACCAGGCGTCGAAAGAAATGATTTCGCTCATGGAGGCGCAATCCGCCAAGCCATCCGCCTCCGCGTCGCTCCCCTCCGCGCCATCCAAGAAGTCAGGCGCGACCGTCAAGAATATGTCGAACGCACGTGCTGCTGCTGCATCTGCTAAGAAAGCGCAGCCCGAGCTGCGCCCGCTCCCAACGCTCGGCCCGGACTCCTGCCTTGCCTTCTTCGTGAATGGCGTGTGTCAGGGCGTAGCGTTCCGCGACCTGTACGACTACTTACCGCTCCGTGCCCCGAACGACGCCGCCGCGGCACAGCGTCACAGGAAGAAGCGAGACGGCGGCACGCATCACGAGCACGCTCCCAATCCGTTCGACGACGGCACGCTTGGATACTACCCGACTCTGTCGCTGTTCAACGATGCCCGGGTGCGGTTGAACCCCGGTCCGGACTTTGAGTATCCTCCACCGGATGATGTCGATGCCGTGCTCGCCGAGCACGAGCGGAAACGACAAGGGGAGGGGGAGGACGACAAGTCGCAGCTGAAGATGGACGTGGACGCGGACATCAAGCCTTCCACGCAGCGCACCTGGCGCCCGCTCTGCGAGCGTTATCCCGAGTACATGGCCGAACAATGGGCCCTCGACGACGAAGAGGAAGCACGCGCGCGCGCGGCGCTCGCCGACGACAACGTTGACGACCCGTCCCCGTCCCCCCTCCCCGCGCTCCCTGCCACGACGAAGCCTCCGTTGGACAACGAGGCGGAGGAGAAGCGCCAACAACGGCTCGCGAAGCGACGTGCGCAAGCTGCCGCGCGCAAAAAGGCCAAGCTCGCACAGCAAGCGCATCCGAAGGACGACTTGCTGAGCGTGCCAGGCGGCAGCCCGCTGAGGCAGTCCGCGACGCCCTACATGGATACCGACCCGGACGCAGCAGGGACGCCGGACACGGCTGGCGTGTACTACTCGCCCGCCGTGACCCCCGATCCGGCGCTGATGCGGAGTAGGACGTACAGTCCCGACTTGGATCCGGACATGGACAGAGGCGCGAGCCTCAGGCCATACTCACCCGCGGCGAGCGCGTCATCGGGCGTAGAGGTACGGGACGGCGTAGAGAGCGAGGACGACGAGCGTGATGGTCATACCGCGGGCGCCGAGCCAGAGTACATGGAGTTCGAAGAGGCGCCACCACCAATGGAGCCCACCAAGGAGGAGGAGGAGGAGGAGGAGGAGGATGACGAGTGAATGGCTCCGCGTTTCTGCGCATCGAAGTCGTTCTCAGTGTGTTGAACATTGTCATGTAACACATCAAGTCGTACTTCACGGTCTAAGCTGGCCGCAATACTACCGGGTGCAATAGCAGTTCTCTAAGAGCATTGGTCATACACGACCTGTAGCGATAGCGTGAAAATCACGAGCTGCAGGCGATGAATCGTTGTGGCCCACGAAAGGCGTTGGTTTTGCCATGATAATCAACGAAGCATGTCGTCCACCCTCTCTTCGCCAGCTCACATCTGCACTCTAGCTGGATTGCAAGAAAGCCCCGAGAGCGTCTATGCTGTCGTAGTCAACAAACCTGAAGATGAATTCGATCCGTATCCTTTCTAGCCTCGGTAGCAAAAGGGAGGTGGGGCTGTGTTCTTCACCGGTCCAAAATATCCGTTGTTGGTACAGAGGAGGGAAAATGTATGCAGTAGCATTCAGCTCACATTTTAGATGCCGTATAACCCAGACCGAAGAGGTTATTCATTATGGCTAGTGCCCATCGGCTGGCCGATCGCTCGCGTATATCGACGATCTCGAGAACGTCGAGTCGCAGCTGACGGATAAAGTCAAGGCTGAAGCACAGGTCCAGCATGGGAAGTGCACCACCATCCAAGCTGCAGTCAGGATATGCAGCGAACGTTTGGAACTTTCGGATAGCCAGGCAACAGACCGGTTGCTCATATCCATTACGAGTGCAACAATTCTTGAGGATGGATATGATTGAGGTCGAATCTCGAGGGACGATGGGCAAATTGACATGGCGAAGAGCCAGAAGTGCTGTGAGGGACTATGACATGATCGAGGAGATCAAAGATTTCCATACCCTGAGAGTCAAGCCCCAAGGTAACGATCCGGTTCAGCGTCGTGACATCAGGAGAGCCGGTAGCAGGCCTTGGCGAACGATACTCCGTCCGATGACTGGTGTCAATGACCAATGTTGCCAGGGATGACATTGCTTTGGCAGACATTGCGCGCTATACGGACGCACTTACGCGGGCATAGTCGCGCTGTTGTTTTCCGTCAATTAATAGTAAGTCGCTTGTCTCCCCGGGCAGACTCTGGAGCGTGAAGACAGTCGTAGTCAAGCGTAAGTACATGCCGCGAACACGGCAACGCGACTTCACGGGTGGGCGGAGAAGTGAGTCACCTGACCTAATTACCCTAGGGTGGGCCGTACACGATCCCGTACAGATACCTTATCGACGGCGGCTGGTCATCACTTCGAATCATCGCTCATCGCTCATCTCTGTATGTTTCCGATTCCAAACATTTTGCGCCCAGTTGTGAGGCCGCAAGAGCGGGATCTAGCACGAATACCTTCGACACTCCCGATAATCCGTTGACACGACCGCCGACAAGCGTACAACGCCATGCCTTCTCTGGAGCTACTCAAGGCAAGTTATCCCTTGGGATCAATACTGACATCTGGAAATATTGGCTAACACCCGTTCGCTAACCGAACTGCAGGGTCTTTAAGACCTTGCAAGTGACACTACAAACTCGCGATTACAGCGCATCGACGTTCGCGCGCAGGTGAAACTCGGAAGAAGGCCGTCTGACGAAGCCGGGCATATCGTCATTCTCCAACAACACAAGGAAAATGTCCTGGAACTACAGGGGAGACACCCGCTTCCGATTGTCCATTCGAGGCGCGTTCTGTTGACATCGGTCACCATCATTTCCGCTCATAAAGAATACAGTCAAAAGATTCGACTTCATACTCACCCACTGGAATCATCACACGTTCGGGGCCGTCCTCTCGCAATAGCCTTTGTTGAAGTGCCTGCTCCACGAATCATCGCGCGCAAAGGTCCTATCACACCGCGCGCACGTTACCGTGCCATCCCGGTTACCGGCGTGCTTTACCGATATAAGGTGCCGAACGTGAAAATCGTACGCGCGATGGAAACCTACTCCGCACTTGGCGCAATAGAATGGCTTGGATCGCTGGGAGACGGTCTGCTTGACCTTCGATTTCTTTACGCATGCCTTCTTCTTGCTCGGCTTGGCGGCGTAGTCGTCGTCGTCCAGATCCGAGGTCGGGAGGTAGTCGTCGTCAAGCTTCCGCTTGCGACGATTGGTATATGTTTCAGGTGACAGTGCCTGCTTCTTGAATCTGCCGGAACGGCGGAGACCGTCTGGCTCTTGCACTGCGATGCCACTGTCAGGGTTCAAAGGGGGACCCGGCCGTTGGGGAGGATTTGAACCACCCGAACAGAAATGGTTGACCGTGCTACCGGGCGCTAACAGAGGCTTGGCGTTGCCAGAGCCAGGGGCAAGCTCCTGGCTCCGCAAGTCAAGCTGGGCGATGCTTGATGTACCTGGCGTAACGACATGGGATCTGCGAGGATTGAGAAGACCAACGCGGTGGGTTTTTTTGGGTTTATGCGTGCTTGCATATCCAAAAGGCTCAACCTCACTCAAGGGACGTGCCGATAAGGAGGAATATGACAGCGTCGATGGAGGGAGAACGGCGAACGACAGATCGGTCCGCGGCCGGCCATGAAGCGTGTCCTAGCCCGTCATGTATCAGCAGAGCTCATTTGTTGTCATAGGGAAAGTACACCTTGGATTGGTGTTCATGATTGTTGTGAAGGCGTTGAGCTGAGAAGCCTGGTGCGTCGATGAAAAACGCGAAGTCTTGCGGAAAGAGATCGTCCAACGCAAGTTCAAAGTCGGTATCACTCTTCCATGCGAGCGTGAGGCGTTGGTCCTGGACGACGGGTGCGTTCTGCCTGCGCTTCAGATCAAGACCCGGTTCGTTCTCGCTGCAGTGCTTCATGTCGAGCCACGACTCCCTGACGAGGCGTCATTCGATTAGTCAGTGGCTTTGTGGACAGCCGCAGCGGTTATCACATACATCAGCTGGTCGACAGTGGGGAGGTCGACCGTGACAACCACTGCTTCATGAGGACTGGACCGCAATGCGGGCGACGGAACAGGCGCCAACATTGCGAAGTGTGGACGATGGCAAAAACCAAGAGGATCCTGCGAGAATTGCGGCAGGAAAATGCGAGATGGGGAGTCGTTTGAGCCGAGGTTGCTGCCCTTTATTCAGGCCTTGTTCGCTGAATGGCAAGATGTAGGTCCGGAACACGAGCGGAGTGTTGGTTGGCATGCTTCCGACTGCTTCCGGAATGTTACTCGAGGCGCGTGTACGATTTACGAGCTGTCATACTTACGCGCGTGTATCGTCCGATACCGAGAATGGCACATTGTCGAGTCGAGAATGACTCTGCCTGGGCGTCGGTCCGGGAGCGCCACATATTCTTACTCTAGTAGTGGCATGGCCTCGGAGTGGTCAAGTATGATCAGACTGCTAGCTGCAATAATCTAGTGGGGGGCGTATCGATCTCCACCACGAACTCTAGATGCTTCGCAGCTTTGGCACCGAATTCCCCTGACGTGAAGTTCCACGAGCGCCCCCATCACACTCCAACATCACCCCGATGGCCGACTCGGCGATCTCGAGGCCAATGAGCAAATTCTAAACATCACCTTGTATATTGCTGACTGTCTAGGCACACAGTCGCAAGGGTGAAGACATCGATTGAATCTAGTCATCTTCTACGCTACCTTCCAATTTATAGCTAACCCCCCAAAACAGCCAGACTTCCGGTATGCCGCGGCCCATATGCGGATTCAATGATCTCACCATCATCGACACCACCGGCGATCAGCTTCTATGTTCTTAGGAATGGCAAAGACAAGCCCTTATCCACCATTTCAACGATTCTTGTTTTCTACGCCGTGGTAACGTCTCTCATGCTCTCGCCATGTTCATCTTGAGTGTCGAACAATTTCGCTGTCAGGCTTTCGGGCTTGGAAATGCCTGCGGCGGCTCGAATGAGGCTCTAGATATGACGGCGGTGATCCCTGTTGCCGACTTCCTCAGGCTTCCTTAGCTGTGACAATCTGCCGGGAAATGCGCTCAGGGTTTGTCCACGCTCATCCTTCTCTGTCCCAACTCACACTTGCTTGAAGGAATATATCACGACAAGTCAATACTTTTCTGTTCCGATATCTGGAACATATCGGACTTCACGCGAGCTGCGTGTCCTTGTCGCTCGCTGGCGCGACGAAGCCATTCATTGAGAAAAAGGTGCTGCAACGTTGATGTTGTCACCCGGACTTGGACCAGCACTTGGACGCAGCTCCCAAGCGCTCTGATTATAAAATATAGTCGCGGTGCTCAAGGCAATAGATGTTAGGTTGTTTTGCCATCCTTCGATTGACAACATACGCGGAACGATAGCCATACGAGGCCGGGGCACGCACTTAAGCCCCCTCCCCCCTGGATGAAAGAGCTAGAAATGATCTCAATCGAATAACTGTAGGCACCGCGACCTCGCAAAGCATGGTCAGTGTGGTTTACATATGTTCCATGATTTCCAAGCATCCCATAAGTCCGTGACGGCTAACATCACGACGCGAAACTGGTGGCGGGTACAGTCAAGAATTCAGCGTTGTATCATTTGTGTAGAAGCTGACCATCATGCGCTGATGAGTACGGGAACGGGGTACATACGCCAGCCAGAGCGATCGGAGTTCTTGCACAAGGACTTCAACTTGAAGTTCGAGTTGGCGGGATTGCTCTGTCTTGGATCTGAAGTCTAGCTATATCACAATGGTTCGTTTGACATTGAAATTTCAACAAGTCCAGCGTTCCAGTGTGCAACGTAGAACGCAAAGAAATAGCGAGGGCTGGGTCCAGCGCCAGGATGCCGGTGACGCCGTTAAGCGTGAGAAACACTATTCAATCAACAAAGGCCGTGGGAATACGAGCTTCGGAAGGTCAATGTGGCGGTGCCGCCAAACAACGCGACATCATTTCACGTGACGTGGACGCGACCTCATAGCACAGCCACAACATCTCCGGATTAAAACGTCAGGGGCGATATGCCGCCGCCAAACCCGCTGTCCCTGCTACGCTCACCCTTATCGCCACCCCAGGTCTCACCCAACCCTATCCTCGTTCCCCCTCGTTTCACCGTCTCAACGCAATGTCTGCCCCCTCGTCTCCCGAACCCAAGCCCGCCTCACAGACCGAGGAGAAGGTTGCTCCGTCCTCGAAGAAGAGCTCTCCTGCGAAGAGCCCTGCCGCTAAGAAGTCGGCCGCGACCAAGAAGGCTACTACTAAGAAGTCGTCTGTATCCAAGAAGCCCGCCCCGCAGGCCAAGGCTTCGGGGCACCCATCCTGGAAGGATCTCATCAAGGTTCGTTTTTCATGTTCGTATCTTGCACTACCTACATCGACGAACCTGCGCATCTAGGAATGCATCGTCGATCACCCCGACGACAAGCGCGCCGGTGTCTCGCGACCCCAGATCAAGAAGGTATGCCGATCCGGTTTCCTAGCTTGCAATTTGTCCGCTGACCCACGGTTATCACTCTTCCGTAGTGGGCTGAGGACAAGTACAACATCGACATGAGCGGTGCCAACGTCTCGCACATGAACCGCGCCATCGCATCCGGCGCCGAGGTGGGCATCTTCCTTCTCCCTAAGGGCGTTTCCGGCAAGGTCAAGCTCGCGCCTAAGAACGTCGCATCCAAGGAGGTTAGTCCAATGTTCCTACCGTCTTACGCTCTACGTCCTAAACGTTTGCCAGAACGAGCCCGCGACCAAGAAACCCGCTACTGCTACCACCTCGAAGAAGCCTGTCGCCAAGTCTGCTCCCACGAAGAGGTCCGCGGCTACCAAGACTTCGTCCACTAAGAAGTCCACTGCTACGAAGAAGGCCGCGACGAGCAAAGCGCCCGCTCGAGCAGCCCTCGCCACCAAGTCGTCTACCGTACCTGCGAAGAAGGCTGCCGCCCCGAAGAAGACTGCCACTGGGACCAAGAAGGCGCCGGCGAAGAAGACGTCCAGTGCGAAGAGCATCGAGAAGAAGGTAGATTCGTATTCGTGCATCTGTAAGCACTCCGATGCTGATCGTCTTCGTAGGCTGCTGCCAAGACCGCCGCGACGAAAGCGTCGAAGGCTAAAGCCAAGCCCGCATCCTCCAAGAAGGCGGCACCGGTATCCGCCACGAAGGCGAAGCCGACGTCTAGGCGTGCCGCGAGAGCGTCGGCATGATCGTCGCCTATGGCACGCATATGCACTACTGCTTGGACGCCTGGCCCGTTTGTCATATTTATCCACTTCTAGACTTTCTATCCGTGCGTCGCGCTGTCGTAGGACGCGCGTGCATGGACCCATACTATTAGTCCATGTTTCGGACTTGTCATCTGTCTTATGTCCGGTGTACTGTATACGCGTAGGATTCTCTTAGTGGTAATGTATCCCTGAATCATGATCTACTTGTCACGCTCAGTTGATGTGTCTGAATCTGAGCAATATTCGAATGCGTAATGCCCTTGCAACGCCACGTGGTGATGAATGTCGCCGCGCGAGTTTACACCTTGCGTGCTAACTGCTACCACATCCAAAGGACCAGGAGCCATCGCTCATATCTAACTTGCGCTCTACAGCTGTATTAGAGATTTTGTTTTGATTCTCGGCTTTTAGGATGTTCTTCGATATGTGAGCCTTCACTATTATGTGCCCACTAGGACGGACGCGTCTAGAATATTAATGCAAGCCTCTCAGTCCAGAGACTCTTCATGGACAGCGTCCGCAATACGGACAATCTACCGACGACAGGAAATATAGGATAGATTGCGAGATCGAAGCTGCCGCCGACAACATGGCGAAATACTTGGAGGTCAAACACCGCTTAATGCCCTACATATACAGCCTCGTGCGTGTCGTCGCTCCGCGTAGAGAGTGCCTGCTAATCCGATGTTGCTCATCATACCCAGGCTCTGAAAGCGCACGAGACTGGCGCGCCCGTTCAACGCGCGATGTTCATCGAGTTCTTCTCACGACGCACTACCTCGACAAACAGTACATGCTCGGTTCGTCGCTCCTAGTGGCGCCCGTCTTTGTCCCGGAGGGCGAAGAATCCGAGTATTACCTCCCCGCTGGCCGATGGACGTCCTTCTTCCATCCCGAACGCGTCGTCACCGGCCCGACGTGGGTCAAGGAGGTGGTGCCGCTGGACGACATCCCCGTCTGGGTTCGCCCCAACACGATCCTCTGCCTGGGCCCGGAGCACACTGGTCGGCCGGACTACAAGCTGTCGGAGGGGCTGGAGGCCCGGTTGTATGAGCTCGAAGAAGGGGCCAAGGTCGAGGCCGTGATCCCGACGGGCGAGACGGGCAAGGTTGCGGGCACAGTGCGTGCGGAGAGGAAAGGGGCGGAGATCAGGGTGAGCGTGGTCGACGGCGAGGTGGGGCTTGCGAGCATTTCACTGTTCGATGAACGCTTGCAGATCACGGGTGTCACTGCTGGCGGGAAGGTTCAAGGTAAGGCGGTGGAGGTGGAGAAGGGCGCAAAGGAGGTCATCTTCACAGTGTAACTCTCGAGACAGTGCAGAAACAAGCTCAGTAATGCGCGCTGGCCGGCCTGCGTGATCATTGATCAGTCTGCCCAAGCATGTCATCGCCGAGGTTGTTGACTGGCAGGAGCCTCCGCCACCCATTATGCAAAGCTATTGCCTACAACAGCATGCCGACGTAGCCAGGATCGTTACAAACGTGATTTTCGAAGAGGTAAATAGCCGAACCGACCAAGGAGTCATAGGAGTATATGTCACCGCTATCGCGCTCAAGAGCTCTGGGCCGATTCGCCTGCCGCCGCCCGCGAAGCGAGAGAGATCTGAGCTCGGACACGCCGCCCCGTCATGGCCTCGCCACGTCCGCGCTAGGCCTCTCCAATACGCCTCCTCCTCGCTCGATATCGTCGCACCAAAAGCTGTCAAATCGCCTGCGCTCGGACGCCTTTTCTCTATGGATAGAAGGAACTTGGATGTGCGACGACGTGGTCATTCTTTCCCCCTGAACACCTTAACCGTTCGCCTACCGCTGTACTTTGTTGTTGGATGAATGTTACGATGTCGCCTCCCAATCGACCACTCTATCCGTGGCGCATGTTACATAAGGGCACTGCGTCGACGAGAACGGGGAACCGATGCAAATATACACGGCATGTATACACGGCATGTACGGTACATGTCGCATCTTGGAAGATCTGGACATGACACGGCGTCAACTGAGTCGCGCGAACGGTTCCTGGAACGCCTTTCAGGCCGTCGACAATTTCCAAGATAATATGATAACGGTATGGATGACGTTTCGCGAGTGACGACCAGTTCATGCGCTTCTAGCCTGTGGACGCAAATCGTCGCCGTCAACTACCATTTTGACTGGTCAGGGAGGTCCATGCACGACGAAAGCGGATACGCAACTCGAAAACGATCCCATCCCGATACCCCACGCTGGCCTAATCGACCTCTCCATCCCATATTTTCACCAGACCGTCCGAACTCCCCGAGACGAGGTGCTTGCCATCGGGCGAGAACGCAACGGAGCTCACTCCAAAACTGCGACCGTGAGCTTGCCAAGGCCCTGCCACGGTCTGTCCCGTCTGCGCGTCCCATATCCGGATCGTGCGGTCGTCTGAACCGGAGACGATGTACTGGCCATCCGGCGAGAATGCCACGGAGGTGACCACGTATTTGTGCCCTTGCCCTTGCAATGGCCCCAGCACCGTCTGTCTTGTCTGAGCGTCCCAGATCCGGATCGTATTGTCTACGGAGCCCGAGACGATGCGCGCGCCATCGGGGGAATATGCGACTGACAAAACCCAGCGGTCGTGGCCTCGCAGCGGGTCCCCGACTGGCTGGCCTGTCTTGGCGTCCCAGAGTCGAATCGTGCTGTCGTCGGATCCAGAGGCGACGTTCTTCCCATCCGGCGAAACTGCGACGCTGTTAACTTCGCCAGAGTGACCCCGTAAAGGCTCGCCGATGGCCTGTCCCGTGTGCGCGTCCCAGAGTCGGAGCGTGTAGTCGTATGAGCCCGAGACGATGCGGTCGCCGTCGGGTGAGAATGCGACACAGGAAACCCAATGTGTATGCCCTTCAAGCGGCTGTCCGACCTGCTGCCCCGTCTCCACGTCCCACAGTCGCACGGTCTCGTCACCTGAGGCCGAGGCAAGGCGCTTTCCATCGGGGGAAAACGACACCGAGCTGACGTCGGACGTGTGTCCCCGTAAAGGCTCGCGGATTTCCTTTCCAGTGTGCGCGTTCCAGATTCGGATGATTTTGTCCCCGGATCCCGAGGCGATTTGCGAGCCATCCGGAGAGAAGGAAACAGAAAACACTTCGTTGGTATGGCCTCGCATCGTACGCTGCAGCGCTAGCCCTGATGATGGAGTCAATACAACGCGCACAACGCATCCAAATACCGCGTACCACCACGCCTATTGAATTTCTGCGTCATCCTTGCCATCGCCTGCTGGATCCCCTGTCGCCTCTTGTCAACGTGAGGCCCAAGTTTGTCCATCACGCGTCCGGGATATTGCTTCAAGTTCATGTCTGGCAGGAACGAAGACATCGTGCCGAGGACCAATATCATATCAATCGCACGCGTCTCGCGCAAATTTGTTTCTGTTGATTCGCCTAGCATGGTTTCAAGAGACTCAGAAAGCGTGCTTGAACCAGCGTTACTGAATATAGCAGCCCTGCCCATCTCTGTGCGAGTTGAGTACAGAGCTTGTGGGAACATGACAACGTGGCCAACCTGTAGACAGCATCTCGTCGAGCACTTGACGATCCACCTCCGCAAGGCCTTCGTCCAGCAGCTTCGCAATCAACCGTCGAGCAGTTTTATACCATTGAAGCCGATTTAGTACTTCCAAAATCCGAGGTCGCTCAGACGGGCGTGCTACCCAACAGGAGCTGATGACATTGCTCCAGATGAAATCGTCCAGGCCTAACGCCCGTGCATGAAGAGGACGCTCCGGTCGTTTGCCGTCGCGAACTTTGAGTAGGACCACGAGTTCGTGTGGGATATTGTAGAACGGGTGCCGCTCAGCAAAGATCTGTTCAGAGTATTTGGTTACATGGTTCAACTATGTCGGACTGATGGTTGAACTGTGCTCACCTCCCACGCGGTCATCCCAAACGCATACACGTCAGACTTCCACGTCAACGTCTTGCCCTTCTCCTCGATATCGGACAACTCGGGGGCCATGTAACGGAACGAGCCCCAATTTGCTGACGACCCAGCAGTCGGTGCCAGAGTGGCGGTACCAAGTACCGTCGTGGCGAGACCAAAGTCACTGAGACGCGCATACCCAAGGCTGTCAACGAGGACATTGCGCTGCGTCCCGATGACTGAATATTGATTGACCGTTCAGGAGGATACCCACTCACACTTTTGAGATCTCCGTGGACGAGACCGCTGGCATGCATGTACTCCAAGCCACGAGCAACGTCCGTGATCTGACGTGGCCCCGTGAGGTTGACACGGTGCGCATCAAAACGCGACGCTCACAAGTTCAACGCGATTCGCACGCGGGTAGTTTTCAAGATACGACATGACATCGCCATGCTCCATCCATTCCGACACGATGCACGCTTGGTACGACGGATCGATGCCGATGAAGGGGACGATATGTGGGTGATTCAGTCGTTTCCAGACGACAGCCTCCCTGCAAAACACCTGATCGTAGTCGCCGAGTTGACCGAGCGGACGGTTTGGTCTGGCATCGTAGGTGACGCACCTTCATGAACGATTTCCCATCCCTGACGTGCAGTCGCATGAACTTCAGAGCCACAGCTGTGCCGTTGTAGGTCCCCCGGTATACGTCGGCGAATCCGCCAGCGCAGGGTGGATCGGTCCCAATCCTGGCCAGTCCCGACAACCTGTACCTGGTGGGTACGAGCCCGCTTTCCCCGCACAGTTCTCTCAGCGTGCGCAGGGACCTTCGAAACGTACCGTCCGTTTGACGTATCTGGTCGAGGCTCTAGAGAGCATCTTGAGTTCCTCGTTTCGCTCCTTTGCGGTCCATGCGATGAACCACTCACGTTGTCTAACAAGTCTATCTTCGCCTGCAAGTCCACGGTATGAGGCGCTGAACTGTCCTCCATGTAACGTCGCTCTGGATGTAGGTGAGGAAGCGTTGGGGCAAAGGGTCGGCCACCGTTGCGCCTCGTTGATGTCCTCGATAGCGATTAGCGCCGAGAGGCCCGTCTGGGTTAAAGCGGCAAGCATGGCTGTTCGCACGTGTATCACCTTTGTACAATGCATGGCGGCAGTGCGGTAGGCTGTTGTGCGTGCATTGCCATTGGACCTAGTTATTTATACGGGAGAGCATGCGCAGAAGCATGGCTCCTATCTTGCATTAACCGTTTTCGGCTGTAAGCATGAAGCTCGTATATACATTACTCTCGTCGTGAGCAGCTAGGCTAAGTCGCGAGGCTTGCCAGAGTTGACTTGAGACCTGCGTTGTGCCGCTAATAAGGAGTTAGCCTCGGACGGTCGATATGGCAGGATCGTCCGGGCTCCCGTGCACCTCTCAACAAGTCAGTCCGACTCGCGGGCACGCATTTGGTGAGCGCCAGAAACTCAGGCGGTCAGCTCGAGCAGGCGCCAGGTACGATCATCCGCCGAGGTTTCGGGGACTCCGCGTTCCTCCCAGCAGATCCTGCACCAGCAACCTCTCGGGCCGTCATGAAGCGTAAGACGGTGTAGGATTCACGAGATATTCTAAGCTTTCAGATGCTAGCCCCGCTGACGACGAGCTCGCCGGTGGATCCTGTGTTTGTGGTTTCATGCGGGATGCGTGCTCAGAAACGTCGTGGGTCGTGCCGGAAGAGCCGAGAGTTGTCGAGAGTCGCAAGAGAGCTGAACTGAGCTGACAGAGGTGGCCCGCTCCAGGATTGGAGGTGACGTTTCGAGTTTGGAAGCTGACTCTGAGCTAAGAAGGAAAGGCAGCCATGTCGAAGTCGAAGTCGGCGCGAGAGGTCGGTGGGCAAACGCGACCGACGATCCCGACGATCATCGTCGCGTCTCGCGGAAGTCCGCTCAGGTCCGCTCTCGCACTCTCACCGCGCCGGCTCAGGTACCTCCACTTCCGCGCACACAACGCAAACCCTGAACCGATATCACCGTCAAGTCCCGGTGAAGCGCGAGCGATTTCCCCCCCCTCACGTATAGGCGCCCGCTCATGGCCTTCGCCGCTCTGCCCGCAATACGCCTCTCTGACTCCTTGCAACCCATGCGCCAGCCTCAAGCGACGTACTTGCATCAAAATCTGTCAAATACCCGGCGGCGGCACCGCATCGCCTTTGTTACCTGCAAACCCAAAGGCGCACGATCCAACGGCGCACAAGTTCTATCACGTCGGGCTACGAGGCGATCTCATTCGGTATGTCCCATGCATGTCGCGCCCCCTCGCCACATCGTCATCGGCGCGTTCTGTTCTCCCTCTTTTTTCCACAGGTATGGTATATGGGTCTGATGACGGCCTGAATATCGTGGTCGACATCTACCGGAGCTCTTGCCTTGACGTCTCCGCATCGGCGGACGCTACATCGGCGGCCTGCGTGCGTCTCATCACCTTCTGTTCGTACATACGCCGGGAGTGAGTGACGAACCAATCTCGATGCTTTGGACGCCATCTCACATCTGTGCCAGCGATCCAATGCGCGGCGTTCCTCGACAAAGACAGCGAAAGGCAGGGCGGATACATAATAGACCGGGCGGACAACGACGCCTCTGCAAAAATCGCTGATTGTGAGTCGTTGTTGTATGCACGGTGCTGGTACAGACATCTAACCTCAGCATGCAGCTGCGCTTGACGTAACGCGATTCGATTCTGGGCTCGACACTTCCATGTTGAAGGATGTCCACATCGTCGGATCCTCCGCGCTCCCCTTGCCGCCATCGCGTGAACTATCAAAGCTCGAGGCCGCGTTTCGGGCATTCATTGCTTCGAGCTTTCGAGAGATGTCACGTCGGGCGGCTTGTGTTTGAAGGGCATTACCCGTGCGCTCCTACCCCTTTTCCCATCCTCCAGATGCTGATGCCTGTTGTTCTGCAGACACGGCGCACAAGGCAACCAGTAGCGTCGTCGCGCGAATGTACCGGCCGCCGCATTGACTTGACGACCACTCGCCATGATCACAATATCGCCCGGAAATCTCGGAAGTGAATTCGTTCGCGTTTACGACCGCTCGAGCGCCATCTGGCTCATCTCCGTGTTAGCCTCCGACGTCCGGCGTATCTCGACGACGACGCAGCTAGCGTTCGGTAACGCCAATTGCTCATGCAATCCAGGCTATGGTAAGTTCTCGCCCTCTCTGCGTGTCCGAGGTCTGCGCCGACGCTCAACTCTTGCTTCCAGCTCTGCTACCTCAGGCTTCGCGAACCGGAGACACGTCCGCGAATACGCGACTGCCGTGGCCCGCTTGCTTTGCTGAGCTTTGAGAGGTCTCCTCTCCCATCGACCTTCCCTCTGCACCTTCGGATGTTCTCTTGCGCCGGCGATTGGACGGACAAAGACCTACATCATCGACTATATGCACCCACGCAAGTCTCAATCGCAGTCCCAAAGACGCGCGAGGGGCTAAGCCCTTCTTGTAATGGATGGACTGATGCTCGTACCGATCCTCTACGATGCTGATGGCCTTGCCAGCTCTTCGCCCATCCTCGATCCATCCTCCCGTGCGATCGAGCATGACGGGTGTCCATGCCGTCCGTCGATTCCAACTGGCGATGACCGTTCAAATACATTCGCCCATGAAGATGCGCTCACGACCTCTTCTCCGACGTTCTTCCGGTCACTGGGGAATTCGACAGGTCAAGGCTACGGGACCAGGCTCAGTACGCGGCGCCTTCCGGCTCTTCCGACGTTCTGCTGAGGTGTATCAATCTGCATTTCTCCCTCGCGCGCCGCCCCGGACCGTCGACCGGTGGCACCTGCTCGGCCGCTTGTCGTCCCCAAGCCATGCACGCACCGGGCTCCGCGCACTGGGTGAACTTCGATCGGAAGATGGTGACGGAACGGAGGATGACAATCGCGATGTAGCGTAGCATCCGAAATGCGCCAGTGCTACTGGCACTGCATTCAGTACATCACTACACTCCGTCGGACGCCTTTTCTCTATGGACAGTAGGAACTTGGATGTGCGACGACGTGGAGATACTTTGCTCCCTTTGCACCTCGATCGTTCGCCCGCCGTTGTACTTCGTTGACGCGTGAATATTACACTGTCACCTCCGGCTCAACCGCTCTATTCATGGCGTGTGATATACAAGGGTACTGCGTCGACGAGAACGGGGAACCGATGCAAATATACACGGCATGTACGGTACGTGTCGCATCTTGGAAGGTCTGGATATGACACGGCGTCCACCGAGTCGCGCGAACGGCCACTGGAATGCCTTTCAGGCCGACGACAATTTCCAAGATAATATGACAACGGTATGGATGACGTATCGTGGGTGACGACCAGTTCATGCACTTAGCCGGTGGACGCGAATCGACACCATCAACTACCATTGACTCGTCAGTGAGGTCCATGCACGACGAAAGCGGATACGCACCTCGAAACCGATCCCATCCCGACACCCCACGCTGGCCTAATCGACCTCTCCATCCCATATTTTCACCATGTTGTCCCAACCCCCCGAGACGACGCGCTTGCCATCGGGCGAGAACACAACGGAGCTCACCCCAAAGCCGCCACCGTGAGCTTTCCAAGGCCCCGCCACAGTCTGTCCCGTCTGTGCGTCCCATATCCGGATCCTGCCGTCTTCGGAGCCGGAGACGATGTACTGGCCATCCGGCGAGCATGCCACGGAGATGACGCCTTTTTCGTGCCCATGCAATGGCCACAACACCGTCTGTCTTGTCTGAGCGTCCCAGATCCGGATCGTCATGTCGTAGGAGCCCGAGACGATGCGCGCGCCATCGAGGGAATATGCAACTGAATAAACGTAGCTATCGTGGCCTCGCAGCGTGTCCCCGACTGGCTGGCCTGTCTCGGCGTCCCAGAGTCGAATCGTGGTGTCGTAGGATCCAGAGGCGATGTGCTTCCCATCCGGTGAAAATGCGACGCTCAGAACCCATGCAGAGTGACCCCGTAAAGGCTCGCTGATGGCCTGTCCCGTCTGCGCGTCCCAGAGTCGGAGCATCCTGTCGCGTGAGCACGAGACGATGCGGTTGCCGTCGGGTGAGAATGCGACACAGGAAACCCAGTTCGTATGCCCTTCGAGCGGCTGCCCGATCTGCTGCCCTGTCTCCACGTCCCACAGTCGGACGGTTCTGTCAACCGAGCCCGAGGCAAGACACTTTCCGTTTGGGGAAAATGCGACAGAGGTGACGTAGTTCGTGTGCCCCATCAACGGCCTCAGGATTTCCTTTCCGGTCTCCGCTTTCCAAATTCGGATGGTGTCGTCCCCGGAGCCCGAGGCGATTTGCGAGCCATCCGGAGAGAAGGAAACAGAATACACGGCGAGGGTATGGCCTTGCATGGTGTGTTGCTGCGCTGGCTCTGCTGGAACGATCGTCGGAAGCCAGAATATGAACAACGCATCAAATTGACCGCGTACCACCGGTCTGCATAATCCACCCCGTATCTTGGCGAATCCCAAATTGCCTGTGGTCAACATGTTTCTCCATGATGCGCGTAGGATATAGCTTCTTGCCCGGCAGCAACGACGAATATAGGCCGAGAACCATGATTATATCGGGCGTATGTGTCTCGCGCAGGTTCGAGTCCGTTAGTTCTTTTAGCATGATATCGAGAGACTCAAAAAGCCTTCTTGCATCAGCAACATTGCGCATAGCACGTCCGCCTATTTCTATGGTGGTTCAGTGCAGAGCTCGTAGGAAGCCATAGCGTCACGACTGACCTGCAAACAGCAGCTGATCGAGCTTTTGCCGATCGGCTTCCGAGAGACCTTCGTGCAGCAGCTTCGTGATCACCCCTCGTGCAGCTTTGTGATACCCGAGGCACCCGAGTACTTCCGACATTTGCGGTCGCTCAGATGGGTCTGCTGCCCAGCACGAGCTAACGGCGATCCTCCAGACGAAATCGTCCAGACCTAGCTCTTTTGTGTGCGGGGGGCGCGACGGTCGTCTGCCGTCAAGAACTTCACGAAGGACCACGAATATGCTTGTGATATCGTGGAATGGTTGTCTCCCATCGAAGATCTGTGAACAGCGTCAGTTAACATGAATCGGTCACGTCGGAATGCACCTCACCTCCCAGGTGGTCATTCCAAACGCGTACACGTCGGATTTCAAAGTCAAGATCTTGTTATTCGTCGTGCTGTCGTTCAACTCGGGAGCCATGTAACGGAAGGAGCCCCAGTTTGCGGACGATCCGGCGGTCGCTGCCAAAGAGGCGGTACCAAGGACCGTCGTGGAAAGACCAAAGTCGCCAAGACGCGCATGCCCGGATCTGTCCACCAAGACGTTGCGCTGGGTTCCGATGTTCATTGATCGACGGTAGAGGTGGCTGTCAACTCACGCCTTTGAGATCCCCGTGCACGATACCGCTCGCGTGCATGTACTCCAAGCCAGATGCGATGCCCGTGATCTGAGCGTGGCGTTGTAAGGTTGGCGCAGTACGTCGCAACGCATGATGCTCACCAGTTCAACGCGATCGGCACGCGGGTGCTGTTTGAGATACGACATGACATCGCCGTGGTCCATCCATTCGGAGACGATGCATGCTTGATACCCTGGCGCAACGCCGAGGAAGGGAACGACGTTCGGATGATCCAGTCGTTTCCAGACGATCGCCTCTTTGCAGAACACCTGAATACCAGGACGACGACGTGAATGAAGGTCCTCAATGTCTGTGGTGAAGGTAAAGATCGCACCTTCATATACGTTTCCCGATCTCCCGCGTGCAGTCGAATCACTTTCATGGCAACGGGTGCACCGTCGTGAGTTCCCCGGAATACATCTGCGAATCCACCAGCGCTATGCGGATGTTCGTTGGCTTTCACGAGTCCTGATAACGTGTAGCTCGTGGGTAAGAGTTTGTGTTCCCCGCATAGCTTGCTGAGCGTGCGCAGGGACGTCCGAAAGGTATCGTCATCTCGAGGGGTCGAGCCGAGAGCCTGAATCACAAGCCGTATGTCACCTCATACGGTGTTGCGTTTCTGAAGATAGCTACTCACCCGATCTAACGTGTCGATCTCCTCCTGCAAAGCCGTGTTGCGAGAGGTCGGATTATCAGCCATGAAAGTTGTTTTGAGCGCGGACGAAGGGAGTGCGGAGGCGAACGCTCGGCAAGGAATCTACCTCTATGAGATACAGGCGATAGCTTATACAGCAATAGGCGCCAAAGGAGGGGAGCGTCTGGGTGATAGCTGTGTGTCCGTGTATCACCTGGGTGGGCTATTTCGCGTGCACTGCCATCCACGGAGCTAATCATAGAGGATGACACGCATAGAAGCCTCGCGTCTACTTGCTATTCAGCTGTATACTGTCGCGTGAAGCAATGAGTCGGTGCGTACCTCATGGTCATAGGAGCTTTGAATTGGGGGTCTCGCAGCAAGCAAATCGTGATGCAATTGCAGAGGATCGGAGACGTTTGACGATGTTGTATCGTAGGCGAGCGATAAGCTACTCGCTCTGGTGTCTCAGATAGCGCCAGGATGTGCAGAGCGCATATATCTCACCTTACGTTTTGGATAGAGGAATGCCAGACTATGTATAGACAGCGTTACTTATCGTCAGCAGCTCCAGTATTTGCGACCTCTTGAGTACGTTGGCATAACAGGAGTCGGACGGCCAAGACTGGTGCCGTACTCGTGGTATGATCGAGCAAGATAGGTATATCTGACGAAGATCGTATAGAGAAAGGCGAGGAAGATTGAGGAGAGAGTTTACGAACTGAGCACGACTTTGAGCTCGTCGAGCTCGCACCTCGGATGGCAAGCCGCACCGTACCGCACTTGCCGGGGCGATGCGTCTTGCACTCGGAGCGCTCTTGGACCTGTCGGCTCCGCAGCCGTCACACCTGGTCATAAATCAGAGGCATTTCGATTGGACAACGCTGCAGTTTCGTTCGCTGGTTGGCTGCTTGGAAAACCTTGAGTTGACCGCACTTCCTTGGGACTCCATTCCAACAGGAGAACAGCTACGCATTGCGCTTGCAACTGCATCGATGCCAGCACTGCGAGTTCTCCGACTCGAAATACCCAGCAGGGCGACATACCATCAGTATCCGCCGTCAGGAAAACCCCGCGAACCCCTGTTACTTGATCGATTGACCGACTTGACCATCACAGAACTTGGGTCGGTCGTTTGCAGCCTCCTCTCCCAGTTCCGAGTGCGCTCTGATGCCAGTGTGTTTATCCGTCCTTACGATTCGGACCAAGAAAACGACTTGATCACGTTGACGACGTTCCTCGAAGATCATGACGCGTTCAGAGCGGACGGATCCGTAGTTCAGCGCTTAGTGTTCGGCGGCACTAGCCTCAACTCCTACGTTCTCGGAGTCCACCTGGACGCCACGCACGACACTCGCCGCCAGCTGCGCCCATTGCTACACCTGGAAATCCCACCGGGATTCGTTCCTCGTATCCTCCAACGATTGCAACTCTGCCAGCTCCAGGTCATGGAGATGCGGAACTTCTTCGAGTCGAATGCGTCTGTCGTTGTGTCCATCTTCGAGCACTGCATGGTCGCGACCGAAGTGCGATTCGTGGGCACAACGACCCATCGTATCATGATACTCTGCTTGCCACGGAACCGGGCCTACTCCCGTCATTGCGTCGCGTACATATCGACAATATGGGGTCTCCCCAGAACCTTCGCCTTCCTCTGGAGGCCCTGTTGAAAAAAGCGGGAAGCGACGTTCAACGAACCGCTGCGATTCCTTATCTCGAAGAAATCCCGTTCCCGATCTGTGCGGGAGTTACGCGGGATTGTTGGCAGGCTAGGTCGCGTAACGTTGGTATCCGAGCCGTGAAACGTTTCTGCAACCCGAGATGCAGATGGCTGGGGTTATCTGGCTACAAGACTATTCGTGCGTCCTCTACTAAACCCGCCGTTAGCTTTCGAGTCATATTTGTTATTATAGTAGGTTGTCAGAATCCACCCTATACAGCTGCTCTCTTGCGCACGTCTGCCTCCGATATTTCGCGTCACGATGCGGTTCTCCGTCACCAGCCTGCTTCCACCAGCACGCAGATTGGTGTGCCATTGCGGGACGCACACCGGAGATCATCGATCATCTGCGGCTCGCGGATTGCTAGAGTTTTGCCCTCGGGAACGATGACGATCACGAAGATGCGCGTGCTCTCCGCAAGAACCTCGGTCGATATCTGCGCGCGCGCCTTTGTGGGTTCAAGAGCCGTTCTTCTCTGACGAGGGTGGGTCAAAGATTAGGGCCAGTGATTAAGCGGGTGCAGCATGAAGCTTGTAGGGTGCTCGTTCACAATCTATTCATTATACCAAGATCGTGCTAGGATGTCTCAATGCCATATGCAACCGTCCGAACAGAGCTCGTTATTGGATTTGAATGCGCACAAGGTTCGGACTATATCATACAAACGAAAGCAAAGCCATCAAGCCAAAGTCTTCTCCATCCCGAACACCATCCCCGGCCCCTCCGATCTTCGATCTTTTTTTATTTTTCTAAGCGGTCCACACCTTGAACGTCCCGTTCGTCAACACCCGGCCCCTCTCCCCGGTTTCGACCCACCCCTCCTCGCCGCCCGTCTCGGTGCCCACCGCGCCGGCGACCTCCTTCGGCGCGAACCGGGCCTTGGTCGGCGACGGGCTCTGGACCGCGAACACCTCGCCCTCCTCGCCGACGCCGACGCCGCGCCCGACCGCGGGCCCGCGCACGAGCACGTCGCCGACGGGGTCCGCGCCCGACGCGAGCTCGGCCTCGTCGACGCGCACGAGCTTGGCCTCGACGTTCGCGCTCGGCGGGCCGACGTGCGCGCTCCCGCTCCCGCCCGACGACGGCTCGTCGAACGCCTGGAGGTCGAGCGCGTGCGACGCGAACACGGGCGCGGCGACGAGCGGGTGCGCGTGCGCGTGCACGAACGGGACGCTGAGCGCGAGCCGGGCGGGCGTGAGGTCCGTCGCGGCCAGCCCCTTGTCGTCCTCGGCGGCGCCGAGGCCGACGCGGTTCAGCGCGATCACGGCGCGCACGGTCCCGGCGCCGGCGCCCATCACGCCGACGCGCGCGCCGTCGAAGACGAGCCGGTCCCAGAGCGAGTCGCGCGTGACGAAGCCCTCGGCGAGCGCGGCGAGCTTGTGGCGCGTGGCGAGCGGGGCGGCGAGCGGGGAGGAGGCGGCGGCGGCGGAGAGGATGGCGGTGGAGAGCGCGCGGGCGTGGGCGGGGGTGACGAAGAGGACGGTGGGAGAGGGGAGGGGGAGGGACGTCGCGGAGAGGAGGTCGGCGACGTCGAGCTTGGTGGAGGAGGGGGAGATGAGGGCGGTGGAGGCGAGCGTGGCGAAGGAGGTGCCTTCGTAGATCGCGGTGTAGGCGAGCGCGCGGCCGATACCGGAGGATAGCGCGTGGGCTGAGAGGACGGTGTCGAGCGCGGAGAGGAGCGCGTTAGGCGGGAGGAGCGCGCGCGTGGCGGCGACGCCGGCGGTGATGTTTTGGTGGGTAAAGTGGGCCGAGCGGACTGCACCGGAAGGAGTGGAGTAGAAAGAGACAGTGAAGACGTCTTCCGGGCCTGTTAGGGTCGTGGATCAGTGGGTATGAATGGCTAGGTGAACCGTGCAGGTGCATACCAACGGTGGACGGAGCAACCTTGTCAGAGGCCTTGACGCCGGCGCTTTCGACGTCGGACCAGCTCAGGACGGTGACGTTTGGAGCACGTTGCAGGTCGAGCGTGGCGGGAAGCGTGCCGAGCGCAATGACGGTGTGCGCCTCGCCCTGCGCACGGGCGTCGCACAACAGCTCCAGGAGCTGCGGAAGGAAGGCAGCGTGCGTGATGATCGCGCTCGGGGAGTGCAAGTCAAGCACGGGCGAGAGCAGAGCAAGAGAGGAGAGAGTAAAGGAGGGGATGGCGTGCGACGCGAGAGCGAGATCAGCCAGGATGAATTCTGCGGAGGCGGGGAATCAATCGAAGTAACAAAGAAAGGGAGGGGTGAGAGACAAACCGAGGCTGTCGTTCAGGAGGAGAAGAACGTTGGATTCCCCCGGGACGAGGTTCGCGAGACGGATGAGGCCAGTGCCCAGCGCCGCTACGCGGGCTTTCAGCTGCGCGTTGGTGACCTGCAAAGCAGGGTTAGCACGCATAACGAATCATCCCATTGCGGACGTACCTTGGTCGACCAGAGCGTCCTGGGAGAGTCGAAGTCGGTCTTGACGAGGTCCGTGATGAGCTGAACGTTGTTCGCGGGTCGGTGGGGAAGCTGCGAATTGACGCCATGTCAGTACGGCAATCTCGTTGTCTGAATAGGTGGATGAGAGACGTACGCGGCCCAACATTCCGGTGCCATAGTTGCGGTAGACGGCGCTCTCGCCCGGGTTGCGCACGCGCGAGACGTCGCTCTGCCGACCGAGGAGGATGGGGTGCACGAGCGACTGGGGTTTGTACAGGTTGCGCAGGAGAAAGACGGAGGCGGCGATGAGACCCAGAAGGACCGTGAGCTAGTGATCGAGTATACTAGTCAGTCGCGCCGTCCGTAACAGCGACATGCGTGAGAGGCGCGTTTACCTCGTCGGTGACGACGTAGTCTGCGAGCGCCATGTCGGCGGTGTTGGCGGACGGCGTCTGGAGCTTCGAAAGGAGCGAAGTCAGCGACTGCAAAGACATGGTCGTGTGTCGTCGCCGTTGTAGACAGCGAGCACGCACTAAGTGCTTGGTGCTTGTCGGTTTCGTCGACGGAGTCGATTCCTCTGCCGCGTTAACGCGCCAGCGTTCCCGAAATCGTCAGCGGCCGACGGCAACGGGGAAGCCGTTAATCACGTGATCTTGTCCTTCTTGATCCTCCTCGTCTTTCGGTGTCCTCGACCCGACCAGGATCAATGGGCAGTTAATGCAACGCTACTTGGTGCTTTGAACATCATCAATATATCTGCAACTGCGAGACAACGTATAATTTCTTTGTATCTCCAGTATTTAGAGCTCGTCATGTCTTCCGGACCCGCAGACGCATCGTTGCAGCCGATACGCCAAACGATTTCTCGCTTGCAGAGCCCGATCCCCGACCTCGACACGCTGCTCGCCCTCCTCACCGCGCCGCTCGACGCCCTGCGCCTCCTCCCGCCTCAGTTCCTCGCACACAACACCCAACCGCTTCCCCCAAACGCGTTCTCTATCTCGCGCCACCTACCTCCCCTACAACGCGCCCTCATCCTGCATGTTGTACCGACCTGGCATGCCGACCTGCGTGACGCCGGCGCGCTCCCGCTTCTCGATCAATACTTCTGTCCAGACGCCTTCTCCTCCGCCTCCACCACGGCAGGAGAAGTAGCGCTGCACGCATATCCGAGCATTATCTCCACCCCTCTCAACGAATACACCCTACGCGTCCTCTCCAAGCTCTCCAAAGCCTACCCCATCGATAGGCTGCACACCGTCATCTTCAACTCCCCAACCGCCACCGCAGATGCTCACGGCCGCGCCTCCGCTGCGAAAACATGGGAAGATTGCGTCCGCGACGTCTGCGCCGTACCCGCTAAAGCCACCAACGCCGCCGGCCCCGGATCGCCCCTCGCCCTCCCCGCCGAACTCGCCCAAGACGTGTACTTCAACCACCTAAGCCTCCGCACCGAGTCGCTCGTCGCCGATTTATCCGCCAAAAACGATCGTGACGAGGGTACGTCCCGACCTCTCCCCGTATATGCCGCCCGCAGATATCCTAACGACCTGGCGCAGAACAGACGCTCTGGCCTCGCTCGCCTACCTCCTCGCCAAGCTCGTCAACCTCGGCCTCTTTCCGGCCACCCCGCCCATCGCCCGCTCCTCGCCCTCCTTCTGGACCGCCGTCCTCCCCACCGTCCGTCGCCGCCTCCCCTCTCACCCCCGCTACGCGTCCTACTGGCCCGCCGTCCTCGGCGCGCTCTCCTCCCCCATCTCCCTCCGCGCCATCATCAGCTCGCTTTTGGCGCACCTCCCCCGCCTCTCCGAGGCCGAGGCCGAGGCCCTGGACGCGTCGCCGCCCACAAGGACAAAAATCCGACGTTCGGCCGTGCTGCTCTACCGCTTGCTCGGCCTCGATATCGACGCAGAAGGTTCCGAAGATGTTTGGACCGCCGCGCGAGAGGTGATGCTCCTCCCCCGCGGCGGGGCACAGTGGACCGAAGCTGACGCGCGTGTTTTCGTCTGCGCGGCGGCCGAGTCGAAGACCACTGACGGTACGGTCCCATCCGCCACATATTGCGCTTCCGTCAGACCTTAAACACGTACGCTGACCCGCAGCTCTCGAATCGCTCCTCGCCGCGACGATCGACCTCTGGTCCACCCCGGAGCACGTCACGCACTCCCTCCTTTCCCGTCATCGATGTACGTACATGCTCCCTCCCTCTACGCTCGCTACGAACCTGACATGGGACATGGTCTATCACCAGACGTCACCTCCCTCGCGCTCCTGGCGCTGACCGCACTGCCCCGCTCTTCGTCCCTCGTCCCGTCCCTCGCCCACTCCCAACCCCTCATCCATGCCGTCGGGCTCTACATCGGTCACCTCGACAAAGGCGTGCGCCGGTGCGGCATGCTCCTCGCCGAGACCCTCGCTCAGAGGGCGGGCAAGGCGCTCGACTTCGGGGCAGACGTATGGTCAGGCGACGAATGGGCCGCGCGCATGCGTGCGCTGACGAGCGCTCGCGACGTCGACGCGCCTCTATCCAACGAGGCGGATGACTCGGACGAAGAGAGCGGGGCGGAGCCCGTCCGAAACAACGCTCCAGCGTCCTCGGCCCACCCGCCCACGAGCCGCAAGATCACCGTCGCCGCATCTGGCTACGACTCGGACGACTCGCTCACGGGCTACGCCTCCCCGCCCTCCTCTCGCTCCCCATCGCCCACGCCGTCCGAGCTCGAGGAGCTCGCACGCGAGCCGACCCTCGCCGTCGGTGCGCCGAAGGTCTCCCGGCCGGTGTACCTCCTCCAACTCGCCGAGCTCGTGCGGCCCACGTCGACGCTCAAGGAGCCCGAGCCACGGGAGGCGGCGGAGAGGATACGCGTCGCGCTCGACGTCGGCGAGGAGCTCGTGCGGCGCAAGGCCGCGTATGGGTCCGAGCTCGGTGAGCGCCCCCCCTCCCCCCTCTACCTTCTTCGCATGCATGCTGACAGAGGCTCACGACGTGATGTGCAGAGGAGAACGCGGTCAACCTCGTGCACGGGTTCATAGCGCTGAACGACAACTACGAGACACCTGGGTTCGACGAGAAGCGCCAGGCGGTGCTGACAGCCCTGGTCGCCTGCTGCCCGCGCAAGTCCGCTCCGTGAGTTCCTCCCGCCCCTCCTCCTCCCGCCCCTTCCCCTCCGTCTGACCCCCACTCGGGATCGCCAGGACGATCATCGAGCAGTTCTTCAGCAACCAGTACTCGACCGACCAGCGCTTCGTGATGCTCGCCGCGCTCGCGCTCGGCGCGCGAGAGCTCGCGGGGCTGCCCGTGCCGGCCTCCGCGCGCCTCGTGCCGAAAGACCCGGACCGCCTCTCTTTCCCGAGCAGAAAGCTCCCGCCCGCGCTGCATCAGCAGCTCCTCACGGCGGCGGACGAGGTGGCCAGCGCCGACCCGGTGCGACGCCTCGTGCAGGACATCAGCCGGCAGGCGATCGACAGGACGCGGGACGAGACCGCCGGGCACGGCGACGACAAGGCGGCCGCGCCGATCGTGCGCGAGCGGAGGCTGCGCGTGCGTCAGCCCGCGGGGGCGATGATACAGGAGGTCCCGGGAACCGGGACGGGGTCGGGGCCGGGCCCGGGGATGGGGATGGGAGGCAGTCTGGCGCAGCGCCACGCCGCGCTGCGTCCGCCCGCTCCGCGGCCGCGCACGACGTTCGCCGACGTCGGCGTCGAGTACTTCATCTACCCGCTCGTCACGCGCTTCTGGACCTTCCTCCGCGACGAGCAGGCGCGCGAGGCGCGCACGGCCCACCTCGGCGCGCAGGGGCGCTACCACGGCGCGGGCACCGGCCTCATCTTGAACGCGGCCGTGCTCGAGCGGCTGCTCGGCGCGCTCGCGGTGCTGGCGCACGCGGCGCGGCACGCGCCGGCGTGGTTGGCGGTGGTGGCGCCGGACGCGGTGGAGGTGGCGCTTGCGATGGGCACGCGGCGGGTGAGCCGGTGGGAGGCGGAGGATATCGCTCCGGCTGGGGAGGATGGGGAGGAAGGCGCAGGGAAGGGGAAGGGCGAGGGGAAGGAGGCGGCGGTGGTGACGGCCGCGCTGGAGCTCGCGCTCACGGTGCTGGACGGCTGCGTCGATCTGGACGGCGGGCGCTCGTTGGGACTGGAACATACGGCGCTCGTTCTGGGCGTGGGCGAGTGGGCAGGGAAGGTGCTCGAGACGACGGATCGCGGGCAGCGCATGCGTGGGGTGGGCGGCGCTTTGGAGATGAGGTTGGCTAGGGCGGCGGCGGGGGTGGTGCTGAAGACGGACGAGATTACGAGGAGGTGGGGCCGGTCGATGGTTGACGTTGTATAGGTCAGTGCAGGGGGACGTGCCATGTGGCGACTGTATGGCATGGGTGTTAATGTACTCTGGACGACGTTGTATATCAGCGTTTGAGGCCGAACTTCAGCATGCAAGCGACACAGACGCCTAGTTAGGCGAGAACCATTGACTGTTGTTGGCTCGCTCGGAAACTGTTGCAGAGCTCAGAAACCCGGGCGACGTTAGACATCGGGGCTAATCAGTAAGATCCCGGGTTAGGTACACCGCTCCGGCATCGTAATCACGATTGTGTGCGTTCTGTTTCACAATCCTATTATTCAATATCGACTAGTGAAGAACGACCTGAACGACTTTGGCTCTGATGCCATCAGGAAGAATCGGACTATCGAAAGAGTCGCTTATTGGGTACCGAAACCCTCTAAAACTACTAAATGAGCACGTTTTAGTGCGTTTTAGGAGGCTTTTAGCAAATCCGGTTTTTCCTGATGGCGCTGGTGTACAGGGCACGTCTCGCGAAAGCCCTGAACAAGCGTCGTGAACCCATGCTGCCGCACCGCAGTATATCTGAGCCATGAGCGCCGACAAGCTCGTAGGCTCCGACATATCACCCCACGAGATATAGCTGGTCGGGCCCATTCCGGAAAAAGAGTGCCTGCCTCCGAGTAAGTATTCGAGCGGCGGGGCCCTCGTCAGGATGGAGCTATCGGAACAGCCCGTGTTCCCGTGTTCCCGTATTCACAGGATCGGACACAGAACATCAGATACCACTTGAGCCGGCCGATTGATCTGGAAGAACAAGGTCACTAGGGGGCAGAGTCGTTGAGACCAGATTCAGAAGGCAGGAACCGTCGGAGTTGTCTATTGTGACGGCTCTTCTAACCGACAAGGGGATGGTTGTCTGTATACGTTGAAGCTGTGACGATCCAAGGTGTCCACCTCCGATTTCATTCGTTTGCAGTGGCGTCCCAGTAGTCCGGCCGAACGCTAGCTATACAAGGGAACTGTCATATGAGCTTGTTAGACGTGCCCGCGCAAGCCTAGCACACCCGAAAACCTGAATTGTGTATGCCACCAAAAGGGGGACAAAGAATGCTCGCCGACTCACAAGAAGTTCACGAATGCATCTAGACAGTCTACGGAAATGGCAGCGCTGCCGCACACGTCGTGGATTTGAAAACGTTGGGAAACCCAGCCATCGGATCCTAGTACGTGAGAAATCAGTACAGCTTCCATCCAACATGCATCCAATCTGCTTCAAGTCAGAAGCAGAAGCTGTGAGCCTGGAGCATCGTCTTCGTGGGAGTACACTGACAATCACGAACGATTGTTCTGGTCAGTCGCGCTAGGCTTGTGTCTCCAGGTGATAGGAACGGATCGCTCTTCCGAATGGTCTACCCACCGCGCAGAGTCATCTTCGAACCGACGACATCCCACTTCTGGCATGCAAGGCCACACGCGCCGTGGAAACGTCAGTTCGCACCTCATACACGCGGCATGGGCGCCTGTGTTATCCAACCGAAACCGTTGGAAGCCACGAAATATACTCCACTCGACTTCGCTCGGCCGTTTCGCAAATATCCGCAGTGGACCTACAAGGTTCAGTTCGGCGAATGATAAGATACAAGATGAGAGACCTCGATTCGACGCCCAACCACCCTCCCGTGTCCAGCGTTCCCCTGCCGAGACTGTAAAACCTTCCCTCACAATGTCTCTTCGCACTCCGTTGTCGGGTTTGCTGACAGGTCTGGATGAATATAATTTATTCAATGATCCACTGTACGCGCTACAGTCACGTCGAGTCCGCCGTGCCTTGTCTGACGCATTTCCCTAGTTCTCAATATACGACCGTCGACGATGAGCTCAACAATCCCTGGACCGAAGAGACAGATGGACCTCATACTGCAGACTGGCTTCACACCTTGCTGGCCTATACACTGTTGGACGATGAATTCGCCGCGGTGGATAACCTTCCTTTCATCGAGACGGGTTCCTTGGCCGGCAGTATGTCCTTTGACGGACACGAGACGTTCGGCGCCGAGGTGACGCTCGCTGCCAGGGATCTTTACAATGTTGGCTAACCGGAACATCCTCATCCGTCAGTCACGGAACGATTCGTCGAAGACGTCGCCCTCGCTACCGTCGTCCGACTACACGCAATCAGCGTTACTCTCACCCGAATTTTCTCCCTCGCCGAAAGCTTCTTCTAGAGTTGAGCTCATTGAACGTGCTTATACGCACAAATACAATGATGCTCACCGCCTGTATCCCTTCGGCACACGCGGATCGCCACCCGAAAAGCAAGGCAACACTGACAGCCCACAAGCTGCTGATCTGGGTCATCAGATATCAATCCCCAACCTCGTCGCGGCCGCCAATAACTCACCGGCGCTATCACCTCCCGTCGATGCGGCGAATTCGGGGGGTTCTGCAGCCCTTCGCTCTCCAGCACAGTCCACCCTCTTGAGGGGCGATTGCAGGACAGAAGGGCAAGGCTACCGGCGCTCGACCAGATTTGCCACCCAGCCAATCTCGTCCCAGATGCACCCTGGCAGTCGTAAGCGGGCGTTGGATGGCATGGAGGACAGCGACGACGATGAATACAATCCCACACATCACGGCCGCTCCGACCCCAGCATCGCGTATCTCAGGAAGCGCATGAAAAAGGCGACGTCTACGGCGGGTCAAACACACGTCCCCAGTCCCGCAGAGTACTTCTGCGGGAAATGCCGTAAGAGCTTCAAGCATGAAAGGTATCTTATACGGCATTTTACGAGCTTGAAGCACACCGGCAGTATGGAAGGGAAGTGCGCGTGCAGATGGTGCGGGAAAAATCTGTCGCGCGCGGACGCCGTGACGCGGCATTTGGGAAGCTATTGCGAGAAAGCCCCCGGTGGTAAGACGCGGGGAAAAAGGACTAAGACAACGGAATAGGGCTCACCGAAGGATTAGTCGTCTCGCGCCCGTTATAGATGGAAAGTGTGTAACATCGTTTCAGTGCACGAGATTTTGTGTCGCGAGCTCTACCTCCGAATGACATGTAGACGGTCCACCTGCAAGGCACTGGAGGACATGTCCGCATCAAAACACACATGAGCACATTCATGAACAGCGCAAACCTTATCGCCTGTTTAGCCTATACACCGTTGGACGACGACTTCTAGTTCGCCGCAAGGGATAACCTTCCCTTCCATCAGGAAAGCCGGATTTGAGTCTCCTAAAACCTGCTAAAATGTGCTCACTTAGTAGCTTTAGAGGGTTTCGGTACCCAATAAGTGGCTCTTTTGATAGTCCGATTTTTTCTGATGTCACCGAGGCGCGAACCTTGACCGGCAACAAAGCCTTGTACGGACACGAAGTACTCGGGGGCGAAGTATGCCCCATGTTCTGGCTCCCTCACAATACTGGCTAACTGTAACTTCCTCATCCATCAACAATGGAAACGACTTGTCGGAGCTGCGGTGCTTGCTACCGTCGCCCGACTTCACGCGATCAGCGTCACTCTTTCCCGAATCCTCTCCTTCGCCGAAGATTCCCGCTAGAGTTGAGATCATTGAGCGTGCTTATACGCACCAAGACAATGATACTCACCGCGTGTATCCCGTGGCACGCGCGGACCCCGACCCGACATCAGAGCAACAGACCGCGATCCCTGACTTCGCGACCGACGTGAGGAATGTTGGTAACGATACAGGTACATTGCTTGGCTGTTTCGCAGCGCAGGAATCGCGCAGATGTGCTGCTTCGAGATTCCCCTCGCCCGACCTAACTAAGGCAAGGGGGGTCGGAGAATTGGTCAGTCGATCAACGCGTATGTTGCACGAATATCGGCTCCTTCGTCGGCTCTGACAATATTATAAGCTTATCCTGTCAGCATCATACGACAACATGGAACGTGCCTTTGAACGATCGAGAATAACATGTCCTCCTCTCCCGATACATAACGATCTTCCATCGTTGCCCGAGCCGACAGACAACCCCTGGCGCACTTGGCGTAAACATCACAAGGCAAGATCGCATCCTGCATACGGCAGGGCCTCGTGCTGCTTCGTTGACGGGCTAGATCTTCGTTGATGTCGCGCGATGCATGGCTGCATGCCTACGATGCATCGTGTAGCATGACCCAAGGTGCTGCGTGTCGTACAAGATGCCGACAAGATGCCGACAACAAGGAATAGTTATCCTAACTATTCCTAGTCGGAATCTGCGCTGCTAGTGCATGTAAAGGATGTGCGAGATGGTGAGTACGCTGGTCTGCGACAGAAAACTGGGGGGGCTGGCGATGGGGAGGCAGAAGCAGTGCTGGCCTCAAAGCCACCCGCGGGCCGCGCTAGCCACCGGCGCCGAGCTCTGTGTCTGCGTGCCACCTCGGTGACATTGACAACGGCCGACCAACTCATTATTTTGATATTTCCTCGCCGCTGGAACGGGAGACATGAGTACAGGCTCACCGCTCGAGTCAATGTCTTCACATTGCGCGCAACAAATGACTTCGGTGTGGCCTGGACGCCGAATTTGTGCAACCCTGAACATCTGGATTTGGGCCCTCACTAGTACTGCAGACACACCGGGATACAGACATGATATTCACGTCTACAAGACTAACCTTCCTGCCCAATTGACTTGAGGCTGCAGCATTCCAGTTGCTCTACAATGGCGTGGCCCTGTCATCAAACATCATGGATCCTCATATACACGAGGGCAGATCTGGCCCGCTCATGATGGGACGGAACCGTCGGAAGATCCGCGAACGTTCACAGGCTATGAAATACCAGATCAGATACTGCATACCGTTGCGCAGCTTACCTGGAACGAACAAGGTCACCAGGGGACGTTCACCCCTCAATCTGACAAGCAAGAATCGTCGGAGTCGTGTCCACGAGCGTCTAATGCCACGGCACGCCGCAACTGTGAGAAGATCCTCGCATATCTGCATCGATGATCTGATCTATCGACTTGTCGGTCCTTGTTGTTTATTCGTCTTCGATGGTGTCGTGCGACCCAGGAGTCGGGCCGAGTCTGGGTTACCCGTAAAAGGGATCTAACGAACGCCATTCAACTCGAAAAGAGGCTTTTGTGATCTGTTGATTCTATCAGTTAGGCAAGCCCATAATCTGACTGACAGATGAAGCTGCGCACGTTAATCGGATTCGGGCACAGCGAACGATTGAAATAAGCTGGCAGAGTAGGTGTTCGAAGACGTGGTGTCTTACCATTTGTTCTCGGTTCTCCTTGTAGGCTACGATAAGATTGCCATAGCTTCCCACCGGCAAACATCTGGAGGTAAAGGTATAAGATTGTGAAGCTATGAGCCATCGATCTTGCGGAAGCTCCTCGGAATCGAGACCGACTCTTAGATATCTAACGTTTCTAGATACCGCACGCAAACGATATCAGAACCCTCGTCGACTCCTGTATCGGGAGCCAAGGAAGGAACGTACGGGTTTGCGCGCCCACACCCACCAGCCGCTGGGTCCGGACCATCCCTTCGAGAAGCGCACGATCGTCAGGTAGCAAGAACCGGCGGCTCGTACGCACCCGCACAGAGTCATACTCGACCCCATTACATACCGTCCCTGGAATCGATTCGCACACGCCCGTCATGTTGTCGCCTCGTAAATCACGCACGCGGTATGGGCGCCTCGAACGAGGGGCCGGAAGCACCCAGGAAACACTCCGCTCGACTTCGGCCAGCTACCGGTCGCTGATTTCCGTGGTGGACCTACAAGTTGCCATTCGGCGGATAAGAGGTCACCAAAGGAGATAGCTTGGGTCGAGACCCCCCCTACCGCCTCCCGCTCGTAACGCATTCCTCTCAGAGTGATTTTTGTTCTTTTTCCTCTGCTACATTCTGCCATGATCCCGACTGCACAGCAGATCAGTGTGCCGCCTGATCCATGGTCGGGAGTGCTACCCGGCTCGTTCACCTTCGAGTCGGAATATGCGGCACATGCTGTCTCCTTCATGCATGATGAACCTGACATATTACCTCTCAGAGAGCTCTTGGCCTCTATGGACGTGATGTTGGAGACCTTCAAGCCGTGGTACGATACCCAGGACGAACCGATGATGGCGGCCGACGCCACTCCCATTCATCCCGGGACTAGCGTCTCGACGGGGATGCTTGGTTGGCCCGACAATTACGGCGCTGAAGTATGTTCATTCTGGTAGCGAGCGAGAGCTCTAGCTCACATGTGCTCTATCTAGGATATCGCTTTCAGTCATCCATGGGATGCTTCCCCAAACGCGCCTTCCTCTCTATCGACGCCATACTCCGAAGACTCGCTGTCACTCTTGCCTAACTCTCCTTCCCTGATAGACGCTCTGCCTGAAGTTGAGCCCGTTGAGTGCATTTTCGCGCAATCAAACAACAGTACTGACCGCACTTGATCTAGGACATCGCCTCCAGTCATCCATGGGACGAGTCCCCAAACACGCATTTCTCTCTATCGTCGCCATTCTCCGAACACTCTTTGGCGTTCTCGCCAAGTTCTCCTTCGTCGGTACAGTCTCTCCCTGAGGTTGAGCTTGTTGGATGCGCTTTCGCGCATAACCAAAACAAAACTCACCGTGTCGATCATGTTGATTCTTGCGGATCCCCCTCGGACGGACAGAACACCGTCCAGCCAAATCACGATCCTGGTATCCTCTTCCTCACCTCTGAATTCGATGTTCTTCCGCCAGCACATGCGTCCACCATCGTCACGCCCTCTTCCGCGGGCCCGGCGACGACTATCTCCACCGGAACTCCAGACTATACCCCCGATCACCCCTCGAACGCCAGCAGCAAAGAGAGCGGCCCGCGGCGCTCTAGCAGGCTTGCACAGCGGGTACATAAGCGGTTGCTCGACGACACTGACAACAGCCTCGAAGACGAGTACCTACCTGGCATGGATGATGGCGCGTCCAGGGACACGTCGCGCGCAAATAAGCGCAGACGTACAGTGGATCGGAAAGCCGACGGCTCTATTGACCAAGGTGCCAATCTGCACTTCTGTCCCATTTGCGGTAGGGGGTTTGGACGCGAGCACGACATGAAGCGGCACGTCGAAACGACCAGGCACAAACATGCCTTGACCGAGGAGGAGAAGGTCAAGATCTACGCTGTGAAAGACGATGACAAGCGTTGGTGGTGCGCTTGGTGCAGGGAGATTAAGGCGCGCAAGGACTCTCGCGTGAGGCATGAAAGGCACTACTGCGAGATCAACCCCGATGTCGTGCCTCCACCGCCGAGGGTCGTCAAGAAGGCCGCCACTGGAAGGTCGCAGCAGCGAAAGGGGACGGCCGCGCGCGCCAGGAACGCTGCACGCGATGGATTCTATTAGTCAAGGGATCACGATAATCAAGTGTTCATTGTATCACTCACATCGCCTGCCGTGAAATAGTGTGGTATATGACCACTAGTCTGCCTCGATGAAGAGCTACTATCCGCCGTATGATGGTGGATCGCAGCGACTTATGAGCCCAGCCATGTCATCAGAATGCTTTGCCATCCCATTGACAAGCCAGATGCCGGACGATATGAAACTATGCCAGAGCCCCATGCCCTGTGTAGGATGGTGGTTGGACAAGACTCCGCACAGCCAGTAGACGAGAACGTACTGACTGGGGACACACAGCGACCCAGTTGGCTACAATGAGCTATGAATACTCGATTCACTGAGTGCTGAGCGTTGAGCGCTGAGCGCTGGCGAGGTACGAGTAAAAGACTATCATCATGGTGGAAGCGAAAGCAGTGCTGCTCCGATTTGGCCGTCGACGCGCGTGTCCCGACTCCCGACCCTGTCCCAACTCCCGACCTCTGTCCCTGGTTTTCTGGTCTCCCTGGTCACTCGGTCAAGCAACGAGTCTCTTCAGTCGTATTTTCAATGAGCGCCGAGGACAGTGAGCGGCTCTACAGACATGCAACGTTCAACGGAGCCCGGGACTCTCAGGATGCGCATGAGACGACCAGGAAATCTGAACCATTATAACGATAACCCGGAGAATATGGTTGGAGAAGCACGCCCACACTCCACTGATTGCATACAGACACGTAGTGTCCATGCATGGGTCTGTGATATTGCCTACAGCCCATGCAAAACTCGCAACTCAACATCTTCGCGATGTTTACTCAACATTTCCTGGACTCGTTTCGACGGATTGCAGATGATAGGATGTGTGATATGGAGCTCACCATTTTCGCGCCATCAGGAGTTATAGAGGCGTGTTGGCCGAAACTGATATCCCTTGATATTTCACAGGCATCGAAACCCTATAGTGTACTCAATACGGTACACTCACGGGGAGCAATCAAATCATAAACTTACAACGGAATGCCGCAGCTCATCGCGTACGTTCAGATGCGCAAGCATTGAATTCACATAGAGTCGGCCCATGTTGCTGTACACGAATTCAGCGATTTCCCATCAACGCAACAGATGCCGTATGCAGTTGCACGAACAAGTATAGCCCTGCGGGGTCAATCGACGGGATGGTCACCTGAATATTGATTAATCTTGTGCAAGATGGATAAAATGACGAAGGATGACCCACGACAATCACTGTAGCGATCGCCAGAATACTGGCAGGCAGCTAGTCAGGACCGATCATAGCTACACGACACGATTTTCCGTTTACCTAGTCAAGAGGCCCGCATTGACGATATATAGCATCTTGATGCGAGACGTGAGCTTATAATATATGATGACAGATTATCCAACCAACCAGCTTGTTGATGACGCTGTCGGAGCTAGCATACCATATGAAAATGCGAACGATTAGCCAAGGGCATAACGCATACCGCTCAAAACCACTTCGAGAACGTTGGAGAAGATAACACTAGATGGTATGGCTCATTAAAAGTTCAAGAGTTCAGGAATAGGTGATGTCAGCTCACCGAGACGATCACAAGAATCGTATCACCCACGGCAGCGATGGCGTAGTAACTCAGCTCCAGCGGCTGTGTGTACCAGTGAGTTACGCGCAGAATCACGTACGCAATACACACAGTGATATTGTTCAGTAGTATGTCTGTAATGGGCCGGAAGGATAACTTCGACCAAGCTGAATGACACATGAGGATATGAAACCGCGGCACAGCAGCGTTTGCGCACCAACTCCCAGCGCTGCAGGGATAGTACCAAGTCAAACCACTGCAGAGATCCTGGCTTCCCGAATAAGAACTCACCGAATTGGGCTAACAACGGAAGCCCCTGCATCTCAGGTGAATCAGGTCACTGACAGAGACAGACTATATGTAGCCTTACAAGCGCGCCGGTGAGTAGGAACTTCTTGTGGCTCACTACGAACGATTTAACGCTAGTCATGAGAGCTTAGTATCCACCTACTCGAGTATATCCGGAATAGAAAGAAGCTACAAACGTGAGCTGCAAGCTGTTTCAAGCATCCAATGTAGCCACACCCTTGTGCTTCTAATGCGGTCAGACTCTGATAACAAAGGTCAGACCTAGATAGTGATCCGAACTGAGGTGTTCTCACGTTGAAAAGCACGGCGATCTCAAAGTTTGAGCCAAATGAATTTAGCGATTCAACGGCTATTCGAGGGTATACGCTCACCGAATCTGTCCTATAGAGAGAGACATGTTCAGCCACCACTTTATCCACTGCTGGACGGCGGGAACAACGTACGTTGGTGCAATTAGGAGCTTTTCGTAGTTTCCGAAGTCCAGAATGAGCAAGCGGTATAGCGAAGCGGCCAGGAGGATTTCGTGGACAGTATCGGTTATCCACATAAACAATACCTGGGACACAAAGTCAGCATATACACAGCAGAGGCGGGCTTCTACGCACTAGTGAGCGGAGAGCCCAGTGATCGTTGAATGATTTCCTGTAATACGACCATGTCTGCGAGCAGGTAACTAGACCGTGATGCGTTATGATTCAGCACCCTAGCGTTGCATCTGCAATCTTGTCATGATCACCTCCCCAGAGCGCAGTGGCAAAGATAAACCCGACGAAACGAGCACCAACGCTGCGCGCGAACGATGAGTACGTGATCGTAAGGACACAAGCATGTTGATATATCGCACATGGGCCCAAATTCTGCGGTAAAGAAACCAGACATGACACAATGGAAGAGCGCTAGTGAAGGGGGGATATCAAGGGGGATGGAGCAGGAGAGTCTGGGTGATCATATCCGTAAACAACGCCACGAAATATCATCGAAGCACGGGATGGTTTCGTGCGCTTTCTCTTCCTCCATACACCCGCGATCTGATTAAAGAAATAAAGATCATACAGTTCACCAGGGCAACCGTGCAATATCCTCAGTTGAGGCCGAACGTCCTAATACGGAACGCCGCTTAAAATATGAATGCTGATGAACGTGACGGCACGCTGTGGCAGCGCAGAATAGAAGCCGAGTTTGCACACAAGGACTGGAGAAAATAGAACTGTGAGACGCGCAGCAAAGATGATGTGAGCGAAACCAGAACCCCATAAATACCTGAGTTGCTAAACGAGTGCAGAATATGACGAATGAGCCTGTCCAGTACGGGCCCTGAGAACCAGCCTGAAAGCGTCGGAGCATTTGGTGGCGTCGATGAGCTGAGGGACGAAAGGAGCGACGCTAGCGCTGTTCCTCCGGGAAAAGGGAAACAAGCAATGGTGGCTCCTCAGAAGTCGTAAACATGATACCGTCCAACTTGTTTTCAATTGAGATAGTCACTGAGGATGGATGTAGGAGAGCGATAAGCGAGCAGATTATGGAAGTCTTGGGGCTGGTTATGGGATAACCATAGATGAGCCGGATAAGTTTAAGCACACGAGGAGGACATCCTGCCTCTCTGACCGGACTACCCGTCATAGATATCAGCTGGTAGTATACCCGCAGAGGAAAAATCATGAAGTTGGGTCTCGAAGGCAAGATCATCCTCGTTACTGGTGAAGATAGAGTTCCGTACATTCTCACGCGACCACTCTTACTGACTCTTCGCTGGAACGTTGGCGTAGGCGGTACGAAGGTATGTCGGCTCGATCTGACCTATTATACAGATCATCTGATCTGATTTCAGGGCATAGGCCGCTCAATAGTCGAAGCGTTCATCGATGAAGGCGCACATGTTGCCTACTGTGCTAGGAACGTGAACGGACAGGAATTTTCGTCCATCGTGGTCAACTCCAAAGCAATCGGCACGGCAGTCGATATATCGGACAAGTCCGCACTAGAGGAGTGGGTGAGCCAGACCGCGGCGACACTGGGAGGCATCGACATTGTCATCAACAATGGTGAGTATCGTCCTGTAACCCCCCACCGCCTTCACCACTGAGTCGTCGAGGACAGTATCGGCTATCGCGATCTCAGACACGCCCGAGAACTGGAATACGACGTTCAAGTTGGATATGCTGGCACCCTTTCACCTCTTCAATACGTGTTTACCCTATCTCGAGAAGTCGTCCGCACCGGCTGTGGTATCTATCGGCAGCGTATCGGGGCATGAACTCGATTTCACCGCCCCAGGCCCCTACGGCGCTTTCAAAGCGTGCGTTAGGCAAATGTCAAACTGATAGAGCATGATCACTCAATTGCCCTTCTCTCCTAGTGCACTCGCCCATTACATGCAAGGTTTAGCATTGCAGTATGCCCCGAAAGGTATCCGCATCAACACTGTCAGTCCCGGGAACGTCTTCATCGAGGTGAGATCACTCTCATGATCATGGTTCGCTCACTTAATCGTGTTATCATACAGGGCGGAGTATGGGACAACGTCAAGCAACACAACCCTGATCTGTATAAAGTGCGTCTTTGACCATCGATATGTATACAAGCATCTGATTCATCATGGTCATCGTACCCAGTCCGCCCTGGCGCTGAATCCAACGGGTCGGATGTGCACTCCCCGAGAAGTCGCCAACGCTGTGGTCTTCCTCGCGAGCTCCGCCAGCAGTTTCACGTCGGGCGCGAACCTTATCATTGATGGTGCGTTGACGAAGGGTGTAAAGATATGAGCCGGTATTGCACAAACTGTTTCATTTGTATTGTACTCAACACATGCAGACACAGAGATGTCAACCAAATCCTGCCCACTCGATGCTCAGATACCTAACTGCGCTCTGCTTCTCCGCTGTTGCATCGCCGCCCTCCGCCACCTCCGCAGCATGATGCTCGTCATGTGTGCACAGTAGATGCGCCTTTTTTGTCGCAGTTCCCAATCGCCCGTGCGCTACAATCTCCATCGGGCGGAGCGGTGCATCCGGCGTATGCGAAGTAGCGACGAAGTGTGAATGATATCGCAACGGGTCACCTTAGGAATAGAACGCTCAGAAACGGGGTGGTAGAAGACGTAGAAAAATAGCGAGGTACTTGCCTGGATAGACGAGCCAATCTCCGCCAAACTTGATGCCGCCGCCCATGTAATACCCCTTCTCCCACATATCACGGAATACGGCACATCGTGTGCGCTCGGCCAGGTTGGCAGGGTAGGTCCACACGCCAGCTTCAGCGGCGGATGACAGCGTGTAGTGTACGTTGGCCTCGGAAGGTAGATCAGTCCTTGGGGATGGGCGATACCAAGGCAGTTCAGAGGACGATGCAGGGATGGTAATTGAATATGGTGGTGCGGAAGGGCCTTTGTCCGCACTGGTGCCTACCGGTGCTGGGCGCAGTTCAGGAGGATCGGTGTTTTCGAAGAGAGACCCGGGCTCGTCGCGGTCATCCACTCCTTCGCCCTCATTCCGCGCCCTCTCCGCTGCCTCCCGTTCCTTTGCAGCTCGTCTTTTCTCCCTCTCTCTCCGCTTCCGGATTGCCTCCTGGCTCATAGCTTGGCTTTTTCCCTTCTCCTCGCTCGCCGCCTTCAGCTTGAGTTGCTCCAGCTGTACGGCAATATCACGCGTCCGGGATTCGTTCCATTGAGAGAGTTCCGCGTCTGATGCAGGGAGGTGGGCCGCAGGATCGTCAAGTATATAGGCGATTTCTGTTGCTTGCGTTAGCATAAGCTGGCCCGTGGCGCAGAGTAACAGATGCCATACCCTTTTCTACAAGTAGAACAACCTCTTCAGGCATCAGGACGAGCGGCACTCCCAGAAAGACATTTTGCTGCGAGAGATGGGGTAACGTCCCCGCCAAGACACCGCAAATGTGATGTTCAGAGCGGAGCACCTTGATATCTGCTCTGACAAACGATGATTCAAATTATGACCACAAATTGGGAGATACGAGGGCACTATACCATCGACATCCCATACGTATGCTCGCTGATTGGACACGCACAACGGAATCTTCGACGCCGGAGTCATGGTGCGGAAGGCGATCAGTGCGCCTGAGATTGATGGCTGTGAAGGTCCGACTCACTGTCAGTGTGCCACTCACAGCACTCCCCGAAAATCGTCCACAGCCACCGTCTCTGCTGCTGAAGATGTCGACCACCCTCCCTCTTTTTTGGCATTTATCTTCGGCGTCCCAGGAGGAGCGTATCGATGCCTCTGTCAAACTGGTATCGGCACTCGAGCATTTTCAGACGCAATTCGCGCCGAAGGTAGCCAAACAGGCGGAGGAGAGTGAAGGAAGCGAGGAGGATGAAGGCGAGGATGAAGACGAAGATTCCGAGGAACAAACGGCTGGAAAAGGGACGGGGCAGAAGGAGAGCGACAGGCTGGATGAGATGAATGCGCAGGATGTTTCGTACTCCATACGGAGATTGACCAGAGGTCTTGCAAGTCCGGTGGAAAGTAGCCGACTGGGATTTGCCGTTGCATTAACGGAGGTAAATCGACCGTGCTTACTGACACGGAAAACTTCTACTAAACCGAAACTCAGCTATTGTCAAGGATAAACACCGTGACTTGCTCTCAGATCCTCGCGTTAGTCGTGGATTCGTCGAAAATTCAGGGATCAATGACTGGCCAAGAAGAACGCGACATGCTCTTTGCCCGCCTTTTCGGTATCACGTCCATCATTCAATCTGGCCTCCTTGTACGACAGGAGCCCCTGCCATCATCATCGACTCCCGCTTCGACCCTAGAAGGTTACACCGGTGCTCTCGCTGAACTCGTTGCCTTGGGCGAGAAGAAAAGCTGGTTGAAGGAGGTGGCCTGGTGGACCATCGACCTCGCCATTGACGCGCTACATTCGTCTACCGTTTCCTGGAAGGATGACGCTTGGCAGGAAACGAAGGAGACACTGTATTTGCAAAACAAGACCTGGACGCCTGAGAAGGTCGGCGTGACCTTGAAGCTGCAGGAGTATCAGCCGGATTGGGACTGGAAGGCGCTCCTCCAGCCTCCGTTTAAGAATGCTGATGTGTTGAGCATTCCCAACTTCGCGACGTTGGGCAAGGTCTTGAAGGTTTGCGTCGTCACATTACGTTGTCACGAGAGCTCAAGCAATGCCCTGCTAGGAGTCATACGAAATTGATGATGACGACTCCGTCCACAAAGTTAACAATCCTGGATCCTGGAAGCCGCAGGTGCACTGGGTTTGGGACGCGATATTCGCGGAGCTTCTCCCCGCTTCTGGCTCCGCAAAATCTTCTTTCCCTGAGTTCTTCCGCATCGTCGTAGACGGTAAGTATTCGATTCCGACGTACCTTCAAGGCTGCTATAATCGATGGTTGCTCATCCTCTGAAATCTTAGAAGCGTTATTCTCTGCTGCGTCATCTCCCGAGCGCAAGCTTTGGGGCTTCCAAATATTTCAAAAAGCGCTTCCTCGGGTAGACGCGGATAATGTCCCGTTCCTGTTCACGAAGAATTTCATGCGCTGCTGGATTAACCATCTTAGCAAGCAGGATCGGTACCTGCACAAAGCAGCACGTCAAGTGGTGCGCTTGCATCCTCCCATGTAGCCTATTTTGATTATCTCATACATATCCTTCGTCATATCCTGCAGGCGACCGACATCCATACCGTCGCGCGCTCCAACCCAAAGATCGGTTTCGCTCTCATACTCCAGCTCACGGGTGTCCATGGCAACAAGCAGTTCGATAAGCTCACCCGCACCAAGACTGTCGAGAGTATATTAACAAGCATGGACGCTGAAGGCATCGACAACTATATTACTAATCTACTGGAGCAGTTCAACGCGTCGACTGCGGGCGAAGAGTTTGTTTACTCCATAGCTCATCGAGCAGTATACTAATAACGACTCACCCCCGACAGATCCGATTTTCAGGCTTTGAATGGGCGACGCTCGTGGGTGATCGACCAGCTCGCTGCGCTCATCCGTAACGGTGCCATACCCAAAACCGACTCCTGGGTGGTGCGGATCTTAAACTGGCTAATCGTCCATGGCCTGTTCGTTCTAAAGAAGAATTCCGAGAAGAGTCCCATCGACGCGGTTAGCACAGGATCTCGTTGCTTGTCCAATGCTCTCGCCCTAAAGCCGTTGATTGCTCCCCAGTTACACACCGTTCCGAAACCCGTACTTTCCGACGAACTACGCAAGAGTTGTCGCGAACGATTGCTAAGCTGTCTCGGTGATCTCGCTAACCGCACCATCGCTGTCTCCGGTGTCAAGAGGACTGGCGTAGCTTCCGATGGCGAGCTGTGGGTGTCCAAGGTCGTCGCGATGGTTAACGCACTGAAGCAGGACACGAAACACGCGAAGAGCCTTAAAGACGTTGACGAGGCAGACAATGCCGTGTTTGAGAAAGCCTTGACGATCGCCGCAAAGCTGCGCGACGTCGGCGGAGACGATGGCTCGGCGTCGAGTGCGCAGGGTGCCCAGTTGCTCATTGAAGCTCTGTACCTTCGTGACCTTTGCTCAGAAGAGAACGAGGAAGTTGACACGGACCCGCTTGAGGTAGATTGCATCGCGTTCTACGCCGCCAGAACAGGTACTGATACGTGCTCCAGGCTTGCGCTGACGCCGCCCAGCGCATGTTCCTCACTTCGTCAAAGAAAGCAAAGAAGAAAAAGAGCCGGAAATCTTCCGGCGGCGACGAACCTGACGTTGTTCCGGATGTACCAGAACCAATTGATATTCTCGTCGATGCGATCATCGGTCTGCTTGAGAACTCGTCCTCGTTCATGCGGACGATTGCGAATCAGTCGTTTGCTTTGCTTTCGGATGCAGCAACGGATAGTACGATCGATTTGATCCTAGCGGTGAGCCTCGTTGACTGCAGTCCGCACCCATGATCTTCATACTTCCGTTTAGCAACTGGAGCGCCGGGATCCGAACGCCGAAGAGGATGAGGATGAGGAACTGGATGAAGAAGCCGACGACGTAGAACAGGGCGACGACGACGACGACGACGATGACGACGACGAGGGCAGCGAAAGCAGCGAGAACGACAAAGCAGAGGAGGATGAAGAGAGCATGGACGAAGAGCCCGATCTCGAACTGCGCAGTAAAATTGAAGAGGCTCTACGGGTGAACGGCGTGGACCGCGCGACACGCGATGCTGACGAGGAATCGGAAGAGGAGGCGATGGACGATGAGCAAATGATGGCTATTGACAACCAGCTCGCGGAAATATTCCGATCGAGGGCCGAGAGCAAGAAAAAGGGTAAGTGCGAACGGAGAATACTCAATGGCCTGGTACTTATGCATAGGATCACGTTAGAGGCGGGCGCGCAACGAGAAGCGACGCACTTCAAAAACAGGGTGCTCGACCTTTTGGACATTTTCATCAAGACGCAATCTGCTAGCCCCTTGATTGTGCGCATCATCGTCCCACTGGTCGTTCTCGTAGTGGGCACCGGCCAAGACGAGAAACAGCTCTCCGACAAGACCCAAGCGTTGCTCAAGTCGCGCGTTGGGAAGCTGAAGGAAATTCCCGAGGCCGTCGATGCGGATCACGTTATCGAAGTTTTGAAGGATGTCCACTTGCGCGCACGGAAAGCTCGCTCCTCCGATGTGCTGGCTACAATTAGCCAGTGCAGCTTGTATCTCTCTCGGATTCTTCTCCGGCACGGACGTCAGGACGCCGTAGTGGAGGTGTATCAGGACTCACTCAGCGACTTCGCGACGCGTAAGGCGTCGCCGCTCAACAGCAACTTCTTCCTCGACGCCATGCGCCGTCATAAGGATCTCGCATGGGCTCTTCGTGGGGCAGTTCTGAAGCTGCAAGCCAATGCGACCAACGCGTACCGCCGATGCCAGATATTCTTGCTTTTGCAACCAGTCATCAATCAATTGCCGGTACGTCGGATGCTGAAACGTTTTCTTGCCCTAGCTGATATCCAGCTTCAGGACGACAAGGAGGAGGCGGGCGCCTTTCTAAAGAAATTTGCTGAGGCGCTGCATGGGGCTCTGATCGAGGCCTGCGACGAAGCGACGACTCTCAGCGCACCGCAGATGAAGGAGCTCCTAAAACTGGCACTCGCTGCAGTCCGCCATACAAAAAACTCGGCTTCAACCGACGTCGCGCTCGCATGGTCGTCGGACAGCTGGACAACTCTACACAGCAGACTCATAGCGACGGAGCGGTTCAAGGCGTCGAAAGCATTGCATTCGTTAAGCAAACAAATTGTGCAAGTCATAGGCGAGTCCAGCGGCGATAGCAAGAGCATAGCTTCGACGAAACCTTCCGCAACCAAGGCGGCAAAGAGGAAAGGTGCAGAGGGCGTAGATGATCCAGGGAAGGAGATAACCAAGCGAAAGAAGTCCAGGAAAGATTGATAGGGATTAAATGTGTTTGTCGTTTAAATCCAGCGACTTCGCTAGATCCTGTAGCTCTGGGAGACGTGTGTCTAACCCTGAGGATAGTTGCAGGCACTCCGCTAATAGTTTCATACCCTGCCGAGCTCTACTGCACGTAAGATTGTGTTCGTGTTCTCCAAGGAAGAAGGCAAACCTTGACAATCTCGCCCTTGCGTCCAATTCGACGCGCATATCCTCCGCCCGCTTCGCGGCCACTTGTAGTACCGATTCTGGCACGCCTGCTAGGCGGCCGCACTCCACGCCGAAAGATCCTGATGCAATTCCACCAGTCAACTTGTAGGTGAATGTGATCTCGCGGGTTCCGTCGACACGAGTGTCTTCAATAAAGCCCATATGGAGATTCTCCAATTCAGTTGGGAACTTTTTTTCCAACTCTCTAGCCACCAAGGGGTAATGAGTAATAAACAGCGTCTTGCACGAGGTACTTTCGAGGAGATGATGTAGTACCGCACTTGCAATCGCCATCTGGGACACAGTACTGAGCTAGACAGATATGAAGGCAGCGAGCGACGCACCCCATCGTAAGTCGAAGTTCCACGCCCGAGTTCATCGAGTATGACGAGGCTACGATCTGTAGCCGCCTGCATGACATGCTGCGTCTCGCTCAATTCGACCATGAAGGTACTACGACCGCGAGCGAGATCATCGGCAGCTAGATAAATCTGTAAGTCTCCGTAGGACGATGCAATGACGCTCATCGTACATACCACCCATCCGAGTAAATATTCCATCCAGCATGCGCATGCGTACTCGAGATGCAGGCACCCAAGAGCCAATTTGCGCCATGAGAGCTACAATGAACCTCGTCAGAGGTCTTATCACGTCTTTATGCGATTGCAACGTTTGTACACACCAATGAGGGCCGTCATCCTCACGCACGACGACTTTCCTCCCATGTTCGGCCCTGCAAGGTTCGTTAGTCTAGGCGGTCCGGGCCAGGATTACGCTAAACTTGCCAGTGATGACCTTGCTTCGTGGACTACCAGCGCCCAGGCGTACCGTGTTAGGCACAAACGGATTCGTACTCAATGCTTCGACTATCGGATGCCTCCCGTCCTCTATCTCCAGCACGTCCTCCTGAGTAAACTCGGCTTTGACATACCCCTCTTGTGATGCCACGTGCGCCAGGCTTAACAAGCAGTCGGCTGTTGCCAGCTTGTTGATCACTTCGCGCATGACGGCATAGTGGTCTCGCGCAATCTCCGCGAGGAATGCGAGATACGCTTTCTCCGCTTCCGCTTGGAGTGCTTCTTGATACTGCGCCCGTTCCTGTATCTTCTGTTTGACGAGAGGGATGCGATACCGGCGGAGGAGCTTCGTGCTGCGCCGTGATTCAACCCAGGAAGCGTAGTCTACGCGGCCTGCAACTTACGTGTTAAGCACATTCCAGGAGGGCGGTACAAGTTGCGACTCGTCCTTCCGTATTTCTACCAGATACTGATTGATGAACGTGAGCAGGCTGGCGAACGGATAATGCGCAGCTTACCTCTTCGCCATTCCAAGTGGACCAACGTAGGGAGGGTCGTTTGAGGAGTTTCTGGACTGCATAGACGTTAGCCAACGTAATTGTATGCGCTCAAAACGCACCGACCTCGTTTGAGCTCGTCCGCCAACTCCCCTTCGATCATGTCAATGGCCTGGATGTGTACAACGTGTCAACAGAAGTCCCAATGGAGACCATGCTGCAACTCACAGCCCGTCTATCGGCGATAGCTGGATATTTGTCGCTGTCGATCCACATCTGGTCTTTCCTAGCTTTCTTCAGCATATCCATCGACACAGATCCAAGAATTTGCTGCATCGGCTTATGCAGCTTTGGCAGGGAATGTATGATCTCGTTCAGCAGCGACGACTTGAAGCCGACCTCCGATGGGTCGGATGTCGGCCGGAAAGTAGTCGAGACACGATTGAAGTGAACTAAAAGCGCCGCAAGCTCTGAAGGCGTGCACTGGTCAACGTTAAGTCAAACAGAGCGAAGCAATGATATCAATCAAACTGCTTACTTTACCGTATTGGATCCGACAGAGGCCTGCACCGGTAAGTGATCAGTCTACCACCATGAACGGAGTTGAGCGGCCCTCGCCTTTCGCTAGGTCAGGCAAGCCTTTCAATAGGTCCTTGAGCATGACCAGTCCTCCAGAGGTAGATCCCAGAATTTCCTCTATGGCGTCAGTTCGCTCCTTCAGAATACTGTGGACAAAAACAAAGGACACGAGGTCAGCATCGCACACTCAAGAGAGGACATACACATACGTTTCGTCCATCAACGGCCGCCCGATCCAACTTCGGAGCAATCGACTACCGAACTTCGTTTTCGTATGATCGAGAACCCAGAGAAGGGAACCCTTGACAGCGTACGTCGTCTCGTTGCGGTATATTTCGCTTAACGAAGTAATGTCAGGAACGAGAGCGCGCCGCAAAGAGAACATGCGCACAGATTCGTCATGGTCTTCCCGTTCAAGAGCTGCGCGATCGAGGATCGCGATGTCAGCCTCGCGATCGGGAAGCAAATGCAAAAGCCGTACCATATGCGCTCTCCCTGCGAACCGGGTGAAGAAGTTGATCTCTCTCAAGACGTCTGCTACGTCGAACGCGGAGAGATACTTGATCGCGCGAGCCAGCGCTATGATGACTGTATGCGGAAAGTCGGCGATGGCTTCTACGAGACGATTTTCCCTCGCAGTCTGCGAGGAGGTCGATGGATGATGATCATCACGAGAGAAGAACTCCGTCACGTATGAGAACGCATCCGTATAGGTCATCGGCTCTTCAAAACGCTCGATTCGCGGTTTAGTTCCGCCTGTTGGTCCTCTATGGCAACTCCTCATCATCACGGCCGGGAAATCGGCGCGCACAGGAACACGTACCGAACGAACTGCAGCAGCGTCTTTTCGGATGGATCGGAAAGCTTGGAGCCAGAAAGAAGGATTTCCGACGGTTTGGTATGGACGAGTCTTGTCTGGAGCAGAATGAATACCGTTTCTCTTTGAATATGAATGCTTATCACCTCAACTTCGATTCTCATATGCGTATCTGAATGTACATATAAGTACGAGGTTGAAGCAATCACATAACCCTCACCGTAGAACTCGTCCCACACAACATCGCCAGTGCTCGGGGAAATGCATATCATCCCGATGCGTACACGGTCGTCTTTGCCCATTCCTCCGGCTAGCTGCTCGACGAGGCACATGAGCGGACCGGACGCCACCGCGCTGCCCCCAGACTCCGAATCATCCAAGGAGTTAAGTTCATCAACGTACCTGTAACAAAGTCTGCCTATCAGCGCAATATAGAACGATTACGGGTACCGGTGGACGTACGTCGTCGAGGTGTAAAGATTCGTTAATCCTCGAGCAAAGAGCGAGTTTCGGGTGCCGCCAGCGGCCTTAAGTGCGGCCGTCTCCGTCTGGTCGACGATACCTACTCGGTATCCCTGTGCGAGAAGCCTACGCCACAGAATTAGCCCGCCTTGATGCCTCCCGTTATCGGCTGAAGGTGCTCCCACTCACTTTTTTACGTATATCTCTCGTCTGAAGATTGGAGCAGTGGCAACCAAAAAATTCCGCTGTGGAAAACATGCAATTCCGAGTTCCTTACTGGCAATCTTCGCGTCCTCCCCGTAGAACTTGTATTTGTATCCCACAGCGACCATCAAGAGCGTGCCCGGGTTGTCTTCCTTAAGTTTCAACACCTGCTCCTCGAGCGGTGTCCAAGTTTGTCCGCTCGGCCCAATATTAGCTTTCTTCTTGCCTTTCGCTGCTGCGGACTTCGATCGAGGGCGCGCCTTCGTCTTCGCGCCCTTTTGCGCGAACATGCTCTGTAATTCTTGGAATCTATCGCCTTCCTCCTCCGAAGATTCCGGGTCCTCTGGACCTTCGGTTTCCTCGATGTCAGAGCATTCAGCGCCTCCCCCCTCGGATGCCTTCCTGACCAGCGGGTTGTTCTGTCCCAGCAGCGTCCGCTTGAACGCTTCGTGTCTTTGCCGCTTTTTGCGTTCCAACTCAGGGCCCGTGCTCGTGGACTCCGCGGCGGACAAAGAGAAAGCTTGTGTCGAGCCAAGCTTCCATCTTTCCGCGCGCCGTGCAGGTTGCGAACGCGGAGTCGGCGAGTCAGCAAGAAATAAAGGGGTTCCTTTATGTTTTTTAGCTGGTGGGGGCGCCTCGTCGTCAAGAGTCAAGTCAATAGGAGTGTTTCCGCGTTTCTTGGCGGGTGACGCCGAGAAGAATCGTGAAATACGAGTCTGCTCAACTGGAGGCATAGAAAGGGGAAGGCACTGGGTAAAGCGCCAACCCTCCGATGACGGCGCGCGTCCGGACAGTGACACGCGTTAGACTCAGTCACGTTCACCCTGACTTAGGGTTACCCTCTTTTCTCCGTCACTCAGCAAGCCGGGGATGCACAACCTGCGACGAGCTGTTGGGCCCGCATTGGCACGCCGGATAACCCCCGGTTTTCGAATCCAATCCTGGTGCCTGCGGAGATGCCAAGCTACCGCGGCTACGGACGGCCCCGCGATTACGGCGACGAACAAAGCTGAGGCAAGCCTCAAACGTTTCTGGAAGACGGTCGGCGTTGAGGAGAAAGACGGGACGTATGCGGTCACGCTTGACCAACGCACTCTGAGGACGCCTGGAGGGAACCGGCTTCTGCTCCCCAAAGAGAAGAAGTTGGTCGCAGCCCTCGTAGCGACCGAATGGGATAATCAGGAGACGTTACTCAAGCCTCATGCATTGCCAATGGTGCGTTTGTCGTTTCTATGTAGTCGATCTTCGCCAATAACCCGTTACATTATGTAGACGTCCCTTGCTTCCAGAGCTGTTGACGCATTCAAAGACCCGGAAACTCGGAAGCAAGTGCGCAGCTCATTGCTGAAATACTTCGAGACCGACACGATATGGTACGTCATCGCTTGACAATGCCGAACATGAAACCATCCTCACCGTCCCTTCAGCTTTCACGAGACAGAACCTCCGGCTTTGGTTGAACTGCAGAAGAAGCACTGGCATCCGATACTAGATTGGGCGCGCTCTACTTTCGGTGTCGAGATCCACGCATTCGACTCCCTGCTGGCGGGGCCACAGCCTCCAGAGACCGTACAGAAGTTCGACGAAATAATGCAATCGTTAGACGCTTGGGAGCTGGCTGGTACGTTGCCGAGCTCCGGTGATCCTCGTACGCCTTATATTCATGCGTTCGATATAGCCCTGGAACGGACGACATACGTCACCAAATCCTTCCTAATCGCCCTCGCGTTGGTCAAGAGGCAGATCACTGCCGAAGAAGCCGCCCTTGCCTCCCACGTGGAGGTCAATAGCCAGATACAGCGCTGGGGCGAAGTAGAGGATTGTGAGTCCACGCTCGAAGAACTCATTCAACTCGTAGTAACGGCATTTTGCAGCTCATGATGTAGATTATCACGACGTAAGGCGGCACTTGGGAAGCGCTTCCGTGCTGCTGTCAGCGGTATAAGTTATTATCTTGCTAATGCCATTATGCTTTGGATGCATCGTTCCCCCATCCTCGCTCCAAGTCGTAACAGCCCCTGGCCAATGCGAGGACCCCCTGCCCACGAGGCGATCGTTCTCGGGGAGCAGACGGTCGTTATTCGTCAGGGCGCATCGCATTATTCGTTCAGGGTATAACTGTATTTGTTTAGAAGGCAGGTGGGGCTGGAGGCGGTGATTCCCGGTCCATCTTCTCCATGATGGCGTACGTCAACACGATCACGTCCAGAAACGGCAACACCGATGCGTCCACGTCCAGGTTCATTCGTTGCGCCTTGTGAAGAATCCCGCTGTGCGCATTATGGCTCTGCACCACAGTAAAAGCCGAGTTTTGGTCGATAAGCTTGGAGTGTATAGGTTAGCACGTTATATCGTCACCTTCGACATGTAGAGAGATACTCACGTGCCATTTTCCATCAGATCCCTTCCACTTGTATTCTATTCCATTAGGCGCACGGAAGGTTCGAGAGCTGGCGGAAAGGTTCAAACCGGCGACGCACCGCAGCGGTGGCGTGAAGCTTACCTATGTAACCAGCTCGCCGTATGCAGCCACTCATCGAGTTCTGCCCTCTCATCCCGAATCGTTACTCGGTTCTTGTGGAACGTATGCCACTCAACAGCGCCTACGACTACGCCAGACTGGATATCGCGCAAGGTCGTGGTGCTGGAGTGCGTTGAGAGTTCGAATATCTCTCTACCGGTCGCGCTGTCGACGATCGTGGCGTTTTCCACCGAGTCCCTGGTGAAGGATACGTTCATGTCGCAGTCGTGACTCTCAAGCACAAGAAATGAGGGGAGTGGTATACTTGCCGCTGGTCTGCATCTTAAGTACTTAAAAAACGTTTGACGGATCACTGCATGTCGTTGGCAACCGCGGACGTCGGACACAGCAATCGCTCGCGTATTTTCAGGGTACACGTTATGACGCTACTGAAGCGATCGACGAGTATACTGCTTTATGTTTGACCGACCCCAGTTCCTCGTCGAACGGCACGAAAGCCGCGTTGCGCGTCTTCTAAAAGGCGAGCAGGTGCGCCGAATCTCACTCACATTCTGAGTAGTTAGCCACGCACGGCTGACGAGACGCCCTCGATTCAGCTAGGACTCACGATATGGACCACCACTACGTAATGCGTAGCTCCCGTTCCCCATGGACAAAAGCCCGCATACGTGTCTAGACACGCTCATCAAGGGGGTGGGGTCCCTCGATTCATCTTCTCCATGATGATGAAGGCTAACACCACCACGTCCAGGAAAGCCAACACAGACTGATCCACATTCAGATTCGTGTTCTCCGCTTTGTGGACCATGCCCAGATGCGCTGGATGATGTTGTACAACGGTGAAGCCCGAGTTTCCGTCGACGAGCTGGAGTGAAGAATAGGTTGATAAGTATGTAGGTCATGCAATTAGATCAGCGGTTCGAAGGATGCTTACCACCCACTTGTTGTCAGACCGCTTCCACTTGTATTCTATACCGTTAGAGGCCCGAAACGTTCGGGAACTGAGCGAATACCGTGCTCAACGTTTGACAACCATTTACGGCCGACACGTGAAGCCCTCTCACCTGTGCAGCCAACCCTCCGAATGTAACCACTCGTCCAGCTCTGCCTTCTCCCCTCGAACGGTCACTCGGTTCTTATGGAAGCTATGCCACTCGACGATCCCCACTGTCTCACCAGACTGGACGTCTCGCAATGTCGTGGTTGTCGCTGGCGTCGATAGCTCAAACAACTGCTTTTCCGTGGCGCTGTCGATGATCGTGGAGTTCTGGGGCGAGTTCTTGGTGAAGGATACGTTCATTATTCGTCGCGCTTTAGATTCGCGTGAGTAGGTAGATGAGGTGAGAGGTAGGTTGCGCAAGTGACATCGATCGCGTTGTCCCTCCTCTCAGAGTCTTCATATAGGATTTCTGGAGATACTGCATGTCATACTCGAGTACCACCTGCATCAATGCCGTATCGGAGCGAACGATGTACTGCTTTTGTTTTGATCATCCATTCAGGCGACCATCATATCGACAAGTTCTTGTCGTGATGACCGTTAGAGCTTAGACGTCCATAGACCTCATACAGCATTGACAGAAAAGTACCGTATGTTCGAGGATCTGTGCCCATCGTGTTTGCTTGGTCAAGGAGGCTGCCGATGAGGCTGATTGCGGTGGTGCCCATTGCGTGTGAGTACATGTTACGAGGATGCCCGGCGTTATCTCGGTTTTATTCCATGCAGACCAATGATGAAACCAAGATACTACGCATCTGTGGTAAATTCTCTTGACGTTCCTTGGCTAGTAAAGTCCTAGTCTAAGTCACTGTCATACTCCGAGTCCCAGTCTGAGTCCGGTGTTCCGTCCCATTCGGAGTCACTGCTAGTCTCCACCTCCCAGTCCGAGCAATCTGTCGACGCTTCAGAGTCAATGCCGTCGGATGCTGTGACCAGTTCCGAGCGCCCCGCGACGCTTCGGAGTCCCTCTATAAGGGTATCTTCTAGCTGGAACCTGTTCACAATCGCGATCTCCAGCACCCTGTCCGAGGTTTCGCGTCGCCGAAGAATGAGGCTCCGCAGATCATTCATGAGACCGGCGGGCTGCACAAAGAGGAAGTCTCGACTCGCCATGTTCAACCGGATGCGCCGTATTGCAGGGAGCAGCAAAGGCTTCATCGTGATACCGTCGTCTTGGCCATCTTTCTTCAACCACGATTTGAGCAGAAGAGGAATGACCGCTTGACAAACCGTCATACTTCCGAGCCACAGTTCGGTCGCACTCCGGCACGCGTCGAGAAGAGGCACGACGGGGCAGCGGATATCGTCACCGGCGCACCGCAGATCGATGACCTCCAGATCGTCGAGGCGTAGTTGGCGGATCATATCAAGGATAGAACCTTGATAGTATAGTAAGGCAACCACAGTCGCAGAAGATGCGGATGGTTGTCGTTGGGGTCGGCTTCGCGGAGGCTACGCGTCGGAAACGCGGCGAGTTCGTCGACTTGATACAGGACCAAACGCCGGATGGGAGGACCGGCCCCACAACAATGATCCATAAGGAACGTTGTCAATGACGGGATTTCGTTCGCTGAAATACGGCCGTCCGAGTCGCGCAGATAGAGATTTACAGCTGCAGCGGCGGAGATTTTCATATAATCCAGCATGTCGCAAATATGTGTTCCTGGACCACGGAGGTCCAAAACACGCAGGTGAACCAAGGTTGCTTTGTTGGTAGTAGATACGCCCGTAGGCACGACGGCTTGGAAGCCCGTAGAATGTACGGCCCCGACGACGAGATTCCGCAACGATGGCAGGACCGCCAGAGCTGCACCCATCTGTGCTCCGCTAGGGAAAGATCCGGCTGGTATAAATTCCAACTCAAGACTCGTCAAGCCTCGAACGAGGGAAGCACAAGACATCATCTTCCAGTCCAAGCTTGTATTGCGGATCTTCAGGTGGCAAAGGTTTGGTGCAGATAAAGCAAAGAGGTCGTGTGGTACATGTTCCTCGTATATGGTGATTGAGCACGAGGCGAGCACGGGAGCGGGGCGCGTGAGCTGTTCAAGGTGCGGGGCAATGGTATGCGCGCGGAGGCGCAGCCTTTCAGTACGGTCCAGGTGTGACAAAGCAGCTCTGGCGGCGTCTTCCGGTGAATTCGGGCCAATGTCGACGTCCAGTAATCTTCTCCTTGACCTCGACAAGAACGCCTCGGTCATGTCCAGCGCGGTTCGCCTCGGCACGGTCGACCACAGTTCAGGGGTATCCAGCGCCACAAATCGCCAATATCGACATACGCCCATGAAGCTGTGGCTGGAGGGATACGTCCAATTGTTACGCAGATCCGGTAGGCAGTGACGGAAAATCTCCGAAAAGACTTCCCGGGGGAGCCGAGCGACAGGGGCCAGCTGGTTACGGCGCTCGCGAAGTATCCGAATCCGTTCGAATAGAATACGGATTTGGTCTTGCAGATCATCAATTTCGCAGTCGATTTCCACTCGCTCGCCCCAGTAGGCAGTCTCTGTTTCGCCGTATGCCGTTGAAAGACGCCGATCCAGGTCGCCGCGCACCGTGTCGAGGCTATGAACTCCTGGTCAACGGACGATCATTTATGAAAGAATTGAATAGTCCCCACGCAGTCATCTCTGTATATTCAAACTTGTACGAGCGCATCCAGGCAGGTGCGTTAGTTGTCGATGACTCAAAGCTGAAAGGTTGCAGTGGCTCACAAGAGAACCGTACTCGGAGAATCGGATTCAACTCCTCGGCACTTGTACTGCGTGAGCCTGTTGCTCGGTGATGCTCCGCGCTCGGGAGCATGATATGCGAGCCGAGTGCCACACCATACAGTGGGGATGGGCAACGCCTACGAAGTAGGCGTAACCAATCCCACGGTTACACTGCCACGCATTTACTTGATGTGCGCGTTGTTGTGTGTCCAACCTCATTCCTCGACCTTTCTCCCAAGTCATAAATTCTGCGAAGCTTTCAAAACTAGATAAACTGACATATCTTACTATCTAATCAAATTTAAACACCCTTGGTTGCTGCAAACTACGCGCTCCCTCTTACAGAGCACCGCCAAGTGGCTGTGCGGAGTTTAGTGGCTGACTCTCGACGCTCAAACTCCCGCAAAAAGAGTTCTTCTTGCACCAAGTGCCGTACCTTCCACAAAGGTTCTAAAATTGCAAAACAATTCTATAATATTCTTTTGGGTGCCAATAGACAATATTTTGAGGATAGATTTTCATGTTTGGCCCTTTTAAGCGGTGCTGATATCAGTTTACACTACTCAGAGGACAAGGAAAGAAATTCTTTTTTGAACATTCTCTCGAGAACCAAATTTCATTGGTAGTCTCTCTACAGTCCTAAATGTCAGCTGGCACGGTTGACTGCAGAAACTGGTCGGACATGACACTGTGTCCGGTACCTTCATTATCGTGGCAGTGCTATGTGTGGGAAGTTACGTCGGAGTCGAATTTTTGGCTGGGCGTTGCCCATCCCCACATACAGCATGGGGATTATTTCCATGGATATGATATGGCGTGGGAATCTCGCCCCTCTGGTACACGTGCTCGTGTCGATCGCTGGCGTTGCATTATGTGGCTCCTTCAAAGGAGACAGACAGTGCGTGCGATGTGAGTGATTACAGTACATATGCGTCCAAAAAATCCGCGAGCAGCAGAGAGAGAGGAAACGAGTTTAGGGTTTGAATTTTTCTTCTTTTTTTTCTTTCTGGCTATAACGCGGCTTTTGGCTGGACGGGCAACCTTTTCTTCTTTCCGCCCGCCCCAGGCCTAGCCGCGACCTTTGAAGGTAGTTTTTCGAGGCGAGGCGAGGCGTCGGATTGCGGGGCGGTCGCGGGCGCGGAGGAGGCGGCGTTTTCGACGTGCTCGTCGTCATCGTTGTCGTCGTCTCCGTCGCCGTCGGTGTCCTTCTCCTCGGCCCACCAGCGGGCGGCCTGGAAGACGAGGACGCCTGTCCGTGCAACAATAAGATTAGAAGGAAAAGGCGAGAGGGAGTGGGAGGGGAGAGGGGGGGGGGGGACGTACCGGTGAGGGCGACGCTGCAGATCACGTTCGCGGACGCGACGTCGAGCAGGGGCGAGCGCAGCGTGACGGGGAAGGGGTGCTTGACGTTGCCCGTCCGCTCCGGAACGAGGTCGAGCACGTTCGGCCGCGTGAAGCGCTCCCTGATCGTCGGCACCACCGTCCGGAGCTGCACCGCCAGCGCCGACACGAACAAAACTATTTTCATTCACGATTTTTGTCAGCGCCTATATGGCGGGGTAAGAGGGGAGGTAACGGGGAGACGCACAGATGCTACCGCCGTCGAACATGAGGTTGCCCGCTTGGCCGCGGGCCATGCTGGACGCAAGCGCGAGACCACCGAGGCCGACGACGGCGGCGAGCGCCCAGGCCATGTTGGCGGGCAGGCTGGCGAGGATGGAGTAGTAGCGCGCGGAGGTCCAAAGCGCCTCGTCCGTGACGGGGTTCTTCCAGAGCGTGAGCGAGTCCGCGATCCAGTTCGTGAACAGGACACCTGTGGATGCGTGCGGAGAAAGACGGAGCTGCGTGAGTAACTGTGCGCGCGGAAGCTTCGGGAACTGCGTGCTCACCGAGGAGGAAGGAGGTCAGGCAGATGATGATGCTCGCGCGTAGACCGGCCATGGCGACAGGAGGGTCAGGATCCTCTGCCGTCTTTCCAGGGCGTTCCTCGCAGCTCAAAGACGACCTGGGGAAGGAGGATGTGCCAGCAGCAAAGCCGTCTGGTGGCAGCGCGCCGAGCGAAAGCGTCAGAGAGCCGTGCACGGTGCAGAAAACAAGCGCCCTGTGCCCGCACATGATTTTTCGACCCTCTTCCCGGGCGCTTATTCTGAACTAAGCCCATTACGCGCCAAGTACTAAGTACTTGCTCGCTCGAAATATGTTCAGGGCAGGTATATCGACAGCGCGGGCCTCTGCTCGACGGACGGCGGCGACTCCGTCACGCCATACGACCGCACATCTCTCGACAGCGCCTCCTCCGCACCCATGGTTCGTCGACGACCACTCGCACTCCCACCGCCCGGGCGCACCGCACCTCCCCAACTCGCTCACCTCGCCCCGCTCGCTTCCCCTGCCTCCCTTACCTGACTCCCTGCCTCCAACGTCCCCGATTCAACCTCTGCACGTCGTCCTCTCCAGCTCGCCGTTGCTCGAGCCCGGCACGCTGCTCGTGACGAAGCCGCCCCCGACACCGGCGCACCCGCTCCCGCCGACGCCGCCGCGGGGCGCGAAGCGGCGGCGGGGGGGCACGATCAGCGGCGAGGGTGTGGTGCTGAACGGGACGGCGATGAGCGACGGTGGCGCGCTGTTCGAGGACGCCGGGATCTGGAGCTGGCTCGTCCTCGCGCAGGTGAAGGAGGGCACGGAGAAGCGCGGGGCGATCGAGAACGTGATGATGCTCGTCAGGGCTACGGTGCGCGCCTCCCCGTCTCATCACTCCTTCGTTTTTCTTGCACGCTGAGGTTGCTTCCCGTTTCTTTTTTCTTTTGCCCTTAGCTGAAGAGGCTCGACCCGCCGGTGGCGCTCCCGCCCACCTCGTTCAAGTCTCGGAAAAGGTACGTTCCTCCCGTCGCTCTATCATACCCAAGCTGATCTCTTTCGGCTTTCGGTGTCACAGTATGCAACGGACCGACGGCTGGGCGATGCTCGACGCGGGCGATTTTGCCGTCCACGTCCTATCCCGCCAAGCCCGCGAACGATATTTCGGAGACCGATCCAAGTGGTGATCACGTCCACCGTGATCGACGCAGCTGTACACTTATCCGTCTTCTCTAATCTGTCCTATCCATGAAGGCACCGCATAATGGCGAATTGCATCCGCGTTATTCACCATCGTTCGACGGAACCAGGGAAGAAGCCGTGCCCACTACAGACACCGAGCCCACACCGCGTTGCTATATCGGGGCAATGCAGCGTTTACGTCTCCAATCGCGTGGAACCATCGTAGCAAAACCAACAACGATATTTAGTCTACGGCGGGTCGCCTTCCCCCGCGCACCACCCCGCGAACTCCGCCACGCTCATCACCCTCCCATACCCCTCCTCCCCATCCCCATCCCCATCCCCATCCCCATCCCCATCCCGATCTTCCTCCTCGGTCATGCGCACGAAATGCGACATGAGGTTATGCGCGACGCCCCGCTCCCTCGCGCCGCGTCCCGCGAGCGGCGGATAAGCCGGCGGCGGTTTCAGATACGCCCGTCTAGCCGCGACGTGCGGCGCGTCTCCCGCTGGACCGGTCTCGCCGCCGTCTACTATCGTCGTTTCCCCGTCCCGTGCGTCGGCCACGTTCGTCGGCGCTAGGACGCTGTTATGTCCGTCGGACTCGTCATGCCCCGGCGCCTGAGCCGTAACAAAAAAAAAACACTTCTTATCAGCCTCAAATCTTAAAAACTCAAAAAAGCGGGGGATCCAGGTCGGACTGCATATGTAGAGAGAGGGGAGTAGCGGGTCGGACTCACCAACATGTGGGATCGGTCGGATGCGAAATTGGCCAGGAACGCGGATGCAGGGACGACGCGAAGCAGGCTATGTAGAAACGTGTGTACACCGTCAGCAGGAAGCTGGTAACGGCGCATTGCATCATCGCAGGGTTTCGAGGTCTCGGCCGTCGCGTATACATGGGGACGTGGGGTACGCACTCACCTCTGATAATCTGGCGCGATTTCGCCGTCGCGCGCGAACGTGCCCGGGATGTACACTATGTCAGTAGAACGGATGGATCGAACGTCGCCGTCAGCAATCAGGGCCAACTCGCAGTCGCCACTTCAAAGCATAAGAAAAGAAAAAGACCAACAGTCGGCTCAGTGATGAGCTGACTGAGGACGTCGACCCGAGGAACATCCTTGGGACGCGTTCCCTGGGGCCAGACACGAAAACGCGCCGCGCGGTTCCCCCCGAAACCCGCGAGATCGCGATCGTTATTTACTCATCCAAGAACCGCCAATCCCGTCACGGGCGCATATCAGACTTTCATGTCGGTTGTGCACGTCCATAGAAGTCGGTAGCATATGTATGACGACACGCGAAGACACGCACCGGTCGCGTCGCACGGAAGCCCGAGCCGCGTGTCGAAGTCGTATATCCACGTCCTCGCCGGCGAATCGGAATCTTCTGTCCATAAATGGTCTCGTGAGTACTTGGGTGTACATAACTTAGCTGGGGGGAGGTAGGGATGACGTATGACATCATCATCACCCGTCGTCTTACCGAAAGCGCGGGCCTCGCTATCAGACGGAGGAGAGACGGGCCGGGCTCGGGAGCGGAGGCAGAGCACGACGTGGTAGTCCCAGACGACGAGCCCGTCGAGATCCCGGGACGCCTTCTGGCTCCATAACGCTACCTGGGGGGTGTGGTTTTGACGTATCGACAATCGACATGTTATTTTAGTTGGAGCGCCGAGTGCGAGTCCGTGATTGAAGGTCAAAGCGGAGGGGCCCGGTAACGGCCCGTATGATAGCGGCGGAGCATAGAGACAGACGACGTCAAGGGGTCAGGCTCGATATCAACCAATGATCATGCAGGGGATGGATATATCGATTGGGGGTGTTGGCGCGGAGAAGTCGGGGCGAGGAAGCGCACCGTCTGACGCGCGTTGGAGACGAAGGCGACGGAGACGTCCCAGCTGGCAGCGACGTCCGCGTTTTGGGAGAAGGTGGCGCAGAGAAGGTACGCGTTCTCTTCGCAGTAGCAGCTGGTGTAGGTGACGTCGGGGGGCAGCGGCGGGGGATCGTGTTTTGCGCCCATTGATGGTGGTGGTGGTGTAGGTCAGAAGCGGAAGAAAAATGGCATGGGATTGATGTGACAAGCAAGAAAGACGAGATTATTATTGACAGGCAATGTATCCTAGATACCCTCGTGCGTAGCATACACAGGCGACAAGGACCGTCCCTAGTTTTGTTTTTTCTGTTTCGTATCGTGCAAGTCGATAGCATCGAGCAGACGAAGCAGCGGGCAAGTGATATAGTACAGTGATTTCATTATCGTTGGTGGTGTTCCGGGGTGAATGCAAGATGTGATGGCTGCCCGAAAGCCAACATCGTCAGCTACCGGAACCGCGACGAAGAGAGGGAAATGTTACGCACTATCAGCGTGCGTCGGGGTATTGAGCGGGTTCTCGCCTGCCGCTTTTATGCCTTCTTCGACGAGCCGGACGAGCGCGGGCTCTGGAGGCCCCAGGCCTGGACGACCTTGCGCTTCGTGACGATGTCGCCGAGCTCGGGCGACGCGCGCCCGTCGGGGCGGAAGGGCTCGAATATCGGCTGTGGCTGTGGCTTCGACGAGGTCTGCCGCTTCCGGTGCGCGGTGGGGACCATGACGATCGGAGAGCCGCTCGAGGGCGGGGTCGAGGACGGCGTCGTCGCGGGGGACGAGGACGGGGTGGAGGACGGGGTGCGGGATGTGCGCGCGTAGGCGGTCGAGGTCGAGTGCAGAGCGTAGGGGGAGGGCTGCGCGGGTTGAGGGGGCACGCCGGCGCCGTTGGTGAAGGGGTGTACGGCGAAGGGGTTGAAGGAGCCGAGGTTGGGTGAGGTCATCGTGGAATGTGTATACGGTGTCCGGGAGTATGGACAGCAAGTGTGTAGGGTGGGATGGGGCTGCGGGGATGACAACACCGGGGGATACGAGAGGGCAAGGGCGGGATTGTACGGTGACGGAGGCAAGCTACCGCCAACTTTTATGGACGGTCGGAGTGGCCCGTCCGCCGGAAAGGGTAAGAAGGGCAGAAGGTTTGCATGTTCTTTCTTCGGAGAGAGCCTCTCAGCCTGCCCTCCGCCTGCAGTTGTGGCCCGGTTGATTCTGCGAGATAAAATAATCCGTCTGAATTTCTCCTGCCGTGCGTCCCGATGAATCGCCGGCAGGGCGCGTGGCGGCCCGGGGGAGTGGTTGAGCCGACAGCGCGGGCTATCACATGAACCACGGCCAGAGTTCGTCCCTTGCTCGTTGGCAACTTCGAGGCTGCAAGCGGCGAGGACGGGCTCTTCGTGATAATTAACGGCGACGCGGTGGGAGGACGCGACACGATCTCGTACGAGCGCGGACGCTCGGCCGCAGCACACCCTCTTTGCAGATACGCCCGCTCTCACAGTCCGCGGTCACGCGCGTACGCGGACAGTGCCTTATCCACCCCTTGCAGACGGTTTGTGCGGTTCGAGAGATGAAACGGCGTTTAGGGCGAACGGGAGCGAGCGAGTCGCGGTGCGTCTCCTTACTTCCTCGCTATCGTGATGCCGTACAGACAGAAAGAAGGGGTTATGGTCCGGTTCGCGGGTTCGTGCAGTGTTCGATTTCCTTTCTATTGCATTCAATCAGCTCGAGCTTGTTCGCTAGCTAGGTTACATAGGCAGCAACCTTCCCCGGTCGCGGCGTGTTACAAACCCACAGGGGTGGCAGTTTCGCGGGGTCAGGAGGTGTTTGCTCTGTATCTCATCCAACAGACGCGGGATCTCTCGATACTTTCGGGTTTCACCAAACGCCTCCCTCCGTCCCGGATCCAAGAGACTAAGAAAGAATCGCCTCACACACGCACACGCACTTCTCTGCGAAGGTAGTGCCCTTGCATACACACCCCGCGGCGAAACTTGTCAGCAAGAACGAGCCAAGGCCAGAACGAACACCGTGAATTGTACGTGTACGTGCATCGACGGCCCGCGATCAATACCAAACGCTCTCGCTCGCTCGTAATTGAGTCGTCCCAAGGATCGCGCCCTGCTTCGGATCTTGACCCTCCAGCTCTCGTACGACGTTACTACTTGTTCATTTCATTTCATCTCCCCCCCTCTCCGATCGGGCAATAACGGGACGGACGCGGGCTTAAGACGTACAACACTACAAACCCAACCTCGCCTTTTCAGAATTCTTCTGCCCCTATTTTTGCGTCTTGCGCGAACTCAACCTTGAGCGAGAGCGTCGAAACGTTCCCGCTACTCTCTCAAGCCCGTAGGTCAAGTGTCATGTCGCGGGCCCGTTTCCGCCCCGCGAGCGGTGCGGACCCCGCCACACGAGGCTCGAGGTTTCCTGATACACACCATAGATATATAGCCAGAAGTGAACACCGTGCTCGTCTGAGATTAGCCAGAGCTTATCCATAACACCCAAACCACGCCGATCCCCTGATCGGAGGTATTTCGGGCCCCTCTTTAACGCAGACGCAGTAGTGTGGGGGTAGGCACGGCCCACGGGTGGGGTCGAACCCCGTACTACCCCGCATTCCGTGTCAGAACTTCCTCCCCCCGTCCTTCCCTGGCGCTCCCCGTTGTATGGGGCGAAAAAAAAGTGGGGCCCCATTTCGCCGACGAGAGATTATGGGATCGAAGCGTTGGCGGTGGAACGAGATAGGACGTGTTAAACTTTGTATATCGTACAAATATGGAAATATCACACACTCGTTACCTATTATGTACAGATTCTCTCACATGTTCTATTCTTGTGTTCTTCTTTGCGATCTTCTATCTTTCCTGATTGATATTACCGCTTTAGGCACATTCTTTTGTTCCCTTTATGGAAATGCTTCCCTCGAGCTCCCTCACATATACCAGGAGCTCTCCCTTCGCATCTCCTCAGTCTTTTCCCTTATACTTGACTGAGGAGTGAGTCTACCATGTCCCTTCATGTCCCTTATGTCCTAACGTACTTATGATGCCTCTGTAGTCATATATTAGGTACTACATGCGTAACTCAGTCTTTTCCCTTATACTTGACTGAGGATCATATATTAGGGAATTATCGCTCTTGCCTTCAGATCCAGAAGTTCATCAGGTTATGAGCCCTGAGCTCTCGTAACTCTGAATCTCGATCGACTTTGCGCGCGTCTTTGCTGGCTGC